GTACCAGCTCGAGCACCACTCCTTGCACCACGACTACGAAGAGTACCAGCTCGAGCACCACTCCTTGCACTACGACTACGAAGAGTACCAGCTCGAGCACCACTCCTTGCACCACGACTACGAAGAGTACCAGCTCGAGCACCACTCCTTGCACCACGACTACGAAGAGTACCAGCTCGAGCACCACTCCTTGCACTACGACTACGAAGAGTACCAGCTCGAGCACCACTCCTTGCACTACGACTACGAAGAGTACGACCTCGAGCACCACTCCGTGCACGTCAAGTACCACTACGACGTCGAAGAACACGAGCTCCAGTACGACTACTCCTTGCACGACGAAGACCTCAAGCTCAAGCTCCAGTACCACCACTCCATGCACTAAGAGCTCGAGCTCCAGCTCGACGACGACTACTCCGTGCACGACCGGTACCACATCCAAGTCTTCGAGCTCCAGCACCACTGCCACCACTCCATGCACGAAGAGTACAAGCTCTAGCTCCACCACTTCGTGCACCACTGGTTCGACCACTACGTCGAAGAGCTCCATCACTCCTTGCACGAAGAGCTCGTCATCTAGCACCACCACCCCGTGCACCACCGGAACTACTACGACGTCCAAGGCTTCGACTACTCCTTGCACGAAATCGACCTCTTCTAGCACCCCGTGCACCACTGGATCCACCACTACGTCGAAGAGCTCCACCACTCCTTGCACGAAGTCTACCTCCTCCACTTCGACCACCACCCCGTGCACCAAGTCAACTACCACTACTAGTGGTACCATTTCCACTCCATGCACGAAGTCAACCTCCTCCACTTCGACCACCACCCCGTGCACCAAGTCAACTACCACTACTAGTGGTACCACTTCCCCTCCATGCACGAAGTCAACCTCCTCCACTTCGACCACCACCCCGTGCACCAAGTCAACTACCACTACTAGTGGTACCACTTCCACTCCATGCACGAAGTCAACCTCCTCTACGACGAGCACAAGCACCCCATGCACCAAGTCCTCTACGTCTTCCACCACGAGCGCGTCCACATCTCCATGCACTTCCTCCACGACGAGCTACTGGTACAAGCCCAGCACGAGTCCGTGCACCAAGTCCTCTTCTTCGTCCTCTACGACGCCTTGCACTGGAAGCACGACTTGGTCCATGCCCACTCATCCTCCGAAGTGGACCACCTCGACCACCACTGCGCCGTGCTCCTCCTCGTCTACTACGAGCCAGAAGCACTGTTCGGACTGTGAGAAGGGACACTGGTCTTCTACGTCTACGTCTACTTCGACGAAGGAACCCTGCACAAAGTGTGAGGCTCACCAGTCTTGGTCTACTTCTACCTGGACCAAGTGCACCAAATGCGAAGCCGCTGCCACCTCAACCAGTCCCGTCGCCTACGTTGCCGCCGCCGCTGAAATCACCAGTTCCTCTTCCTCCTCCGCTGCGAAGACCTCTCCGACTGTTGCTGTCCAGAGCGCGAAGCCTAGTAACGGAACGATCGCGAGTACCTTCACGGGTGGTGCCGTTGGCTTGAGTGTGGGTGGTGCGGGGATGAAGATGGGTGTTGCGGTGGTTGTTGGTGGTGTTGCGATGATGCTGATTTGAGCGTGAGACCTTGTATGATATGTGTGAGATGAGAAAAAGAACGAAAAAAAACAGAGGAGAGAAGGCGGATGAATTTGTGAGTTGAGTTGGGTTCGGACGAGCGATCTTCTGTATCTCTGTGGATATATGTACCAAAGCCTATGCAGCTGACAGCTATAGGATTCGATGGACTTTAAGGGGTTTAGAAATTTCGAGAGGAGAAGGCTACTTTCCGATTTCTTCAGCCTACATTCGATTTGTATCTTTTATGTCGTTAATCAATTTTTAAGTTTTTCTTCACTTAATCGGGATGGTCATGATTGCATCACGGGCGGCGTTATCGATAGCGCGTGAGAGAAGAGCCATGGCCAAGACGAGAGTCAGCTGCAGCGCCGTCCCACCGACACCCCCTTTTTTCTGCTCGGCTATAAGAACGCCTGACGTGCCCTTCTCTTGTTCGCGCATACATCCCCAGCCGTCTAACAAAAATGTCTACCACCGACGAAGTCAACTCTGAATAGTACGCTCTCCTCCTGTCTCCTCTATAGCTACTTGTCAGCAGCTGTGCTGACAGTCTACCGTGCAGCGTCTCCGGCCTACCCGCCCACTCCCACCACAACCGTCCCGGAGAGATCGGCTACGAAGAAGGCTTCGGCACCACGGGCGTCATCCCCTCCGGCCCCGCCGAACCCGACAACCTCAACGAACCCATGAACTTTGGCCGTGGGCAGGGGTATACTGTCGTTGACGAGTATCAGACCGACAGGATTGTTGCGCCTGTTTCTGTCGTGCCGCACCACGAGGTTATTGTTGAGAGGGTTGAGGTGCCGGTTCCTGTTGATGTATGTCTCCGTTTTTCGGGGGTGTATGCGTGGATAAATGCTGATTTATATCATCTCAAGGTCCCCGCCCCCGTCATCCACAAACAACACCACCACGTCTCCCTCAAAGGCTCCGACGGCCCCACCCACAACTCACTCGGCGTCGAACGCGACTTTTCGGGCTCCGCAATCCCCAACACGAACCTCCGCTCCGCCGACGTCCGGGCTCAAGGCTCGGACGCACTCAACGCCATCCCTGACGACGGTGGTAGAGTGCCGAGGGACGAGCATGGTGTTCAGGGGTGGGGGAGTAGCGAGGAGACTGCGAGGAGGGTTGAGGGGTTGGAAAAGAGGGAGGGGGTGGATGAGTTGGAGAAGAGTACGGCTCCTGCTGGACATGGGGAGGGGACGAGTAAGCCCGGGTTGATGGGGAAGGTTAAGCATGCGCTTCATTTGGATAAGAAGAAGGAGACTACTTCTCAGTAAGTTTTCTCGCGCTGCTGCTTGACGTTGTATTACAGGGATGGGAGTGTATGATTAGGACTGCTGTGCTTTGGATGCTTGCGCGTATAGGCTTGTTTGTGGGTAATTCGGGATGGAGTAGGAGGGTAATTCGGTAATACAATGCTTTTATTTTCACACAAGCTATTGCAATCTTGGTCGAGGATGTTAGAAGATTGTAGAAGGAAAGACTCCGGCGCATTGATGGCAATATGTCATGTCCCTAACGGAGAAGCCCATGTCGGAGTTGGAGCCAAGTACTGCTTCCCATAACCCAGAAGCCAACATACAGACAGGACGTGCCGCAGAGCGTTATATCGTGGCATGGACGGCGGCCGCATCTGCTTCTTCAAGCAATCGGACCGCGCGTCGTGCCGGCTGCGCTGCCTTAAAAATGACCTCCTTGGCCATGCCTCACTCTCGAATCGCTCTCTGTAACTGTTTCCCAGCGATATCCACAAGTATCCTATTCAATCTCTCCTGCACAGTCTTCAACACTTTGTTGACACCAACCAGTCGCTTTTGGGTATCCGCGAGCTTCACGACCGTCGAACGAAGTGCCAAGGGCTCTGTGGTATTGACGTAGTGACTCAATTCTACCCGTGATACGCAGAGTTAGTATACATCCCGACAGTAAAATGATAAGTCGGGATTCTCACGCGCAAGTAGGCGGTCTAACTCCGACTCCAGAGCTCTTTGGGATTCGTGGACTGCGGCCATTTGCTCCGTCGTTCGGTTGATCAAGGGCGCGATCAGGTCCTCCATTATGCCTATCGCAAGCGGAACTCCAATCTGGCTTCTCGTTACGTCCTCCCGAGGTTCGCTAGAGGTTGTTGGTGGTGAGTTTGAGGTCGTGCGGTGTTCTTGCTTGACATCACCGCACACCGCACCGCCTCGCACCGCCGTGCGTCGTATACCCGCGAACCTCACCGCCAAAACTCCAGCAGCTCCAATACAGAAATGGCAGACAACTTTGACTTCGACGACGCAGCTTTCGACGCAGCCGCCATCGCCGCAGCCAAAGCCGCTGAGCGATCTGTTTCTTCTACTCCTCAGCATCGGGGATTGGTTTCGCAGCCTACGCCGAGGAGGGTTGTGCAGCCGGTGTCGAGGGTGGGGGCGCAGGCGCAGAGGCCGATTAGTGCGATTGGTGCTGCGATTGGAGTGAATGTGTCGAGGCCGGGAACTGCTGGGAGTGGGGTGGGGAGTCCGGTGCAGCAGCCTACGCCGCAGAAGATTGCGAAGCCGGCGGGGTTTAATGCGATTATTGTGAATCCGCGGCAGGTATGTCATGTCGTATGAATTCAAACCAGGGATGGATGCTGAAGGTGGTGTGGCTAGAAAGGAAACCCTATATTGAACCATGTACGGAATGTCCCGTGGGAATACGGTGACATCGTCCCCGATTTCGTCGTCGGACAAACAAGCTGCGCAATTTATCTCAGGTGCATAAGGATCTTAGCATCCTTCAGGGTATTGCTGACAACACGATGTACAGTCTACGATATCACCGATTACACCCAGAATACATATACTCCCGTATCTCACAACTCGGAAAACAATACAACCTCCGCCTCCTGCTCATCTCCGTCGACATCGAAAATCACGAAGACTCGTTAAAAGCCCTCACCAAAATCTCGATCATATCCGATCTCACCATCGTCCTCGCCTGGTCTCCTGCCGAAGCTGGGCGGTATCTAGAAACCTTCAAATCATTCGAATCCAAACCTCCGACTTTGATTCAAGGCAAACAATCAACCACGTACATAGAGGGAGTGGTGGAGATGATGACCTCCATTCGAAGTGTGAATAAGTCGGATGCGATGAGCTTATTAGCAAATTTCGGGAGTGTGAAACGGGCCATCAACGCGGAGGGGGAGGAGGTTGGGTTGATTGGGGGGTGGGGAGACCAGAAGGTTAGGAGGTTTTTGGGGGCGTGTGGTGAGCCGTTTGTTGTTGGAGGGAGTCGGCGGAAGAGGGTGAGGGCTACACAAGCTGAGGGTGTGGAAGAGGGAGGCAGGGATTTGACGGCTAGTGAGAGACGGGCGGAGAATGGAGGAGCTCAGGGAGCGGTGTTTCCGCCGATGACTGCGTCGCCGCCGATGGATGTTGAGGATGAGGATGCGTTGGAGGCGATGTTGGCTATGGAGGGAGGGCGAGAGTCGGGAGCGAAGGAGAAGGGAAAGGAGAAAGAGAAGGTGCCGGAGGGGGAAGGGGAAGGGGAGGATGCTGGGGTTATGGCTGCTTTGGCGAAGTTGAAGGCACAGGCGGGTGGGTATAGAGGGTTCGATGATGGGTAGATATAAAAACTATCCAAAATAGAAAATAAATAAACCGAGATTTTGCATCATGTGTGTATTTGGGGAAGGAGTGGATCAATCGATACTTAAGGTTGCGTGGTGTTGCATGCGACGTACGACACTAACAGCTCAGCTCTCAACGACGGTAAGGGCAAGAGGGAGGAGGTTCAGCAAGTTTTCACGCGAATCAGAGTCGCATTTAACACCTTTGTCTGCCGTCAACTGTCTCGGGAATCATGGATGGTGTGAACGGCCAAAGCCCGGTCAAGGCTGAGCAGATCAACCTCTACACCGTCAACAATCGAGGTCAACTGACTGAGGCTCCAAGTTTCTTCGAGTACTAGCTAACACCTCATTGACAGACCTACCTCCTGCCAATCCATCGCCATCAGCAAATCTCATTCATCTCTATGGCCTCGAAGATGTCATCCGCCGCGTCAGCAAATTCGACCAGTACGGGAACAAGAACCCTAATAAGTTGAGGAAGAGTTGGAAGGGGCATATTGTGGACATACCAGGTGGGTCGTCGAAGCTTCATGTTAACTTTAATCTGAGTACTGATGGTTGATCGGTGTACAGGCAAGAACACGCCACCGCAGCAAAAGGATTTCTTGCGTGGGTTGCTTGCGAGGCCGGAAGAGGGGTTGAGGTCGATTAAGGGGGCGGAAATGCCGGTTGGGTTTTTCGAGAGTAGGGTGAAACTGTTGCCTGGGCCTATACCTGAGGTATGTCCATTCACCTGGTCTCTATAAGGTTACGACGAATGCTGATGTTGTGTGTGTACAGTTTGATAGTGCGGCGTGGGGGATGGATGATTTGGATGGTGTTGAGGATGGAAATGCGAATGGGAATGTTAGTGAGGGGAGTGCTGCTGAGCGCCGTAAGAAGGTGGGTTTTGGCGGGATGTGTGTCAAGCATCGACTGACCGGATTATTCAGAAGAAGAAGCGAGACTACGACCCAGCCTACGAAGCAGACCGCAAAAGAAGAAAAGAGCAGCGCAGAAAGGTACATCGCCAGTGTTGTAGTCTCGATCGAGATGACTGATCATGTGATGTACAGGAAAAAGAATCGTCAGGTTCCCCGGGTCCGGGTGGGTACACCATTTCGCATTATTAACCGTGAGTGCGGTTGCGTATAGGCCGGAGCCCGAGCCAGCGCTTTATACCCCTTCTCCGCGTGAGACGAATATACCCCAAGCCATGTCTCCCTCCGAGCAATCACGAACGAGCTCTGTGCCCGTTTTTGTGGGCAGTGGTGTTGTTACACCGAGTACGAGTATGATGCGGGGGAGGAGTAGTGGACAGGCTGTTAATTATGCGGAGGATGAGACGGAGGTTGAGGGGAAGGATGAGGAGGCTTTCACGCCTGGGCGTGGGGGGAGTCTTGGGAAGGGGAGGGGGAGGGGGAGGGGGGAGGGGGAGGGGGAGGGGGAGGGGGCGCTCGAGGTCGAGGTCGAGGTCGAGGAAAGGGAGCGTGCAGAGGGGAAAGGCGAGGAGATGAAAGTCGGAGTTATACGATATTGGATATGATACTGGGTCTATGAATGTATCAATATGATGTGTTTCTTCAATTGCCATGTTCCTGCTGAATCCGGGATGTCAACGTTACTGCACCAAGTTCCTTGGTCCCTATGATGTCAAGAGCACAACAAAACCAAAGTACTCCCATACACCGACAAATTAATTGCAGAGACCAATTGCAGCATACATAACCAGCGCTTTGAAATACGATTGCAACTATATCGCCCGCATCCGTCAACGTTTCACGACGCTATCCGCTTCACTTTTGCTTTGATCCAGAAGGGATTATTCACGAAGATGGCGGACAACAGTACATACATGTCTAAAGGACAACTCGGTGTGATCGGTGTTGCTAAAGCTATGAATACTGCTAACACCTTTGTACAGAGGACTACCTTGCTTCCCTCCGAAGCCAACGAGCTCCTCGACCAACAGGCGGCCGTCCCCTCCCCTCTTCCGCCGGTGCCCGACAAATTGCACAGCAGAAGGAATACGGAAATATGGACGACGTTATTGCAGATTTGTCGACGCTTACTGGGACGACAATGAAGATCTCGGAGAAGCCGAGGGCGACGAGCGGGATGAATGCGCCCCTACCGGTGAATCCGGCGATGAATGCACCCCCACCCGCGGCGGAGAAGCCGACGCATGTATCGTTGAGGACTACGCCGCTTGTAAGGGCGTTGCAGGGTGGAGCAGGGGGTGTAAGGGGACCTAAACCGGAGTTACCAACGAAGAAGCCGGAGTTGAGGGGAGGACTTAGGCCGTTGCCGGGTGGACCGCCAGTTAGGGGGTCACCGCGTGTTGATCCGGGACCTGTACCGAAGCCGAGTGTTTTGTCTAAGCCTGCCGCGCCTGTTAGTGTGCCTCAATCTACCATTACGCCGACGGAGGATGAGACGCGGGATTGGAGGACTGCACCTGCTGCTGGGCGGACTACGATTCCGAAGATTGAGGTGGATGAGGAGGATATTAGGATGAATGTGCGTGGGATGGATGGGAACTATTCGATGAGGAATGGGGTTCCTGCAATTACGGTCTTCACAGACGAGCGACCGGCTGTGCCGTCGATTAACGTGGCCTCGCCACCAACCGTCCCGGCCATCAGCGTTGGTGATGCAGACGAACTACTTGATGGTGTTCAGCCGCCGAAGGTCATCCCTCGTCCTGCTTCTCCGCCGGCTAATCCTAAATCCTGTGCTCGCTGCCATGGATCGACAACCTCTGGTAGGGTCATCACCACCCGTGGACTCCGCTTCCATCCTTCATGCTTCACCTGCTCGCACTGCAGTACCAACCTTGAGTTCATCGCCTTCCACGTCCACGAAGGTCGGTTGTATTGCCAGCTCGATTTTCACGAGCTGTTCTCGGATCGCTGCGCGCAGTGTGACACGCCTATCGAGGATGAGATCATCTCCGCCCTGGGAAAGAAGTACCACCCTGGACATTTCTTCTGCGCCGAATGTGGTACGTCGTTCGATGCCAGCACGCCCTTTATCGTCCGGAACGATTACCCCTACTGTCAAGGCTGTTTCGAGAAAGTCACCGCTGAGCGGTGTGAGAGGTGTCGCTTACCCATGACCGACAGATACTTGGCAGCATTGGGAAAGAAGTTCCATGAAGCGTGTTTCAAGTGTGGGACTTGTGGAACTAAATTGGAGGGCGGGTTCCATGAGGATGAGGGGGTTGCCATGTGTGATGGGTGTTTTAGGAGGGTGATTATTGCGAGAAGTGAGCGGAGATGAAGGGGGGGGCATTGGTGAAAGTGTAGAGCGGGAGAAGGTGTTACGGAATGGCGTTTGGTGCAAGATCCTATTTTATGGTTCAGCTGGTCTGGATGGTTATGATCGTGGTATTCTTATAAGATTCCTTCCATATGCTCCCATGGTCATTCAGTAATCGATAAGCTGCGCGCGCACCCCGGCCCCCATTGGCTATATACCCCATGTCATGCTTCTCCGCTTCCTTCCCAACGACAACACAAGATACCACTCAATCAGATCAATTGCAAGAATGACTCGTGCGTCGCACCGCGGTAGCAACGACTTCTGATGAATCTCTAACGAAGGTTGCACAGTCTCCCTCTGGTTCACCCCTCCTTCGAATGATCCGATCACCTCTCAGCTCCGCTCGCTGATCACCACCCTCGCTTCCAACTGCCCACACATCTTCCCCAACTCACCAGTCTTCCCACCTCATGTCACCGTCGTCTCAGGAATCCCCAAAAGCGCAGATCCAGAGGAGGTGATGGACAAAATCATGGTCGAGTTGAGAAGACGGATGGATGTGGGGCCGCTGGGGGTTGAGTGGGAGCAAGCAGAGACGGGAAAGACTTATTACACGCGGTTGTATTACCCGTGCAAGGCGTCGCTTGGTTTACTTGGAATTGCGGAGTATTGCCGTCATGCGTTTGTTCCGGATCAATCGGAGGAGGATGCGGAGAAGTGGGTGAAGGAGACGTACTACCCTCATCTTTCTCTAGCGTACGCTGAGCCAGAGACTGGTGATAACAAGGAAGCATTTGAGCAAGTCAAGGGAACTGAGGAGGAAATCGGTGTGGGAAAGGGTTGGGTCGGTGGGAAGATCGTCTTAGTGGACACAAGTGGAAAGTGTGAAAACTGGAAGGTCTTGGGAGAGCGGAGGGTATGGTAGACAGTAGACATGTCACGATAGGTAGTGTACGATATCAAATGGGTTTATGTATCATTTCTTTTGGTTTGAGCAACTTCTCGATACCCAAAACAGTACTCCTACACTTCACCTCCAGACCTCAATATCAGACAGCGCTTAGAGCTTCTGCATGGCAGCAATATCAGAAGACTGAACCCAATCCTCACAATCCTCAGCAATCTTCTCCTGCAACTCATCGAGGGAAACCTTCTCGTCCTCAACGACGAGGGTAATCTGCAACTTGGAAACACCGTAACCGACGGGGACGAGCTTGGAGGCACCCCAGACGAGACCATCCTGCTCAATGGCACGGACGGCAGTCTCGAGCTCCTTCATGTCAGTCTCGTCATCCCAGGGCTTGACCTCCATGGTGACGACAGACTTGGCGATAGTCTTGGGCTTGTCGGCCTTCTTGGCGTTGTAGGCAGCGACACGCTCAGCCTTGACGCGCTCAGCCTCAGCGTCCTCCTCCTCGTCGTCAGAACCGAAGAGGTCGATGTCGTCCTCGTCCTCAGCGGCGGCAGCGGGGGCAGCAGCGGGAGCAGCGGCAGGGGCAGAGGCGGCACCGGCACCGTACTCGGTAGCGGTCTTGGCAGCGTCTCCGGGGAGGGAACCGAACTCGGACTCGTAGGAGGCGATGTGGGAGAACCAACGGGCGACGTTGGGGTAGAAGGGACCCTGGAGGGACTTGTAGACGGCAACGTCAGCCTGGGAAGGGGTGAAACCTGGTTCATTCAATGTCAGCCAATTGCTCTTCTTTCAATTCCAGCTCAGCCGATTGAGGCGAAAGGAAGGAAAGCAGTAGGGATAGACGGTATAGCCATAGTCATCGTGTCATCTTCTAGCAAAACCCTTAGGCGGGCTGTAGTCTTTTCGCGAGGTCTTAATTCGCAAATCTTAAACACGGACCAAAGTATTATAATCATCCGATGACCATGGTTTTCACATCCATCCCAACTCTGCTTTCCCTGCCTCCCTCACAACAACCGCGGATCAGCTCCAGGACAAACATACCGTCGATGTAGGACTTGTCAGCGAGGAAAGCCTCGAGCTGCTCAAGGCCGGCAGGGGTCTTCAAATCTCCGAAAGCCATTGTAGATGTTTATGTGAGTTTGGTAAATGGACGAGTCGAAGGATTGTTCTGCGCTGACGAGCAAATTTGGTAGCGGGTCCCTCGAAAAACCGAGGCGCGCTAAAATGTGGTAACCAGGGGACACTTGTGGGATGAGTAGAATGGGAGGAATATTTGGACTGGATTAGACGTGGAAAGTGGTTGTGAATTGTTATGTTCGTCTGATATCTTCTTCCTGGCTTCTCCTTCGCGTTCTCCGGGCGGCTGCGCGGTGATCAAGACATGCAATCCCTCTCCAAAATGTCCATCTAAAGCCCGCTTCATGATTCGTGGTGCTTGCTCCGTTTCGTAGTATTTGATAGCTCTGGTCTCCTGCCTCTTTTGACTTGATGATGCGGCAAATCTCCCGCTGATAGATCTCCTTCCCTCAACCTAATCGCGAATCAACCCGCTCCTTCAGATTTTCCCTTCATGCCTTAACATCACCATTTCCCGCCTTTGTCGTCTTGCCAGTCGCATACTCCTTCCGTCTCTGCCTAATATCAATGAACCCCGGTCTCGTGTCCAAATACTGCAAAGGACTCGATCCTTCCTTCTCGCATACCGCGTTCCATTCGCGCCATTTGATAGGTTTGAGGGCGTCTGCGCTTAATACGACTCCGAAGGAAAAGATTGTAGCGGATATGAGGGCTTCGACGATAATCTGTGGAGGAAGGGACGTTAGCATCCGTTTTGGTTATGGAGCACGTTGAGCGATGGACTTCGCTCTTCCCATTCAAGCTCCAGGACAACGGCAATACGTCGTTTGTAGAACAGAGCTGGGCAGAGTTTAAGAGTCGCTGCGGAAGTAAGGCAAACTCACGTCAATAGGTAGCCTTCCGACTGCCGTACGACCCACGGACTTTTGGAATGCGCGGTGCTCGTAGGCAGAGTAGCCTGCGTGGAACAGAATCACCAATGCGATGGTGATGAGAGCTCGAGCTGTTGACGAGGACATTGCCGTGATGAGTGTTTGATCGCAGTTGCAATGGCGGAGTTGGCTGGGTGAATACTCGATGATGCTCGAGATGCGGGTTTGAAAGGGGCGAGGCAGGGCGAGGCAGGCACAGCAGCGGTGTTGGGAACGAGGTGGGAACACGAAATTGAGTTTGAGTTTCTTTCGATCTTCAGGATTGTTTTTCAGTTGCTGGCTCACGTCCTTCTTTCGCCCCAGAAACGCAGAAAGCCTCGAGACTGCAGGAGTTTCACGGTTCCAGGCCGGCGCGCGGCCGTGCTCAAGAGACCTCCTCAGCACCGCACCCACCAACCAAACCATGGCTCCCCACTCAGAACACCCAGCCGAAGACAACACTCATGTCCGTTTTGCCTCTTCTCCCTCTCATGCCCCTCAACCCCGTCCTCTTTCCTCTTCCTCGTCCTCCCCTGACCAAGACTGGGACGGCACCCTCGACGAAACCATCATGGCTCTCGACTACCGTGACCGTAAGATCGGGTGTTGTTATCTGAATGCAATTGAGGGGAAGTTGTGGATGATGGAGGATATGGAGGAGAGCGCGCCTTGGGATCTGGTTGAAGCATGTATGCCGAGGACGGGAGCGTGGGAAGTGGGAAGTGCGGTGTATGCTGATTGTATGCGCGTGCAGTGCGGTTCCACGTACAACCAAGTACGATTCTCCTATCCTCCCGTATCGAAGAATCCTTACTGGATAAACTCGAAGGTCTCGCAGCACCGACCGAACCCGCGCCTTCGTCTTCGTCGTCGGCTACCTCTGGCCCGGATTCGACGGGATTTGCGCTAGATATCCGACCTGCGACGGAGTTTGCGTATCAGACTGCACGGAGTAGATTGATAAGCTTGAGAGTTGGGCAAAAGGAGGGACCTAGGATTGAGTTTGCGGGTGCGGAGGAGGGGGATGGACAGCGTGAGGGATTGATGAGGTTAGCCGGTTGGGTTGATGTTGACAGTAAAGTCACGGTACAAAACGGCATTCACCAATCAAGATTAAATTGCTGACTGGGTTCGTTTTGTACAGGTTGGATGTGCGGGTGCTGTTATCGCGTACTTTGCGAGGAGGAGGTTGATTGGGGGCATACATGGCGATGATGAGTTTGTGCGGGTGAGCGTGAATGCGATATCGATGTTCTCGATGTACGAAGAACAGGATTATGACCTAAACGGACGTACTGACTGTTTTATTGTACAGGAATGACTATATGCTCGTGAATGCCGACACGATCTGGTCTTTCTTGACTTCCTGGTGATCCAGCAATCACTAACGAGCATGGCGATAGTTCATTACAGATCTTCGAGGACGAATCACATCCAAATTTCCACATGCAAGGGCGCGGAGGCCGTGGTAAAGAAGGTCTCTCCCTCTTCGGTCCGTCTCCTCTCCCTTCTCCCTGCACTTCCCAACCTCACGTCCAATCACAGGCATCATGAACTCCACCCGCACCCCCCAAGGCTCCCTCCTCCTCCGTCGCTGGTTCCTCCGGCCTTCCCTAAGCCTCGACATCCTTCACGCCCGCCACTCAACCCTCTCCCTCTTCCTCCACCCCTCAAACCTCCACGTAAGTGACGCACTCTGCACAGCCCTCAAGAAAGTCAAGGATATAGGAAAAACCCTTCTCGGACTCCGAAGTGGTAGATCTGGTGGGACAGTGGGAGAGTGGCAGCGAATGCTCGAATTCATATGGAGTACGATCAAAATCCGTGGCGCAATCGAAGAGCTATTCCAGACTTCTGAGAATGACAACGCACTCCCCATCATCCAACAAATCACAAACAATTTCGATATACCCGCCCTGACAACCCTCGGCACCCTCCTCACCTCCACCATCGACTTCGACACCTCATCCCTCGAACACCGAACCGTAATCGCCCGCGGCGTCGACGACGAACTGGACAACATGAAACACGTCTACGATGGTCTCGATTCGATGTTGGCGCAGGCTGCTGCGCAACTTGCGGAACAGGTTCCGAGGGAGGTGGCGGGGGTGTTGAATGTGATTTATTTTCCGCAGTTGGGGTATTTGATTACTGTGCCTGCTGCTGAGGAAGGAGAGGCGGGAGGGGGAGGGAGAAGGTTGTGGGAGGGGGAGGGGTGGGAGTTTCAGTTTAATACTGCGACATGCTTTTATTACAAGAGTGTTGAGATGAGAGGTGATACTCTCTCTCATGGATCTTTTGATTGTGTGGTTGACGAGTGGTAACAGAACTTGATGAGTATTTCGGTGACATTCACGGGCTGATCGTTGGTACGGTTCTGCGAAGTCGGTAATTTCGTAGGAGTTTACTGACAATCACACGAACGTACAGACCGCGAAATCGAACTCGTCCACCAACTCCAACTCCGCGTCCTCGAATCAAGCGCCCTCCTCACCAAAACCTCCGATATCTGCGCCGAGCTGGATTGGTATGTCTCATCCCCAGATCCTTCCGAACATCATGCGTGAGTTTTTGGGCCATGACTGACGCAGTGTGCGGACAGTTTATTGGCACTCGCCGAGAGTGCGCGGAAATTCGGGTACCAGAGACCGAGGATGGTAGAGGAGAACGTGATCCGGATCACGAAAGGACGGTGTGTCGCCCTAGCTTCCATTATCCAACTGCTCGATAGGGAGGCTTAAACGTGACACAGACATCCCCTCCAAGAACTTCTTGTCCCATCCATCGTCGAGAATGACACGAACCTCGCCGGTGGTCGCAGTACGGATGCTCTGCGACTCGACGGAGAGGATGGAGAGGAAGGGGAGTTGGAGGTGAATAGTGCGATGTTGTTGACCGGAGCGAATTTCTCGGGTAAGAGTGTTTATTTGAAGCAGGTTGCTTTGATTGTTTATTTGGCGCATGTTGGGAGGTACGTGATCAACCGGCCTTCTTTCTCATCTGCCCTTCTCGCCCGTCTCCGTTCGACATGAGAAGCTGAGAGACGGGGATGTGGGGAGAGGGAGGGCGATAGGTGCTGATCAGAATGCGCAGTTATGTACCGGCGGAAAGTGCAACAATTGGCTTAACCGACAAGATTCTCACGCGTATCCAAACCCGTGAATCCGTCTCCAAGGTAACCCTCCCCTCCTCCCCTCCTCCGCCCTCTTCCATTCCCCGTCTCCGACCTGCTAACAGCGTACAACAGATGCAATCCGCCTTCATGATTGACCTCCAACAAATATCCCTTGCGCTCCGTGCTGCGACCCGGCGTAGTCTCCTCATCATTGACGAGTTCGGCAAGGGGACAGAGTCGACAGGTATGCTCCACATCTCGGCTGAGGATGCGAAAAGGATGCTCATCTGAAGGGGTATAGATGGTGCTGGGTTATTTTGTGGGGTGTTGGACTGGTTATTGAGGCTGGGAGAGGAGAGGCCGAAGGTTTTGGCAGGTACGTCGTTCTCCTCTATCTCTCGCGAACGACTAGTCACGAAAGGTCGGACGTGGGCTTGGAAGACCAGACTAATGAATGCGTACAGCCACACACTACCACGAGACCTTAGAAGGAGGGTTCTTGGACCCTGACTTACCGCTGAGCTACGCACATATGGAAATCATCCTCGATCCTTCTTCCTCCACGAACGCCAACCCCAATTTAACCTACCTCTACCGTCTCCGCCCCGGCCGCTCGTTATCCTCATTCGGAACACATTGTGCCGCAAACGCTGGAATCGCACCAGAGATCATCGAGCGTGCGGAGAAGTTTGTAGAGGTTGCTGCGAGAGGAGAGGACATTGCTTCCGTTTGTGCTCTGGGAGGCGGGAATGGGGAGAGGGAGAAGAAAGAATTGGAGGAGGCGGAGGTTGTTGCCAGGAGGTTTTTAGAGTGGGAGATTGATTGTGATGATGGAGATATTCGGGATGTCCTGGCGAGGGTGTTGGTTGTGTGATGTCATTGTGGGTGTGCTGTCTCGTCGGCTTGAGTTACCTCATTTTCAATTTAGCGCCAACTTTGCTTAAAGGGAGAAGACATCTCGAGAATTGATCAGCTGTAAGAGTAAGAGTAAGGACAAGATGGACGATAAAACACTCTACGATAACGAATCATTGAGGAGGAAGGACGGTTTCCACCTCAACCAGAATGACCACCAATTGAAGGATCGGGGTGGTGTTTTCTCCTTCTTACGACCGACGCATGCGAGCTTTACGCATAAACATGACGAGAGGACGGAGTTGAGGTGGAATTCGAGATCGCACAGGAAGGGGAGGCATCTGGTTACCATACACAAATCCGCCAACACCACCCTCCCCTCCACCCAGGCCCGTCGCGGTGGCTTCCGCTTCAAATTCCCAGTCTTCAAGCGCCACACCCACCAACACCATCACATCACCCCCTTCCAGCCCTTCAACATCTCGTGGTGGGTTGCGACAGCCTTCGTCATTGGCTCCGCAGTCTGGATCGTAAACGGCTTTTTCGTGTGGCTTCCCACTGCGTTCCCGGATGCTGTTAAAACGAATAATCCGGCGAGTGTGTGGACTGGGTTCGCGGGTGGGACTATTTTTGAGGTTGGGGCTTGGTTGGCGTGGGTGGAGAGTTTGAATCGGGGGCGTACGGTGTGCTTTGGAGTGGAGGTTGAGGGTGTTTTGAGGAGGGTTCGGTCGGGGAGAAGGGGAGGTGAGGGGGGGCTGGTTGGCGAGGGGAACACGAAGGAAGGGTCTGTCTTGCAGGGAGAGGCGTGCAAGCATGTTCACCACACCCACCTCTTCCACCGCCGCTCATCCACCTCCTCCACCGACACCACTTTACCAACCTCTTCCTCCACCACCCCGAGCCCAACCTCATCCGCCACAAAACCCACCCAAAAATGGCGTTGGTACGGCTGGCTCCCCCACGAACTCGGCTACCTCGCCTCAATCATCCAATTCCTCGCCGCCACGATCTTCTGGATCTCAACCATCACCGGCCTCCCCAACATCCTCTACGCCCCCACCCCCTCAAACCTAACCCTCCGCATCATATTCTTCTGGACCCCCCAAGTCGTCGGCGGACTCCTCTTCATCATCTCTTCCCTCCTCTACATGCTCGAGACCCAGAAAGCCTGGTACAAATTAAACCTCACATCCTTGGGGTGGTGGATCGCTGTGTGGAATTTGGTGGGGAGTGTGGGGTTTTGTCTTTGTGGTGCGCTGGGGTATGCGGCGGATAGAGGGAGTACGAGGTGTGCGTATCAGAGTGGGTTGAGTACGTTTTGGGCGAGTTTTGGGTTTATGATTGGGAGTTGTTTGCAGTGGTGGGAGGGGGTTGATACGGCTGTTGTGGAGGTTGTGGAGGATCAAGCTGAGTAATGCGGCGGGAACGGAATTCGTGGCTTGGGTAATTTACGGGTGTTGTCATTCATTCAGAATATATATCCAATCACATTGAGTATCTGGAGTTATCTGGGATGATATGGTAGTAAAGCTAACAACCGCTTGGGGAAATACTCCAGCTCAAGGTGCACGCAGCAATTCGAAGGGAGGATGAATGTGGAGTAGAGGCTGTGGTGGATTCTCTTCAGACAACTACAACCCCAAAGTCATGAAACCACTTATCAGTACGTAACAACAGGGAAGGCCTGACATCCGTGAAGTACGTCTCCTTCGTGACCCCTTGCTTACCGCTTTCATCAAAGGAAGTCACTTTCACCCAGTTCGAGTCACTCGGCGTTCCTTGAAAATCCAACGTAAATGTGAGAGAGTCGTTGCCGTCCCTCCCGTTAACGATGAAGAACTAAGGACTGGCAAGTTGGATGCTGCGGATCGGGGAGATAATTGTAATGGCGATCTAGGATTCGCTCGTGGTAACGGTATTGGGTTGCGGCGACATATATATCCCGTCACGTTAAGGTACAGGTAGTAGTAGTAGTATTATAAACCGGAGGCGATACAGGACGGCAAGTAGAAGTACAAAGCTATGGTAAACGGCAAACGAAACCTTAGTACAAGTCATCCCAGTTCCAGTCATACTTGTGCGTCTCGTCAATCATCAAACTCGACTGGAATAGTCAACTGCATGGAACGTCATCGGTGTCTGCCCATTATAAATAAGCTTTTGACACCTGTCTCATTCCCCTCCGATATGGTCTAGGGGTTAGGATTGCCCGCTTTCACCGGGTCGGCCCGGGTTCGATTCCCGGTATCGGAACATCTCTTTTGCTCTTTGTGATGTTGTTTCTTGCGAAACACCTTCTCGGCGCATACCTCCTGGCCTGTCAAACTGAGCGTAACCTCGTCCCTTCGTCTTCTTCCTTGTGTCATCGTTCGATGATTTTCGCTGTTTCATGTGCGCATGCGCTGCGGGTTCGTCCTGGCTTCAGCGGACCAGCGCAACGTTAACCGATAAACCCCACGCATTTTGGACGACGGTAAACAAATCGACCGACAAACCTGATCCTTACAATGTGGATATCGACGTCGCCTAATCTATCAGGATGGTTTTCAAAACTCGCGGATGATGGTGCGCGTCTTTCCCCGAGTTCGCGATGGATCTTTGGGCTAATTAGGAGATCAGACGCTTGTCGCTCGTGCTTATCGCAGTCTGGTTATGGGTGGTGTCCCATGGTAAGCAATGAGACTGACATTCGAAAGTATGTACTAATTTATTACCAGCAGACCTCAACTTGTACACCCTCCCCTCGCGGTATCTTCTCACCGATATGGAATTCGACGATTTGTGGATTTGATGCACATGCTCGATGGGATCTCAGAACAAATCCGATGGGGTGTTATGGTGGGTACTCGTGTTGTACTGTTAAATAACCATACTGATGAGTTCCTACAGTGTCTACGATGACCCTCGGCGCTTTCCTCTTCGCATTCGTAGCAACTCTCACTTTGACGCTCTTCCTCTGCCTCACCTACCTCTGCCTCCGCCGCCTCTTCCGCCGCTCTACATCATCATCAGACTCATCCCCCCTCCGTCCCGAACGCGCCCCCCTCCTCTCCCGTTCAAGCTCACAGTACCCCGCCTTTTGCTCCTCCCCAACACCCCCCCTCCTTCGCCGCTCTTCATCCCATCAATCAGGGACTTCGACGCCTACGCCGACAGGATCGAGTAATGGTGCGCCGGGTGGGAGGGGGAGGACGATGGGAAATGGGTTGGCGAGTAGTTGGAGTAAGCGACGGAGCATGTTGTTTAGAAAGGGGGAGGGGAAAGCGAAGGTGAAAAGTCCGAGTCCGGGGAGGAGTTTGGAGAGGTCTGTGTGAGCTGTATGAGCAGTGAAATAGGCACGGCCGGGTGGAGGGACAGTCTACATTTTAATCTAGAAGGGATAGCTTGGGAGGTGGAGATGTTGGAGAGGACGATGCGCGATCGGCTGGACCGACGGCAACACAGAAGAAAAAGGGATAGGGACAAAGCCGTATTCTATCCAAGGCAACTGAAACGTCCAAAGCTTCATCCCCGGCATGGCCAAGTGCATCACTATGTCAACCCACATTATCCCACGATAGTCCCTGCAGTCGGAGATACTCGAAGCCCGAGCACCACAACCCGGCCCGCAAACATTCAAGCAGTCAGCAACACCTACACCCAAGTCCGTCACTACATCCGATCCTACAACCTTTCAAGACTGAATTATGTCTGCCGTCCCTCCATTCACCGAAGAAACTGCCCGCAAGAAGGTCAAGGCTGCACAGGATCTATGGAACACGAAAGACCCCGTGAAGGTCGCCAAGGCATATACCGAAGGTCGTCTGAGCGTGCAGACGTGTTGCACGTTTCACGGCTGAAAGTGGATGACAGACTCCATCTGGCGTAACCGCGACCAATTCTTTCAAGGCACAAAAGCAATCGAACAATTCCTCACAGACAAATGGTCAAAAGAAAGCGGCTACCGGCTCCGGAAGGAGCTATTCACATTCGCCGGGAATCGGATCGCCGTACAGTTCTGGTATGAGTTTTGGGATGATAGTGGACAGTGGTGGCGGTGTTATGGATTGGAGCATTGGACGTTTGCGGAGGATGGGAAGATGAAGAATCGGATGATGAGTGTGAATGATGTTAAGATTAGTGAGGGGGAGAGGTGGTTTGAGGGAGATGCTGATGTTAATAGTGTTACGATTCCGGAGGGGCATTGGAGTGGTATTATGTGAAAGTTCAAAGGTTAAGCATATGGCTATGAAGCAGATGACCGATAGCCAGGCGTAGTCCGTCATCCTCAAAAAAAAGTCCGTCGTCATATCATACAGGTCAACCTGAATACCATTTTGTCCACAACATACCCTCCCATAGTTCACTGCCACTCCAAGGTCCAATCCTGAACCCACGCACTAGCGCTTCCAAGCTCGGAGATAATCAACTCGCCAGAAGTGCTGTTGTAGCAGACGCTCTCACAGCTCTTTCCATTGAAGGCAACTGACTTCGGCTCAGACGTAATACCCAAGAGCGTGATTGTCTCCAAAGCAATCTCAGCCTGAGGCAAAACCGAGCCCGTAATCTCAGTAGAAGCCTTCAAACTGCCTGAAGCCACAGAAAGGGCGATAACCTCAGTAGACTCCTGTTCGACGGAAACACCATCATCGAGGTAAATCTCACCCTCCGCAGAGCCCTCAGAATCAAGAGCGACAAGGAGAGACCAAGTACCGTTACGGGATTCATCTGTCGTATATCCCGGAGTCTGCATGGGAAGGATATACCCACCACGCACAAAGAGCGGGATATGACCCAATGGAGCAGGAATAGTGGTGTTCTGCCCAGCAACCGCGTCGACCTTCTCGTGGGTGTACCAATCATACCACACCTCGCCATCCGCGACACCAGGGAAGACCCCCATGGTGTAATCCACATCCGGCTCAAGAACGGGTGTAACCAACAACGCCTCACCCAACACAAACTGGCGATCAGCGGCAACGAGGGAAGCATCGTTCGGCCACAAGAACGACAAGGGGTTCATGACGGGTGCACCCGTCTTGCTGGCTTCATAGAAGAGGGTGTACATGTAAGGCAACAGCGAGTAGCGGATCTTCATCGCCGTCTTCGATGCCTCGGCGACGGAAGCCCACCTATAGGGCTCCTGACTCAATGCGCCAAGCGTATTATGGTTGCGGTAGAATGGGAAGAACGCACTGAGCTGCATCCAGCGATTGCAAAGCTCCTCGTCCGTGTTGCCAGCAAAACCACAGGTATCGACTCCAAACATCGGAATCCCAAACATCTGGAACATAAAAGCCTGAGGAATCGAAAACGCCATATATGCCCACTTGGAATAATTATCCCCACCCCAATGTCCCGCATACTTCCCCGACCCAGGATACGTAGACCTCGAGATGATGAACGGGCGTTCATCGGGTTTGTGCTCCAACAGGCCGTTGTAAGTTGCGATGGTCTCCATGTAGCCGAAGAGGGAGTGGACGTCGTATTCGCGGATTCCGTTAGCGTGGGTTGCGTTGGGGGAAACTGCGTGGCCTGCGAGGTCGCCATTTTGTTGCCAGTTGTGGATGGCGTAGGGGGGGTAGTTGATGTTTTCTGGCCCGTATGGTCCCTCGATCTCCGGGGCGTAGACGGTTGGGCCGACGGTGTTCGTGGGAGATGGAGATGCGAGGGATGAAGCAGAAGCGGATGCGGCGGCGGCGGCGGAAGCAGAAGAAACAACCGTAGCCTCAGTCGCGTTACTTACGTTGAAACCCTCAGGATAATCATAACTCACACCTCCCAACGCAAACGGCGGCAGGATAGGCTGAGAACCCAAATCATCCGACCCACAAGACCCAACACAGAACGACGAAACCTCATTCATATCAAGCCAAATCCCCGAATAATCCACCAACTTCGAAAAGTTGACAAGAGCTTCCGTCCAATACGTCTGTGTCCCATTCGCAAAGAAGTCAGGGAAGACAGTATACCCAGGCCACACAGCCCCAACATACTCCGACCCATCCGGATTCTTGATCCACGCGTCCAACTCATGACCCCTATAATACGACTCATACTCCGAATCCGTAGCGTTGTTCGGATCGGGTCGGTAAATCGCCGCATCAACAATAGGCACATAATGCTGCCCCACACTCCTCAACCCCTCCGTAAACGCCAAAAACTCATCAGCGGGGTATCTATTCGGACTCACCGTCCAATCCTTCCAAAAATCCATATAATCAATATCCGTCCAAATCGTTTCAAGCGGGATCCCGAACTCCTTGAAACTTTCCACAACATCAATCAATTCACTCAAGTTCGAGTATCCCCACCTACACTGGTGGAATCCGAAGGTCCAGTATTGTTGCATGGAGGGGAGACCGATGGATTGGACGTATTGTTGGGTTACGGAGAGCGGGGTGGGACCGGTGTAGATGTAGAGGTCGAGGATGCCGCCGGTGATTCGGTATTGGAGGTAGTCTTCGCGGAGGAGGACGTCCATGTCGTTGGAGGAGCGGATGAAGACACCGTGAGCGGAGGAGGATGAGCCACCACCTGCAGAAGAGGTTGTTGCCTTGGAAGATTGTGCCGAAGTAGTTGATGACTCCTTTTCATGACGGGCGAAGCGGTTGTGCTTCACGGCCGTCGTCGTCGTACACGGCTCCTCCTCGACCGCGATACTACTATACAGAGCATCACCCGAACTCTCAAATCTCTGCTCCAAATAAAACGGATGGTACCCATATAAATTCGCATCCACCACATCCCCAATATCCGCGGCATAAATCGTCCTCGTGGCATTATTTCCGATCCTCCACCCCGCGATCGTCTCACCCAACCCATAGACATTGTAGTCTTGTACCATATTCGTGGTGAGTTGAATGAATTGGTCTTCAAAGACGAGGGGATGGGTGCGGGTGTCGAAGAGGATTTGGGCGTCGGAAGTGCGGGTGATCCAGAAAGCGAAGGGTTGAGCAGTATAGGAGAACGAATAGTCCAACTCGTCCTCCGATAATTCCTCCGCGGGTTCGGGCGAGGGTGCGATCTCCTCCGGCACCTGCCACTGCTTCTCCCCCGCATCCACAATCTTCACGTTAACCCTGCTCTTCGTCTCATACCTAACACTCAACACCAACTCCCTAATATCATTCCCATACACATTACACCCCTCCCCGGCCAACGTCAAACTAGCATTCAAGCCACGCGTATTTTGCACGAGGTTAGAGAGGGTGTAACCGGGGCAGATGAGGTCGGCGAGGGGAGCAGTGTTGTTGTTTACGGTTGCGTTTTGGGCTACGCCGGTTGTTTTCCATTGTTCGACGGTTTTTTGGGGAGCGTAGGAGGTTGTTTCTGAGCCACTGGTACCACTGCCACCGGTATTGTCGGTGGTGCAGGGAGTGGAGGAGGAGGAGGAGGAGGATGAGTGAGCGTAGGTGTAACCGAGTAGCGGAGCTTGAGCCGCTAGAAGAACGGCGAGCGAGGAGAACTTCATGTCGAAGTACTTCTCAGAGCGAGGGTCGGTGAGGAAATCATCTGGAAGCGGCGAATAGCGAGTTTTTTATACCCTTCCCCCGGGGCAAGCTCCAAACAAGTCACCCAAACAACCCCGCTCCCAAAAGAAACCTGCTGATCACCAATGATCCCACAATCACGTCCCATCTCATGGCGTACGTAATGTGGGGTACCGGTCAGTGCGAGTTGTGGAGTACATACACAAACGTTGTCGAAAACCGCCTTCTACGCCAAGGTCATCATCTCACGGTCCGCTGCGAACCTTCACCGAGAGTTGTTCCGACATGAACGACACGCCATCGAACGTAAGTCCTGAGATGAAGGGATGTCGCTTCCGTGAGCCTTAACTGGGGACAGCTGATCAGCGGCGTCAACGCCTACCCCTCTTTTGTGGAAGCCGAAATGGTGCCAGAGTTGACGACGAGGTGGGGGTAAAGTGTGTGCCGACCGAGCTTTTCGTCATGGCCCGAGCAGAAATTGTGCCGAGCGGAACGTCACCGAGGATGGACGGAGCGCAGCCGAGATGCTCAGTGGGGTGATCCCCCAATTCAACCTGCGACATCCGTCGAGAATCTCACCGATAATTCACCCGCTCCCAGGTGGTCATCGGCGTCCCTTCTCGTAGCAAATGTAACCTCGGCCGGACCTTTCGGCTAAATGATCTCGCGGCGCGGACATGAGCATATACCGTATACACCTACATCGACCACTACATCTACGTTTACAAACACCACTCTGCCTCACAACTTTTGCCAACAGTCTCGTACGCCAACCAGCACACGAAACCACCCACAAAAATAGAGAGATAGAGTAAAAAGAAGCCCGTCAGAGCGCTCTTCCGTACAACCCAGCATGCCCTCCAAAGAGTCGCACAACCAGGCCAGAGTTCATCGAGTCCCGCACACACCCATCACCGACCCTCTCGAGTCGACGACAAGCTCCACCCGTTTGGGCAGAGGATACGGGACAAATTGGAAGGATCCTCGCTCGAATCGTACGAAAGAACCATACGCTCATCAACCGAGTATAACTCGATGGCAGGTTTAGAAAACCAATGCCAGAACAGATACTATAGAAATGATCCTATGAAGTATGTTCGATGAGGACGGTTCAGTACGGCGGGGGGGGAGCGGTTTATATAGCAGCTGGCTCTCTGGTGTGGCTGGTTTTTCTTCACGGGGCGGTGCGTCAGGGGTCAGGGCCAGGGTCAGGGACAGGGGTACGATAAGCCGAGGAAAGTTGCGATAACGAGAAACGTCATGTAGCAGCACCACCACCATGCCAAAGAGACCAAACGGACCGAATATCATCATCTGTGGTGTGTCGTCTAACAACTTCGATTTCTCGTCGTCGGATGGAAATGCTGATCTCACGGAACCGCAGGGACCCCGGGAACTGGCAAAACAACCCACGCCGAACTCCTCGCCGCCCAAACATCCCTAACACACCTGAACCTCGGCACCCTCGTAAAAGACCACAAACTCTACGAATCCTACTCCCCAGAATGGGACTCCTACATCGTCGATGAAGACAAACTCCTCGACCACCTCGAACCTCTCGTCCCCACGGGCGGTCTGATACTAGACTGGCACACCTGTGACGTTTTTCCCAAGTCGTGGATTGATTTGGTGGTTGTGTTGAGGACGGACAACACGATGTTGTGGGATCGCTTGGAGGGGCGGGGGTACAGTATCGAGAAAATCCAGGAGAATAATGAGGCGGAGATTATGCAGGTCGTGTTGGATGAGGCGAGGGAGGCCTATGACGGGGAGATTGTGGTTGAGTTGAGGAGTGAGAGCGCGGAGGATATTCAGGGGAATGTGGAGAGGATTGAGCAGTGGATGGAGGCGTGGAAGGGGATGGAGCATGTCAGTGATGATGCGGAGGAGGACTCTGATTAGACAAGACACGTCGGACGGACTGGACTTTGTCACTTTCTATCTAATGCATTGAATGTATACCCCCCGCGGCCGATCACAAATAACTCCCGCTTAGCACCCTCCCCGAGCCAAAAACTCCTTAACCTTCTCCAACGCCCTATACCGATGACTAATCCCATTCTTCTTCTCCTTACTCATCTCAGCGTACGTCTCCCCCCCACCCTCCACCGGCTCAAAAACACTATCCCACCCGAAATCCCCGCTCCCCCTAGCCTCCACCACCCTCCCCTCAGTCCTCCCCTCAAAAAGCAATACTTCACCCCCAGGACTAGAGCAGAAGGCGAATGTGCAGAGTGCGTAGGCGGATTTATCGGGGAAGCCGGCGAGGAGGGTGGGGAGGTGTGTGGTGGTTAGAGAGGTGAGGAAGTGTTTGATGTAGGGACCTGGGAGGCCGTTGAGTGCGTTAAAGCAGAGACACGTATCTTCGACGAGGACGGGGCCATTGACCTGGTGGTGAGGAAAACGTCAGTCTTTTTCGCACCATCGTATCAAGGGAGGGGATGAGGACGTACGGCGAGTGCGGCCCGGCGGGCTTTGTCGGCGGAGATCTCTTGCGTGGTTCCCTGGATTTCGACGACTATGGGTAACACACTAGTACGTTAAGGGCTATTTGAGAGAGTAACGACGAGACGTACGATCGATGGCCTGCGATTTGATTTCCACGCCGGCGGATCCGAGGATTGCTTGCACCTCCGCGAGCTTGTTTTTGTTGCCGGTGACGAAGACTGCACGCGATCCCTCTTTGTCAGCTCTTGTGGTAGGGCTGGCTGGCTGGCTGGTGGTAGGTACTTAGGGAATCGAGGGATGACATTTTTGGTTTTTGCGTTTTGGTTTGTGAGCGTTCGTCGTTAACTTCGACGACCTGCAGCGGGCCGCGTGAAGCGATCTCCCCCCCGCTTCAGCACACCCTATCCTACAACACAAACAACGATGGCCGTTATGTCACCCGAAGTAAATGATTTGGCACCGCCAAAGGATGATCCATACACTACCGAACAATTGGTGCGCGCTGCGTGGTGTGGGAGTGGGTTGAGTGCGGAGGAAGTGGTGTGCTGATATGGTGTGTGATTGTAGGCGGAATGTGATGGGAGTGATGAGTCGAAGCCGATTTGGGTACGTTTTTTCCTTCTCTCCCACCCCCGTTCCCTTCTCTATAAGAGGCCAGCTGGCTTGGTTGTACGGTTCGCGGTTCGCTGACGCTCACTGCTCATAGCTCGCCATCCGCGGCCTAATCTACGACGTCACCCGCAACAAATCCATGTACGGCCCCGGTGCGGGCTACAACATCTTCGCCGGCAAGGACGCATCACGGGGTCTTGCGAAGAGTTCGTTGAAAAATGAGGATGCGAGGGGGGAGGTGGAGGGGTTGACGGAGGCGGAGATGAAGGTGTTGAGTGATTGGGAGGGGTTTTTCCAGAAGGCATGTCATTTGGAGGGGATGGGGTTGAGGTTGAGGGCAAGGTCAGATTGCTAACGTGGTTTGCAGCGGTATAACATTGTTGGGAGGTTGATTGATGGACCTAACGCCCGTCCATGAAGGCTATGAAGGAGTGCAATGATACCAGTGAGGAGGTTGGAAGGCGGGCGTTTGACATTTGGAATTTCCCAAGTTTCTGAAGACGTTTTATCGTATTCTTCCTTTCCTTTTAGATACTCCTTCATAAGTCGTTATTATCCTCTCTCACGTGACCTGCACGGCGATAAACTGTGCGATAACCGCAAAAAGTCGCTGCGTAGGCGCAAACAACAAGAAGCACAGAATATACCCAACCACCACCTACACACAATGTCAGACGATTCGGGATTCATTCCCCTCGAGACCGGCTCGCCAAAGGCCGTCAAGACCACCGGTGCCAAAGCCGGCAAGGATGACGACAAGAACGCATCTACCCTCTTTGTCCGCTCGATCCCATACTCCGTGACTTCCGAGGCTCTGGAAGCTTTCTTCTCGGACATCGGACCGATCAAGTCGACTGTTATCATCACTGATCAGGAATCTGGCAAGTCCCGTGGATTCGGGTTCGTGAGGTTTGCGATGAAGGAGGACGCCACCCGCGCCATGGAGGAACTGAAGTCCAAGAAGCTCGAGGGTCGGGCATTGAAGATGGAGGTCGCTGAGAGACGACAGAGGAAGGACGAGGACGGTGAGAAGAAGGACAAGGTTGTCAAGGTGAGGGAGGATGTGGTCAAAGCCCAAAACCGCGCTGTCCAGAAAAAGAATGACCAAGACAAAGATCTGAGACCGCGACTCATTGTACGGAATTTGCCGTGGAGTGTGAGGACGCCTGCGCAGATTCAGCCTGCGTTTGAGCCGTTTGGGACTGTGAAGGAGGTTTCGATTCCGAGGGGGAGGGGAGGGAAGATGAGTGGGTTTGGGTTTGTGGAGATGGGAAGTAGGGAGGAGGCGGAGAAGGCTGTTGAGGGTGTTAATGGAACGGAGATTGAGGGGAGGACTGTTGCCGTTGATTTCGCTGTGGGAAAGGATGCTTGGGAGAAGATGCAGGATGAGGAGGAGGAGGGTGCTGAGGAGGAGGAAGAAGATGACGAGGAGGAAGAAGATGAGGATGAGGATGACATGGACCCCGTCCAGGTTCCTTCTGATTATGAGGAGGATGAGGATGAGGATATGGAAGACGACGAGGAAGTCGAGAAGAAACAAAGCGACACCCGCAACCGCACCCTCTTCATCCGAAACCTCCCCTTCGACTGCGACGACGACAAACTCCACCAAAAATTCCGCTCTTTCGGACCCCTCCAGTACGCTAAAGTCGTCGTCGACCACTCCACCGGCCGTTCCCGCGGAACTGGATTCGTCTGCTTCAAGGAGGAAGAAGATTCCGAGAACTGTTTGTATGCGGCGAGTAAGATCCGTGCACCTACGAGTGCGAATTCGATTTTGTTGCCGGGGGAGGTTGATGCTGATTCGGAGAAGTTCATGATGGAGGGACGTGTTTTGACTGTCACTGCCGCTGTTTCGAGGGAGGATGCCGACAAACTCAAGGAGGAGGGTGAGGAGAGGAGACGGAGGGAGATGGGTAAGGGTGCGGATCGACGAAACTTGTTTTTGTTGAATGAGGGTGCGATCAACAAGAACTCTAAGCTCTTCAGTGTGTTGCCTGAGTCGGAGAAACAGCTTCGTGCGCAATCCCAGCAACAGAGAAAGAAGTTGTTGGACGGCAACCCTTCGCTTCATCTTTCTTTGACGCGTTTGGCTATCCGTAACATTCCTAAATCCGTCACTGGAAAGGATTTGAAGGTGATTGCGCGTAAGGCGTTTATCCAGTTCGCGACCGACGTCAAGGAAGGAAAGCGCGAGGCACTCTCCAAGGAGGAGATCTACCGTGATGGAAACCCCGCTTACAACAAGAAGAAGGGAGTCGTGAAGCAGGCTAAGGTCGTCATGGAGAAGGATGGGAAGTCTAAGGGATACGGTTTCGTTGAGTTGGTTAGTCATCGATGGGCGTTGATGTGTTTGCGTGGAATGAACGGTATCGAGGTCGGTGAGGACGAGGGTGAGCTCGCTCAGAAGGGCAAAGACACCGATGCCGTCGCTGCTCCCGCGAAGAAGGGCAAGGGCGGAAAGGCTGCTCCCCAAGAAGATGAAGAGGAGGAGTCCAAGTCCCGAGGCCGCAAGCGCCGTCTCATCGTCGAGTTTGCAATCGAGAACGTCAAGGTTGTCAAACGTCGTCGCGAGCGTGAGGAACACCACAAGAAGGTTGCGCAGGCTGACAAGGAGGCCCCGAAACCGATTGAGGAGGAGAAGGAGGAGACAGGTGGCAAGAGGAAGAGGGATGATGAGGATGATGAGGAGAAGAACAAGAAGGCGAAGGCAGCGAGGATTATTTCGCAGAAGAGGGCGAAGAGGAAGAACAACAGGAAGGGAAATTAGGTGGGTAGTTGGGTAGTTGGGTAGACATGGACGGTCAGATATTCATAATGAATTATACCATTGCATCTTTCATATGAGCAAGTCTTATTCGTCACGTCTTAGGCGAATGCTTTTGAAAGTTTGAGCCGTTTCGTGTGGGTAGCACGACGGAGAGTCGATCCGTGGGGATTTAATTACAGACCGTGATGCCTTTACGAATTATCGCCCAGTCTCGCTGATTTTGCACCTACCTATAGCGAGACGTCTTTAGATCCTGTTCCGTTGTCGCACACTGCCGAATTCCGAAAATTTACAGTTGTATGCCAGGCTCATGACCGGTCAGCCCAGGGAATTCAAAGGTTGTTGTGGACTCCTTGGCCAGAATCGAGGCACATGTTCTCTGACCCGGCAGAGATCTCATATCCCCACAGCATTTATCGAGATCTCAGACGTGAAAGCACGGATTAGACATTCTCCGGGTACCGGTTAACAGAAAAGGAAAGTAAGTACTCGGTCGTCATAAAGAAAATAGACATTCTAGTGAGTCACACAGTGTCATCTTATATGTGTTTTCAAATCTGCCCCATGCGACGCATACATAATCGGCTCGTTCTACCTCTGCTTTAGTTGAAGTTTACCGCCGTGAGCTGGACATGACCCGACCGTGGGAGCTTTTGGGAGACCCAGTGTAGCGTTACGAATAAGCGTACGGTGTTGCTGAAAGTATACAAGGATGTAGAATGAGACGTATAGATGCTGTTGTTATATGGCCGTGCTTTGGCGAATTCCGAAATTTTTCATGTTAAGGAGTCAGACTTGTTTGCTTACTAGGCAAAATCGCTCAGTCAAATTTCAACGGCTTGTGTAACCTTGGGGCCTCTTTCACTTAGAAACACGCTATACCTTGACAGAGTTTAGATTAAAGCTTCCTACTTCTATTGATATCTCAAATAAGAAAAGACTGTAAAAGTCAAGAAAACAAAAGAGATGTTCCGATACCGGGAATCGAACCCGGGCCGACCCGGTGAAAGCGGGCAATCCTAACCCCTAGACCATATCGGAGTGCGTTCCGTTTATCGCCATAAATGAGTAATGACCGCACCGAATGACTGCGCCTGGGTTAGGGCTTCTGCGCCATGCTCTGCCACCCTGACGGCCACATCATCGACATCACTACAAGCCGTCCACACAGACAAACAACCGCAAAATCAAAAGCATACCACAATGGGTCTTTCTATCTCAAAATTGTTGCAGGGGTTATTCGGGAAGAAGGAGATGAGGATTTTGATGGTCGGATTGGTAAGTCGCGTTGGCTATTTGTCGTTGGGTCCTGTGTCGTGTTCGAAGGGGGATGAATTGGGAAAGGGGTCAAGAGGCGCTGGACTGGGGTGCGCGATGGTGGGACGAGGGCGGATGTGGTGGATTGGACACAGGATGGCGATTGAATGTGGTTTGTGGGATGTATGCTGACCAATGGTGCTTTTTCTGCACAGGACGCCGCTGGTAAGACCACCATTCTCTACAAGCTCAAGCTCGGTGAGATCGTCACCACTATTCCTACAATCGGTACGTACCACCATTCCCTTTCACCTAATGCAATCGCAAATCGAAGCGTTCTGTCGTCGGCAATTGCGTCGCGTTTGTTCGAGTGCGAAGTGCGATTTCGTGGCATTTGCGCCAACGCCAAGCCAAGAGGGAGGCAACTCTATGATGAAATATTTTCGGATGTTAAAACACAATTGTCTCCGAGAGCGCTTAACCCCATGTGGAGATTTCCGTTGCCTTCCTTCTGACCTTACAGTCCTTCCTTTTGGCTCTCGTCGACATCGCACTCAAACAAACGTCGACGCGTTGCTCGATGATGAACGCATCGTTTCGAAGCACAGGTTTCCATATGAGCAGTGCTAATGCTGGTTACAGGTTTCAACGTCGAGACCGTCGAATATAAGAACATCTCCTTCACCGTCTGGGACGTTGGAGGTCAAGACAAGATCCGTCCTCTCTGGCGACACTACTTTCAAAACACCCAAGGTATCATCTTCGTTGTCGACTCCAACGACCGCGAGCGTGTTACCGAGGCCCGCGAAGAGTTGCAGCGTATGCTCAACGAGGATGAGTTGAGGGATGCTCTTCTGTTGGTGTTTGCGAACAAGCAGGATTTGCCTAATGCTATGTCTGCGGCGGAGATTACGGATAAGCTGGGCTTGCACAGTTTGAGGCAGAGGTTGTGGTATATTCAGGCTACTTGTGCGACGAGCGGTGATGGTTTGTATGAGGGTTTGGAGTGGTTGTCGACGAACTTGGTACGTACCTATTCAAGGCCTGCTATTGTCTTTATAGTTGCTAACGCGTGTGCGTACAGAGGAAGAAGCAGTAAACGCTCAGCGTTACGAATCGAATCGAAAGAATCTCTTACCCCCACCTCCAACCACCTACCTTCTCCAACATACACCCTTTACCTACCCCCAGTCGTTTTTACGGTTACTTTGAGTTTATTTGTTTGTTTTACGTACGTTGAAGAACGGAAGAAGAGAATTGATACGCGTTGTTACCGAACATTTACTGTTTATGTTGAGCGCTCATGCGCTTTGTTTCACTGTGACTGAGCTGTGTACAGAACATTGCAGTTGTATTGGATATGTCTACGAACGGAATATGGTATGTCAACCATTTGGCGCCTCCAGCTGGATCCTTGAAACCCAGGCCTGACGCCCAGTTGTCCGGAGCTCCACCACAGGTCCGATGACTGAACAATAATCCATATGTAAAGTAACGTAAACGGCTATACAAGCACAAACTTCTTTCCAACTCAGCCAATCTGCTCAGCCTCCTCTGTCACGGTGGTTGACGTCCGTGCACGTGCCTTGACTACAAACCCCGCTCCGCACCCCGGATGTTCGTACGCGTGAATACAGGTAATTCCCCCAGCCAGACGGACCGACGGCTCCGCCCCAGGGCTCAATTCAGATGACAAATGACCCTGTCGAAATGCACCTCCCCGCTTTGATACCTTCATCCTGGCGTCGGTTTTATAAGCCATGTCTGTGCTCACTATTCTGCTCTTCTCCATACTCATTTACTACTGTGATTGATCAAAGACGACGATGACTGTTTCCACCTCTACTGAAATCGACCAGATCTTGCAAAGCTTCACGGATAGGAAGGATGGAATTCCAGGGGTTGTGTGTCGTGCTGTCGATAAGGAGGGGAATGTGCTGTATGAGGGGGTGAGTGGGTTGAGGGGGTTGAATGATGAGAGTACGCCGATGACGACGGATTCGGTTTTCTGGATTGCCAGTTTTACCAAGGTTCGCACTATGTTTGAGAACGAGGGTGAAGGGTGGGGATGCTAACAAGTTGATAGTTGATTACTACGATTGCTGTCATGCAGCTCGTTGAGCAGGGCAAGGTCGAGCTCGACACCCCCGCTGAGCAATACTTGGACCAGATCGGCAAGTTCCGCGTCCTCGAGGGCCACGACGAGAACGACAAGCCTATCTTCCGTGAACCGAAGACGAAGATCACGTTGAGGATGATGTTGACGCATACCTCCGGCCACACTTACGGTGAATCCCCCCCTATACGACCCAGTTACACAATTGACATGTATGCTAATCCGGCGTTTCCAGATTTCTTCAACCACAATCACCTCAAACACAACAAACTCAACAATATCTCCGCCCCCTTCTCCACTAAGCGCGATACCATCATGGCACCCCTCGGCTTCGAGCCCGGAACGAGGTGGGAGTATGGACTTGGTATCGATTGGTGTGGGCAGGTTGTTGAGACTATTACGGGGATGTCCCTTGGTGATTACTTCCAGAAGAACATCTTTGAGCCATTGGGGTGTAAAGACACCTCTTTCACCCCAACGAAAGAACAAATGGGACGACATGCGAAGTTACACATGAGGCGTGAAGATGGCACGCTCACTCAGCGAGAATACGAAATCGCGGATGATGTCGAGGTACATCTCGGTGGCGCCGGATGCCATTCCACCGCGGCCGACTACACCGCAATCCTCGCCTGCCTCCTCAACGACGGCCGTTCCCCCACAACCGGGGCACAACTCCTCAAAAAGGCCACAGTGGACGATATGTTCCAAGATCAAACAACCCCGCGCGGTATCTCCCTCGAAGAACCCATCCCGAACCCTCTCCCTCACCTCTCCAACCCCCTCCCCAACCTCATGCCCGGCGTCCGCAAGGGCTGGGGTTTGTCATTCCTCATCTCGCACGATGCACTACCCACGGGACGAAGCGCAGGCAGTGTCTGGTGGGCTGGAATCGCGAATTGTTATTGGTGGGCGGATAGGGAGAAGGGTGTTGCGGGGGTTACGTTGACGCAGATTTTTCCGTTTGCGGATGTGGAGGTGTTTGAGTTGTGGGGGAAGTGGGAGGGGAAGGTTTATGAGGGGTTGAAGGCTTGATTGAGCTTGACCGCGTCGGGGAAAGAGGTCAGGATTGAGTGTACGATATTCCAATGTAAGATTATGTGTGATTGTAGTTAGGCCAATTTTACCCATCTTCATTGCTTCTATGGATCCATTGTATACCGATCGCTCCACGTAGCCATGACGCGCCTAGCACCGTGAGATATATGGACTTGCGCAACATCTGCTTACGAGACCGCAGATGTTCTATCAATCGTGATTGCTTATACCATGCATGTGTACTCACCAGTGGCGTTTACAACGTTGAACGCAATAGCTGGGCATTGTACAGTACCCCGACTCGAGCGTCCTCGCGCTCCTCAGGCCACCGATTTCGTCTCGACCATATACACAGCACTCGAGCGCAACCAACGAAAATCCTTTCACCGGGCATTGGCTCCGTTAGCTTAGAATGATTTTCCAAGAGGGCGACGAGGGGTGTTTGGTGTTTCGAGGACTTCGGATACGGCGGTTATCCTCATTTGGTTGTCCGGATATGGTGTGGTGGTATATGGCGACGTTCTTGGGTACATCGACAAGTGCATAGACCATTTGGCTGGTGGCCTTGGATTCCGTTCGGGTCCTGATCGTGCCACACCCCCGTTTCTTCGTACCACACCCCCGCGCCCGGATACCGCGCTGCAGCCGGCCAAATTGGAGAGATAACAATTGGTGTGCGTCCCGCAAGTTTTGCCGTTTTGATGTCTCGCTTGGCATTGTATACCTCGCGGTGTAGGAAGTCGGGGTTGCCGTCTGGGTCATCTCGCAAAGTCATAACAATAGTTCTGGGTGGCGCACCAGCATTGGTCATCCTTTCCACCTGTTGGATTTGCCCAGTGGTGAGCTTTCTGTGCTGAGGGTGTGCGGAAGGGCGGTCTGACGGATCATGATTGTGTTCGTCAACCATTGTTGATAACTCCCAATCTCCTGTCGGTCCAGAAAGCTTGCCCACAAGTCTGAAGGGACAGCCGCTGGCCTTGGAGCTTGTCTTTCGCTGGCGAGAACTGCTGTCAAGATTGAGACGGTTTCTGTATTGGCCGGCACGATTGCATTGTAGCCAGACTTTCTTCGGTTTAGAGCGTTGGACTGAGATGGCATAGCCTCTAGGCTTAGCCCAGGCCTGAGCATAGAGCTCTAGCTCTTTCCTTGTAGGAAATGAAGCATCAGGTGGAGGATCCATTGTTGCGTAACCCACAGCTGCTTTTCTGCTGACTGATCTGCTCAGTTTGGTCCGGGGTGTGGGCGCGGGCGCGGGGGTGTGGTACGATCAGGACTCTTCCGTTCCAGGGTTCCGTGAGAGTGTGCCTCGATCCTCCTCGCTTGTGTCGTCCACCCGTCTGCCTGTTTGTCTGCCCAGCTCGCATGTTCGGCGTGATCGTCCGACTTTGCAGAGGCCAGCTTACGGGTACAAGATGATCCCCCATGGTTTTAGGAGTTTCTCCCTTTCACCGCTTCCTTTCAGTTAACGGCCGTCGGACTGAAGGGCGGCGGTACAAGGCGGAAACTTTATCTTCTTACATTTGATAGCTATAGCTTTCTAGATATTCTAGATCCCACGTATGCATATGCATATGCTTCCCGAACTGTCAATCAAGCGTCATTCTCAAACGGAAAGGGAGAATTGCAAGACGATAGCAACAGTCCCTTCAAATCTCCATTTACCCACAGTATGGTGACTGGGTTTCGACTACCCGTGGCCCAAAAAAGTCGGCCGCGAGGGCCGTCGAGGAAGCTGGTAAAGTTAGAAGTTGGAAATTCGCTGAAACGATTTGAAAAACGTCCTGTTTAAAGCAAAATAAAGACATCTTTAAGAGGACAACTCCCTAACTACTGTATCCGCGGGGTTCCTTCCTTGAGTGCCCCACTGGCTCCATCCAACCACCCCCTCCTCACCTTCGCAAGTAAACCTCAATGCCTTGTATGAACCCCCCCCATTCCTCCAACGTCCACTCCCATAGTTCATCAAGGTCTTTTGCAACCGCAGCTCGCTTTTCCAGGCGTTTGGAGATCAGGCGCCACAAGTCCTCAACGGGATTCATATCAGGCGAGTATGCCGGCCAGGGCAGGACTCTGTATCCCTCCCTTTCATAGGATTCTTTGCAGTCGGGCGCGTGAAACTTGGCGTCGTTGTCATGTTGGATTGTGAGATTGATGTCGGCTTCTCTGAGCTCCTGAAGCTTGGGAAGTAGAAAGTCTTCAACGAAGTCACGCATCACGAACTTGTCGACCGTTGGGACCTGCGAACGAGCGAGTTTTGTGGCTCCCCACCAGCACATTCCACCAAACACGAAGATACTCCCACCACCAGAATGCATCCGAGGAATGAATTCATTCTCCCTAGGAGGATCTCAGGCCACACATATACCTTTGCAACATGTCCTGGCCCAGAACGCTGGAATTTCGATTCGTCGGTGTAGATGATCCGCATCCAGTCCTCCTTCCTCCAGTGAAAGTGCTCCTTTGCCCATTGGTAACGCCTTTCCCGAGTTGCAGTCGACATAAACGGTTTTGTAACACACTTTGCTCCGCGTTTGAGCAGTAACAAGCGTGCCGTCTCCGCTGAAACATCCCTTTGGTGACCATGATTGAAGGCAGCAGTAGCTTCCACAGCGTTGTTGTACTTGCCTGAGCGAACACTGCGGGTGAGCTCGTCCTTATCGCGTTTGGAAAGGATCTGAGGGCGTCCAGAACGAGGGCTGTCGCGGTAGGAGGCCGTCTTCCACCAACGGTTAGTGATATCCTCCAATGTCCTTCTCTTGACAAGACACTGCTCCTCAATCTTCTCCTTTGGGACTTTGGCTTTTGTGAGGGCCACAATCTGAGCACGACGGTATGGTCTCTCTTCATGCGAAAGCTCGCTGTATGGGATGTCTTCTATGTTGAGATCTGGCATGTTGGGTGTGGGGGTTTGAGAACACGGTGCGCTGCAGCAGCAGCAGTGCCGCAGATAACCTTATTCCCAGATATGACATCACCAAGTAGTCAGATCAAGTCAGATCAGGCTGAGAGTAAAGAGAGTAGTTTAAAACATCGTCTTTTGGGCCAAGGGTACCGAACGCGAGTCAAGCAGCCACACCTCAATTAACCCGCATACCCGCTCCCACCTCCTCTTCTCCTATCAAGTCACCCCCCCGTGCCTTCATCCTTATAAGTCAATTGCAATTATATCCAGCTGGGCAATCAGCATGATCCACCCATCTCTCGGCCTCCCCACCAACGCCTCCCTCCTTGAATACCTAATCTGGATCACCTCCATCTTCCCAATCTCCTACACCCTCCTCTCCATAATCGAACACCTCCAAATCCACGGAAACCGGACACACTTTTCTTCTACAAGGGAAGTAGGGCTAGGGAAGACGACGAGGGTTCCGAAGGCGAAGAGGATATTGAGGAGGGTTGGGGGTGGGTCGAGTGCGTTGTACGTCATCCCTCCTCCAATCTGCTCTCCCACTCCCAAGTCGTGTGCTGATGGGGGTAATGTTACCATAGACCCTTTACGTGGTTACCGCCACTGTTTGCGATACTATCTTACCCAGCAACCTCAACCACAACCGGGCACTTCGGCCCCCCAGATTGGACAGATACCTTCGCAATCGTTCACACACCCCGGAACTCCGCCCTCGAATGCTATCTCTTCCGCTTCCTCGGGATCCTGATGGCTTTCGCTGCTTTCCTCTGGTGGCGGTGGACACAATCGACATTCACCCCCCCTCCAGACAGCTCTCCACCCGTAGCGGAACGCCGCCGTTTATCGAGACTTGGACCGTATGGGATTACGCGACACCCGTTGTATTCGGCGTTGACGCTCATGATTTGGTCATATCCGTTTTTGTATAATAATTGGTTGTTTGGGGTTACCGGGTGGATGATGGTCAGGATTTGGGTACAGAAGATACGGAAGGAGGAGGAGGTGCGGAAGAGGGTGGGTGGAGATGGGGATGGAGAGGCGTGGAGGAGGTATGTTAGGAGGGTTATGTGGAAGTTGGTGCCGGGGGTGTGGTAGGCTAAACAATCGTGATTTGGGATACCCTTTATATCGATATGTTGGACGCGGAACGGCTTTGTGGGTTCGCTAAGCTCGAGGATTGAGCGTGTGATATGTTCCACGGGGTGCACACCACGCATTGCGAAGAACAGCTTGCAGAATGGCTATTATATTATAAATTGCTACACAACGCAATCGCTTTGAGCATCACCAAGATGATGGCGATACACGACGCTTACAGGGCTTCACCAAATAAGATTTGGAGACAAGAGTGAGTTTGACAATGGGGACGACAGTGCTGTTACGGTTAGCAGTCACGTGCACGAGATCTACAACAAACACACACACACACATCACACGCTTGAACGGTGACATCCCATCCGCCTCCACGGCATCCGGGAATCCAATTTATAGGGGTGTAGGTACTAACGTCCATTCATCACGCTATAATAAACGATCAGAACAAACTCCCTGTGTCCTGCACCAACAGAAAAACCCCTAAGCTCCATATTTTCTTTTTTTGGTTCCATCATGAAAAGTCAAGATTCAATGCAAAATCGTAACTCGCGCACCCTCGATAGAAGGAAGACATCGCTAGCCACTCATAGAGAACAGCTTAGTAGAGACGGAAAGGCTTACCCATGGACGACTTGATGACCAGGGAGCCAACGTTCTGCCAAGCCTTCTTCAACAAGGAGACGAGGAAGTTGATGGACAACATGATGTTGGCAACCAACTCATCCTCGGTCATACCGACGTTACCGACGGCAACACCGAGACAGAGAACCTTCTTCAACTGGAACTTGACGGTAGACTTGACCTCGGTGACACGGTCACCAAGGTTGTCAGCGTGAGAGACAGGAGTAGGGAACTTTCCGGCCTTGGAAAGACCAGGACCCAAAAGACGGGGAATCTGCTTAATCAAGACCTCGGAAGCGATGAAAGCATCGTACTTCTTAGCGAGCTTCTTGACGAGCTTCTTGTTCTTGTTGAGCTTCTTCAAGTCATCAACGGACATGGCGTCAATACCACCGTTCTTGGCACGGTCGATATCGTGGGCGTCACCGAGGATACAGAGGGCCATGTTGGGGCGGGGAACGTTGGGGAGCCTGACGGTTCCGGAGAAACGCTTGTCACGCTGGGGGTCGTAGTTCTTGAGGCCGATCTGGAGCTCGATGGTCTCGGTGAAGTTACGCTTCTTCTCCTCGGAAGCGGCGAGGAGGTTCTGGATGTTCTCACGAACGGAAGAGACGGAGACCTTGCTGTTGTATCATGTCAGTCCCTGTTCTTCGTCTTCATTCGAGTTGTGCGGGATCATAAGGGCGCAATCGACGACTGGCTCCCAAGCACGGCGAAAGACCACGAAATGACCTCCAACCGGCGGGAAAAAGGCAGCAATTCGATTCCTGGATATGATCCCGACACGAACCGAGCCGACTTACCTCATCTTGACTTGTCGAAACTGATGGATGGATCGACTGTGCTGGTGCTGGACGAGGAAACGGCAGTAGACACCGGCACTCGCACTTTTGGTCGAGCGCGCGCACTAGCTAGCACGTGACTGGCTGGAGGACCAAAGTTGGGACTTGGAAAGACTTGCAATTCGAGAGCAGGACTTGAATTGATAGGACTTCGTGGTACATCGTCGGATTAAATATATGGCTCTTCCTACATAGCCAATTGATGGTATCTCAACAATAAAACTCCCAATCCCAACCCTAAACATTTTCGGGCTTATACCGGCCCCGTTCCTCCATAACTTACACTTCCTCAAAATCTCACTCACTTCCTATTCATGACCAGCATCCGGCGCAACAGCCGTCTCCATCGCCGGCACCATATGCCCCAAATTCACAAACCTCCACCCTCCATTCCTTACCACCCTCCCATTCCCCACAACCGCACTCCCTCCCCTCCCTCTTCCACTACCCTTCTTCTTCTCGTTCTCTGGCCCAACCCATTCCGTCCGACAATAAACACAAGTAACACTCTTGGAGGAGCGCTTTAGTGATTTCGCCCACTCCCCGAAACATTCTGCGTGGATGTTGTTTCCGCATGCGGCTTTGCACCATACGGTAGAAGATGGGGACGGTGTGGATGAGGAGAGGTCTTCGTAGCAGATCGGACAGTCGCCTGTGAGAGGTTTGCGGTGGGCCCCATTATGCACCTCAACTCCCTCTTCCTCTGCCCGACCCTCCTCACTCTTAACCTCAGACTTGACCACTCCACCCTCCGGTGTCGTCTCCCGCCCAAGATAGAACTCCCTAACCTCTCTCGAAACCCTAATCCCCGCCTCATCCCCCTCCCTCGCTCTCCCCCTCAGCCCCTCAACCATCCCCTCCACCTCCTCCCTCCCAAACCCACTCTGCCAACACAGCGCCCCACGAACCTTACACACCTTCACCAACACAAACAACACATGTTTACACATCACGCCCCTCCCATCCCTCCTTCGCCCGGAGAAGGCGTAGTCGGGACATGTGCAGTGGGGGCGTTGTTGGAGGGTTGTGAGGTAGACGTTGCCTGTTGAGCCTAGGACGTGGAAGATTGCGTAGTTGGAGGAGGAGGGGAGTTCGGTGTGGACTAGGAATAGGCGTTGGGAGATGACGCGGGCGATTCGAGATTCGACTGCTGGAGGGCAGTGTCGTAGGAAAGGGGTCGGTCGGTCTCGGACGTGGGGTGGGAGGAAGGTTGGGAGGAGGGTGGGGGGGTAGGAGAGGTAGGCGCTGAGGTCTGGAGCGGGTGGTGCGGGTTTCTTGGTTCGGGGCTTTTTGGTGGGGGGAGGCGGTAAGGAGAGGAGTTGGTGAAGTTCGTCTTTTGGCTTGCGGCTGCGGGTACGCCGGGTTGATGCGGTCTCCTCGGTCTTCACCTCAGGCAGCGCCGGTGTGGTTTCCATGCTCTCCTCCTCCTTGATCTCGCTCTTCACTTTCCTCGGCCGTCCGCGTGCCTTCTTTGCAACAGGTGCAGAGACTAAATCCGTATCCTCCGCCTCCTCTTTCTTCACCTGAACCCTGCGTGTTCGTTTCACCGGTGCCGCGCGAGCTTCCAAGTCGCTTGACTGTTCTTCCTCGTATTTGACAGGTGTTTTGCGTTTGCGAGTAGAAGGGGCCCTAGCTGCCATGGCGGTACCGGTGGCGGAAGAAGCTTGTATTGCAGTCATCTTCTGGCAAGGCAACTTGAATACAGCGGCTCTGAGAGGAGGGGTTGCTCTTTGATCGATGGATAGGACACCGGTGTTTGGACGGGCGTATGGGATGCAAGCTACTGCTGTAACGTTGCTTTCCCATTGCGGGAGAACCGGCGACTTGACAAGCCGTTGCTTCACATAAAAGATCAAACTTTATCATAGACATTTTGGAACATATCACCCTAATCTTTTTGAACCTCACCAAACTTGTGAATGTCACTTATCGGTGCGTCTCACCCTGCCTAATCCTCCAACTTTTTCTAAGTTCGAGCACTGAAGGCAAAACCTCGAAGGCCTGCAGCTCACCCTTGAACGACATCAAAATGCCGAAAAAGGGGTCAAAGAAGTCCTCTTCTGCTCCCGTAGCAGCGGCTCCCTCCTACCACTCCGACTCCGACGACGAAATCCGCGGCGGCCGTGCCTCGATCAAGGCAGTGAATACCTGGGACGACATCGAGCACGATGACGAAGACCAATTCCACGAGGAGAGGGATAAGATTTTCTTAGGGAATGATCCGAGGAGGAGAGGCAGGGGTGTTGGGTATGAAGGGAATGAGCATTTGGAGGCGAGTGATGAGGAGGTTATGGGTGGCGCTTTTGAGGACTCAGAAGATGAGGAGGAGGAGGAGGACGATATGGGAGATGATTTAGATGATGAGGAAGAGGAGGTTGATGAAGAGGAGCAATTTGACCGCCAAGGCTGGGGTGGCAAGAAGAAGGCATACTACGGCGCTGACGAAGTTACCGATGAGGAAGACGCCGCAAAGGAAGAGGAAGCCGAAGCTATTCGTCTCCAGAAAAAGCAGCTCGCTCACTTGGCTGCTGATGATTTCCTCGACGACCTAGAGGAATGGAAAGCGGATGCCGAGGAAGAAGGAGGTGAACAGGGTATGGTGCTCGAGCAACTTCCCACCGCCATCAACAAGGACTTGCCAAAAGCAGAGCTTAAAGCACTCTTGTCAAAGTTGTCGCCTGAACTCGGTCCCCTCGCTGCAGAATTCACTCGGCTGCAGCCCCAACTCGCACCGCTTGCGCTTCTCGCCCAGCGTCCCCGTCATCCACAACACGACATCATCACCCTCCAGTACGCCGCTCTCTCTTCCTACCTCGGCGTGATGGCAATCTACTTTGCGCTCAAGTCCGCGCCCGAGGAAGAGGGTTATGGACATCGTGTGTTGAGGGATCACCCCGTTATGGTTTCCCTTGTGAGATGTAGACAAGCATGGGAGAAAGTGAAGGAATTTGCGGTCGATTACGACGCCGTCGACCTTCCTTCCGATGCGGAAGATGAGCAATCTGAGGTCGAGGAGCTCGCGCCGATGAGGAAGACGAAGCAGCAGAAGAAGGGGGCGAAGAGGGCGAGGGAGTACTCGGAGGATGAGGAGGACATGGACGATATGGATTTCGATTTGGACGATATCCGTCTCTCCCCGGAACCTGCCGCACGCGCCGGCAAGAAGTCTGTCAACACCGCCGCCACCACGGAAGACGACGAAGACCTCGAAGCCGCCTTCCGCGCCCTCAAGAAATCCTCTCGCGTCAAAAGGCGCAAAACAGCAACAGGCGACGACTTTGCCGACTCCAACGTCCTCGCCGCCGTCGACGCCGAAGACAAAGCTTCCCGCCGCAAAACCCTCCGCTTCTACGCCGCCCAAATTGACCAAAAATCCGCCAAGAGGTCCACTGCGAACAAATATGGTGGAGATGAGGATGTGCCGTATAAAGAGCGTAACAGGGAACGGCAGGAACGTCTTGAGAGGGAGGCGAGGGCTAGGGGGATGGGTAAGGCTGGAGCGGATTTGGATGGGGAGGAGGAGTATGACGACAACGACTTCGCTGAGGCCAAGGCTCTCAGAGCCGCAGCCATGGACGCCGGCGAGGACGGCGATGCAGAAGCCTACTACCAATCCATCGCCACCACCTCCAAATCCCTCAAATCCGCCAAAAAAGACTCTTACGACGCCGCCGTCCTTGCCTCAAAGGGCACTCACTTCGAAGCAGAAGACCACGAAGGCAAACGCGGCATCAACCGCCAAATCGAGAAGAACCGTGGTCTTACCGCGCGCAAGCCCAAGGAAAACAGGAATGCGCGTGTTAAGAAGAGGATCAAGTATGAGAAGGCGAAGAAGAAGGTTAAGTCTCAGAGGGCGGTGTATACTGGGCAGAAGGGGGCTTATGGGGGTGAGAGTACGGGTATTAAGGCAGGGTTGGTTAAGAGTAGTAAGTTTAAGTAGGTGTGGGGTGGTGCTTGGGAAGGCGGAGGGGGAGGATAGAGGAGCATTTCTGAGGAATACATTGCATTGCACATTGACAAAGTTATTTACATCGGCCGTGTAGTAGGGGGTTCGAGTGGATGTTTATCGGCAGTCCATGGCCTCCAAGAACGCCAAGAACGCACAATAACTCAAGAACACCAACTCTAAATTTCCCAAATAAAGAAACTAACCTAAGATCGTCGTCGCCAGGTCACCCGTCGTAAACCCCAGCGTCCAACACACACGTCCACCCAAATACACCATGCCATAGCACGCACTCCTAATTGGGTATTCCCACCCAGCAAGGAGAAGTGCTATGATAAACATGGGGAAGTCGTCGTGGAAGTTGTCTGTGTTGGCGCTGACGAGGCGGTCGTACATGTGAGCGGGGTCGGTGTAGTAGAGTCTGGAAGCCCAAGGGACGGGAGCGAAGATGGAGGTGGGAGGGGAAGGGTCAGGGAAGAGGGCGTAATTGGAGGGTAGGGAATGAGGCGGCTCTGGCGACGCGGAGGACGATGGCTGAGAGCCAATCACTAACGCCCGTAGAGGCGGCTGTGACGAGCCATACGAACTATGTGTGAAGATGGGTAATAGCGACTTTGGGGACCAACGAGGGTGGATCATGGTGAAATGATCACTCATTAGTAAGACGAAGTGGAGCAAAGCAGGGTTGAGAACGAATACACGGTTTCGTTATGGACACCTAGCATAGATGCAGGCTCTCGGATCCATGGACTTCCGAAGCGCCCGGGTGGTCAAGTCGTGCGAATTCTTCGAAAATTAAGCAAATACCAACAACAGCTATCTCTCGCTAAAGTCTGGTCTAAATGTTCAACATGCACACGGTATGCCTTTAGATACCCTGAGTGATGGCCTTGTATCCAGTCAATCCGCTCAAAACCAAAAGTCCAAGCTCACCAATGTGGAACATGAAACCCCTAGCCCTCTTATCCGGGTCACCAGTAGTGTACCCCAAAGTGTAAATAACCCTTCCAGCGAGATACACCGCACCACAAGCGGCACTCGCGACGGGGTAGTTCAAACCACCGAAAATCAAGGTAACCAAGAACGCGGAGTAGTTCTCGGTGAAGTTGGCGTGCGCACGGACGGCGCAGTTGAACTTGTTCTTCTTGGGGTCGGAGGCGGCTTCCTGGTCGGAGGCGTAGGCGATGGGGTAGGGAACGCCGGCGGCTTTGCGGGTTTGGCCGACGTTGATGCCGTGCCAGAGGTTGACGACCGTGGAGAGGGTCGCCACGAGGATGACGTACTATTTGGGCATGATGAGCGAGAGAAGGGGAAAGAAGTAAAGAAGAAAAGGACGTACTCCGTATTCAGAAGGAATGAGAATCATAGTCGATGGTTTGTCTTGGATATGAAGCTGGGCTCAAGGATAATTATGAGGTTATGTTACGTGTGCATTCCTCGGCTCCATGACCTTACCGAGACGCCGAGATGTGAAACTGAAACTTCGTGGGAATTGATTGAACACTCTCATTTGCAAATTATTTCAAGAGCTTTTATGTTTCCTGGATTGTGTGTCATTGAGGGCATGATCTACGTTACACTCCCGCTGCAACTTTATTTCTTGCGACCTCGAAGGCCTGCATCTCCACATTAACACCCCCACAATTGCAATCACGATGTCGGATACAGCCTCAGATAACGGCGATGCCGCCTTTGATATGTTCAGAGTACGTTTTTTTCACTCTCCCTTGTGCGAATCAATCTAACTTCTGTACCAGGAACCCTCACCTCCACCACCCCCTCCTCCCACATTCACTAAATACACCCACCCCTCCCTTCCCGGCGAATCCATAAACCTCCGGCTAGTAGGTTCTCATCCGCTTTGGGGACACCACCTCTGGCACGCATCCCAGATCTTCGCACAATACATCCTTACCCAAATCCCTGACATCGCAGGCAAGTCGGTGCTTGAGTTGGGTGCAGGAGCAGGATTACCAAGTCTGGCCGCCGCACGGGCTGGGGCTGGAAGAGTCGTTGTCACGGACTACCCGGATCGGGACTTGATGGAGAATTTAGACTGTAACGTCGATGCGAACATCACTGGGGAGGAGGCCAGAGGGAAGATCGAGGTACGGGGTTTTGTCTGGGGAACAGACGTGACGGAGCTCTCCCCACCCTTCGACTACCTCATCCTCTCCGACCTCCTCTTCAACCACTCCCAACACGAAGCAATGTACCGCACCTGTCTCCATACCCTTGCCTCCCACTCCCACAACCCCTCCGCCGCCATCCTCGTTTTCTATTCCTCCCATCGTCCGAAATTCGCGGAGAAGGATTTGAGTTTCTTCGATTTGTTTAGGACGAGGGGATGGAGTGTGGAGGAGGTTGTGCAAGATCGGACGTTGGGGGTTATGTTTGAGGAGGATGAAGGGGATGAGGGGGTAAGAGGGTTGGTTAGGGGGTTCGTTGTTAGGAGACTACCTGGGGTACAGCAGTTGGAGAGGCCAAAGGATGATTAGATGAGTCTGACAATGGGTATGGTAGCGAGCTTTTACAAATTTGATAGGGGACAACGAGTGATGAAGGAGCAGGGCGCGACGGCTAGCCGTATACGCCGGACAGATAGTAGACCTCCATCATGAGGAGCAACATCTCTAGATACCATAAAGAGGCATTTTCATTTGACATCTCTCCCGCAAATGGCGTAACCTTAGTGGCCTGCTTAAAACTGAAGCCCTAATGTTCGACATCCGGAGAACTTTCCGAGGAGAAATTACAAAAAAAAACAGAACATGCATCGGCCGGGAGTCGAACCCGGGTCGCGCGCATGGCAAGCGCACATCATACCGTTGGACCACCGATGCTGATAAGTGTTTTACGTTGCGGACTTCCATTTCAATAAAAGTATTAACCATGTTTGGACGATGCGTTCCCACGGTGTCTTCGGCTGTTGCATATCCATTCCTCACGACAGTCCGTGACGTGCCATTTATATCACGTAGCAAGGGCTTCACAAAGAAAAGTCTCGTCAGATCCGGGCCTTTGTAGTCGATAGCCGGGGATCCACCCTAATTGACTACCCCCATTGGTGAGTTGGTAAGTTAGTAAACTGAGGGATGAGCCTCAGCCGACTAAATATAGCCTAGGTGCCTGGCCTAAACCTGAAACGAAATAGTACTCCCACACCGGCAATGAGTTACAGCGGAGGAAAAGAAAACGGAACGGATGAGCTTTTAAGAGTCGATATCTTTGCGTGTGGCCAAGGAGTAGGTTACTCACGGTGATTACTCATTGCTTAAGGGCCGCAATAAGTTCACCATCTGAGAACGGTTGAAGAGAAACCTTGCTCACCTGCCAGTTCACTGGTTCCACGACTACAACTGGTTCAAACCCTCCGATAGCTAGCCGCACTTGAAGTGGGTGACAGACCGGGATGAGCGATGAGGATGAGCATCGCCATGCACGGACCCGCGGGCCTTCGCCCTTCGCGGTTGCTTGACCATCCGAGATCCCGCGACCCACCTTTTCCCGCGTCTTGGCAGCTCGTCAAAAGAAGTCTTAAAGCCCGTTCCTCCGTTTTCAAACACTCTAAATCCATGTTACAAAGGCACGGCCCACCGGCCAAACCCTTCTCTCGACAGCGCAGATGCACGGCTCGAGATGTTCTGATCTTCATCACCCCGAGGGTCTCGCATCGACCAACATGTGTCACGCCATGAATGTTCATCGCTCGTCTACATGTTATCATCAGCCGACTCATCTCATCCCCAGTGCCTGGTTCTCTCCTCTTCCCTCACTGATCCCTCCACGTAACATGTAGGCAACACAGCCGGACTTCCACGGCCTTCCGGATGTAGCATTCTAAAAATAACAAGCTCCTCTTTTGGCTACGCCTTTCGTCATGCATTCTCGATTCTCTTGTCAGCGGTGCACGAGGCGTCTCTGGCGTTGTCGAGGTCGGTGCGCCTTGCAGCTGCCTATTGCGGCAAATTGGAAACAAATGCTACGCTGGAGAACTTCGAGAAATACAAGGATGAGCTGGAGTCGGCCTGGGTAGACGAATGAACCATACTGAAACGAACGTGTAGCAGGAACCTAGGTAAGTTTAGCTGCTGGCCCGAGGCAGTGGGCATTATATAGGGTGGGTGCTGACCATGTGGGGAGATCAGACATCGGCCCGGATTCATCACGCACCAGGCCCCGAGATCAGAAGATACAAATAGAGAGCATAAACCTCGGACCTCACTTCAACTACAACTCGAACTTCAACAAAGTTAACGCCTACGACGAAGACTCAAGCTAAGATCAACGAATAGCATACACTCCGTCTGCGTTCAAGGAACGTTCGCGACTTCGATCCACCTCGATCACAGCAGCATACATCCCACACACACTTCCACCATGTCCCTCAACTCCCCAACCTTCGACATAAACACCTGGACCTGGTCCCCGTCCTCCTACCCCTCCCGCCGTCCTCCCTCCAATCTCAACCGCACCTCTTCAAATCGTAAACCGGGAACACCGGCACCGATCAACATCCCGCTCTTCCGTGTCGAGAACGATGATTTCCTCGGTCTTAAGCCCTTGCCTCGTGCTCCCGTCAAGGGAGGAGAAGCAAAGGAGGAGATAAGGATGCTAGCGGAGGATTTCCAGGCGAATATGCTGGCGTTTGAGGGGTGTACTGGCTCCGACGACAACTCTTTCCCCGTTACGCCCGGGTTGACGGATTCGCCTACCGACGATCTCGAGTTCGAACACGAAGAGTGGGAGTCGCACACCGGCCTGAGCCTCGAGAACGGGATCGAGGAGGTGGAGGAGAGCGATGAGAGAGATGATTCTCTTGACGTCAACTTCGTCCACTACGGTCACCAATGCCCAAGTCTTGACGGTGACTACTTCGAGCGTTTCGGGACCCTCCCGCCGGCTCTTTCTTCCACTGACGATCTCCACGTCCCCTCCACCTCCACCCCCTCCAGCCTCTCCAAGGCACAGGTTGATGTGGAGTCTATGTGTGCGAACGCCAGCGTCTCCGCTGATGATCAGCGCAAGCAGAAGAGGAGGTCGGTGCATGAGGATCTCGAGTGGGCGCCGCAGAGGGGTAACGAACTCGCTTTCCTCCGACAGAGTCGCCGACTCTCGAATTGCTACCCCGCGTTCGATGCGGCTGGGGCAGTTTCTGCGCCCGCAACCCATCTTACCTTGCCTCGTAAGTCTGTCTTTGTGCAGAGCGAGGTTAATGTTGGAGCGGTGCAGGGCGAGGGGATGGAGATGCCGCGTGATATGGCGAATGTGGTGAAGAACTTGCATTCGAGTTTGAGGAAGGGGTTTGTTGACGAGTATCAGAGGTCACCTAGGGAGGCTGCTGAGGACTTTAATGGGCGTGGAAAAAGGCGCTCTTTGCAGTGAGCATGCGCACAGACTCGCTGTGTTTAGAGCATGAGCTGAAAAAGGTGTAAATACGAGACAGGTTGGAATGGTAGGACAAGGGAAAGGGACATTTGGGGCGTTTCATATGTTATTGGCATTGCGATTTTGTGATTGGTGTTTGCTACAGTTAGTTTCTTTTTCATTTCTTTTTTCTTTTGGTCAAGGGTTTGTCGGTTATGTTTGCGGGGTCCGTTTTGTTAGTTCCAGGTTACTTGTTGTATATATACGGGAATGTAATGCAGTTTTTTTTTGACTTTCGGTGGTGCTCGTCGTCACATATCTATTCACACGGCCTCCATGGTGGGTCATTCATGCCATCACATTCGGACACGAGTGATAGCGCGAGCACTCCAAACCGAAGTACACTGTACTCAAGTTTGCTAGCCTTCACAAACTTTACAGTGTAACAAGCTCAGAAAGTCATTTGTCATATTCGTCAAAGCCTTAACGTGTCCCAGGTATAATGGTACCGAATAAATCTAAGTGAAAAACGCCCTATACGCTCAATCTTTTGAATCTGCCACCCAAGAAAACGTCCCGAAAATCCTGCTCAATCAATCGTGGCCCGTCACGGCCGTGGTATATGGTGACTGTCATTCAAGTCCTTCTCCCGCAAAAACTGTTCAAGTTCTTCCTCTTCATGTGGCGTTTCCTTCTCGCGCCTGTTCTTCGCACGATTCTGGATTTGGACCCAGCGTGTCCTACACTGTCTCTGCGTGCGATTCGGAACGAGAGCTTGGACTTTGATCCAGGTTGGACCGTATCTCTCGATCCCATTCAGGAGGGCAGCGTCCTCCTCCGAACTCCACTTTCCTTTGCGAACAGTGGGATCGAGAGCTTCCGACCAACGTGCTTGACATTGGATTCCGGTGCGTTTGCGGGGAAGGAGGAGAGCGATGTCACTCCATGGAATTGCTTTCATGGGATCATTCGCCTCCTTCTCCTCATCATCCTCCTCGTCATCCGCATCCTTGCCTTTAGTCGAGGCTTTACGCGGAGAACTTGAACCGGCTCCAAACGACGCGGACTGACTGTGGTTCATACGATACCTCTTCCACTCATCCACCGCCTTCACCAGAATCTCGTCTTCGTCCTTCTCCCACCGTCCCTTGTGAATCGTGGTGTTCAGCGCCCCGCTCCAGCGCGTGCTGCACTGCATGGGTGTACGACCAGGTACCATAGCCGCGACTGCACTCCACTTGCTCGTCCCATGAATCGCAATGGAGGCGCGGAGGAGGTTGTCCTCAGCCGGTGTCCATTTCGTATAATTCGGGCGTCTGGAGGAACCGGAAAGGTTAGGCGAGGATGCAACACTGTTCTTCGCGCTGCTTTCGGCGGATTCGGTGGTGGGGGTCGGTGGACCATTGATTCTCGTGCCGGTAGCACTCCTGGGACTGGCACCGATGACCTCCGACATGTTCTTTTGCATACTCCCCGGACTCCACGGTGTCGGGAAGCTCTGATCCGCTCCACCTTCTCCGGCTTGCGGCTCAGGCACCATCAACCCCATCCTCGGCGGCCTCCGCGGCGGATATGGCGTCAAAATCGTCGGCTGATAGGGCGCGAGCGGACTCGCCGGCAACGACTCACTCACCCCCCTACTCTGACCATACGTCGGCGTATTCGGCGGACTATCATACAACGGCGGTCTTGCGATAGAGGTCGTACTGCTAATACTCAAACCCGTCGGCCTATGACGCTTTTTACTCCCACGGATCGGACCCGACGGGCCGGGAGAATTTGACGGAACGGTCGGAGGCGCGGCCATCGTACCCGCAGGCGCAGATGGTCCAGGACCAGGACCGGGAAATTGTGGGATTGATGGGAGAGGTTGGGAGGTTGGCGTGAGAATCTCTGCTGAGGAGAATTGACGTTTGTGACCGTGGGGGAGTCCTGCTGAGCATGGTTCTTCCTGGATTCGTCGTTGGTACGAAGGGATAGTGATCGCGAGGCATTGGGCGGCTGCAGGGCTGGATGAAACCGGTCCTGGTCCTGGGTATTCCTGCTGCTGAAACTGCCACGCTGGCGGCTGAAGGGTGGAGGTCAGTTGTGGGTACGACTGGGACGGCACTGAGGCGGGATCGTCAGCTACGTTACCGTAGTTGAACGACGCGGAAGGTTCGGGGAATGGAAGTTGACGTTGTGGTTGCTGCTGAGCCGATGTCGCTACCGACCTGCATGGAACCAGATCCGATTGGAAGGCTGGTTCACCTGGGATTATCGGACTGCTGTACATCATCAGCTGCGCCGGCGGAGGGAGTTGTCGCGGTGGGAGCTGGGGTGTCGACGTCACACTCCATTGACCATTCGTCCCACGGGGTACTTGTCCATTGACCGACGACAATGCTGGCGAGTTGGCGTAGCCGATGGTCGGCGATGGTTCTGATGAGTAGAACTGATCATGACGTTGCGCCGGGGTGTGGTGTTCCTGAGGGTGATCCATGATCGAGGAATGTTGAGGAGGATAGTACTGCTGTCTCACGTCCTCCCTCTTCACATGTACATACTCCTGTCTCGCCGGTTCTGAGATAACGACGTACTCGTGTTGCGTTTGCCACGAGGGCGTGTGGTACACCAAGTTGTCATACGAGGTCGATTGAACGTTCGAGGTCATGCTCGGCTGTTGCATTTGTGGAAGGAAAGGTGTATTCGCATACCCACTCAACGACGCCATCTGCGGCGGACTGGTAAAGATGCAATCGCCGGCCATCCCCATCCCCATTCCCATGCCTCCACCGGAGTTGATCTGCAATTGAACAGGCGATTGCTGCTGGAACGATATCCCTAGGCCGAAGTTGAGAGAGCTCCCGTTCGGAGGAGAGTGTCGGTTCCCCGACATACTGAGCGGATCAAGCGAGATAATTTAACCGGGAATTGTCGAATCAATTGCGGTTGAGCTTGAGCTGGCTGTAAACGATCGTTGAGACGTAGTGATTGATCTCCTCCCTTAAAGCGACCGTACGAGTTCGAATTGACGAGGGATCAAGAGGTTTAAGGTCGGGTATCGTAGGTGTAGTATCGTCAGGGAAAGCGGCTGAGTACGGTGGGGGCTGCTGTTTGGATGGTGGAGGGACGGTTTCGCTATATAATCCGAAACAATCCAGTTGACAGTTACCCGCGAGGTCCAAGCACAATGATGCACCACTTCTGCAATCGCTGTTTCAATCCACGTCCTTGAGCCGTGTTTTGGGGGACTCAATCGAAACGAGAGCAGCAGCTGTCATTCAAAAGACCCTCATCTCGTCCGGGCGTGCCCTTCGCGGGGCATAAAGAGCAACACCGCGTTTACCGGAGCTACGACCGATCGCGAAGCCTAACTTTCCCGTGACGAAATTCCCTTTCCCTTTCTCCCCCATAATACCAAAATTTTGTTGAAATGAGGTTGAAGGCGTCCATGTGGGCGTTCTCCTACGAGCCTTGTCTTACCCAAGAATGCTGGCTAAACTTAGTAACGCCAGGAAGCAAGCCCACGGAAAACCTTGGAGAAATCACAATTGCCCGACAGAAGTCACGGATAGAGATGTGATTACTCTCGAGAGGGATGATACTCCTGCTCCTTCTCCGAGCTCATCTCTTCAAATTCTCTACGTCTTAAGATGGGTACTCGTTGATCTGTATCGATCTCGCCACTTTGCCGCGACATGGGACACCCTTGTTGCGCAAAACGCAATTTAAACATCCCGCTCCTCTAACGGCATGCGCAGAAGCTCTCCAGGGCTCGGCATATCCAATTCTGTACTTCGTGATCTAGCCAGCAGCTCGTCCCGTCCTAATATAACTCAATGTAGCAATCCATCCCTTCTACGAACTCAATTGCTCCATTGTTGAAAGCTTGACCAGATCGGCCCGTGTTGCGGATACGGACCCTTGCAAAGGATTCGCGATCAAACATCATCGTCGACGAGACGGGATGGATTAAGGTTCCCGTCAAACCTCATCTGCAAAGTCTTGATCCGATAACGTTGCCCGTTCTTTTCGGGAAGAAGGACCCTATGTTACATATACACATGTGAAAGGAAGCAAAAACGGCTCATGGCTGAACCCAGGTCGTCGGGTGATTCGAGGGGAGAGCTTACGTGCTGCTGTTTGGTCATTAGGTAAGGCGAACTTGGGAACACGTTGGGAAGGATTGTTGAGGAGGGGTGCTTTATGGACACATGTCGACAGGCGCACGCAGCCTCGGCTGTGGAGACGGCTGAGGGAAGACCTCTGTCGTCACGGCTGCTCCCCCAAATACAGTAGAGCCGGACGAATTGATCCCCCGAAATGCAAATGGAGGCGATCATATACAAGCATGTCCATATGGAAGTAACGGTCCACCTCTTGCCAATTCGGGTCGCAATCTCCGATGAGCATCTCCTGATGCTTGATGTGTCGTCTACCGTATACTGTATCTATCAATTGAGTGCAATCAAGGAGCGCAACCGCGCTCCCCCAACCTCGAACTGCAACTACGCAAACCCGGATCAATCGGATCAAGATCAGATTTCTAATATGTCACCAGCGAGACACTCCCGCTCTACCTAACTTTACGTGAATCAGGTTCGGTGCAGCCACCAGCGTCGTCTAGCACCGTCAAAAATTTCGGCGCCCGGCTTCGTTCATCTCGAGCTCACTTGTGCAAACTCCACCCACAGCCGCGGACGGTGGCGACATTGACCCAGCGCCAACGGAAGTCTGCCTTCCACGAACCAACACGGGAAAACCCCAATTGTGCAATTTGACGGGTTTTGGGGTCTGTGTGATCTGCGACAGCCCGATCGACGAAGGACCGTAGGATGGGGATGATCAGCTGTTTTTGGGCATCTTCTTCGGTCTCGGTACCGATGATCTTTTCTTTTCCTCCTGCGAACTTGCGCGATCTTCCTCTCAAACTCAAATTGCAGTTGCCATCCGCACAGCAGCTGCCTCAAGCGACAGCACCAGAACGCCGCCCATTCCCGCGGGTAGAACTCCCCTTCCTCATTTCTGATTTTGTCTCATCCTCCACGGCTTTCCGTCACCCTCGCAAGCGGTCTCTCACTTCCGCCGCCAACCGCGCTCACTCTCCTGGCCTAAGGTCTCATTGGTTGCGTGCAGCTGCGCCGTTCGCGTCGTTCAGACAAATCACAGTACATATCACACCCAACATCACAGCACAGCAAACATCGAGCTTCTAGCGCAAGCCTGGCGTTTGTCAGAAGTGCAGCAGCTTGCTGGTGGTGACACCGTACTCACAGCTCGCGCAGTCCAAAACCTGGGTGGAGGCTTTCTGGGTCGCTAACAGCTCGTTCGGGCAGGCGCTAGAAAACGGAAGAAGAAGACGTGCGAGGATGTGCGGCGGGCGCGGCAAGCCGTAGACAAAGGAGTGCGGATTATGAGCGGATCCAATTTGCGATCATAGCGAGATTGACGATTGGTCAATCAATCTCACGGTGGAGATTATCGCTCATACGGCGGTGGTGATTGGATGGGATGGACCCGAGTACGATTGCGTTTGCACATCCATGTCATTTTCTTTTCTGGGTGAGAAACGCGTTTGCAGTGTCGCGTTTCGTGACGCGTTATCGTCGCCTAGCTCGAGACGTCCGGACGAACGCCTCCTCGGGCGCACTGCCTACAATCCTGGGCAAACAATTACCCGGAGCGTCCGGACGAGAAGAACATGTCGAAATCCTCTCGGGACATTACGCTGGCGTTTGCTGGCGTTCGCAAGAATCCTAGCCCTGGCTCAGAACCGGTACCGTGTTTGCGCTAGACACATGGCCATGGATTTCGTCGTTAACGTTAACGTATATCGCCTCTCGACGCCGTGGAAGCAATGGGCCATGGCGTGCACTTTTTTACACACCGTCTACGTGCACGATCACGACCGATGGGCCTTTTGGTGGTCTGTGCGAATTACCCATGGCCAGAGAAACTGTTCTACCCGGAGTGCCCTCGAGCCCGATTGCGAGTTCGAGTCGTGGACACAGACGTGAGGTCAGAGTTGACTGTGATGTCTGGTATATACGTGTGCGAATGGGAAAATGGTGTCAGCTAGAAACGAGGGTGCGTGCACGCAGGTAAGGGTTTGACTCGGGGTCAAAGAGGGATATATAAGGGCCGGCCTCTTCGCCGTGCGATTGAAGAACAGCGGGCCAACGACCATTCCGTCGATATACGCACGCGCACAGAAGGTGAAGAAACCGCTCTAAGGTCACAAGGTACCCAATACCAAACATCCCAACATATTTCACGTTTGTTGAGAAGCGTAAGGATCCTTGGTGGGGAATAGCTGTGATGTTGGAGCGGTATTTTGCACGAGTATTCGATAGCGCTCGGCCAGGCGAATCTCGCTACTATGGGCTCACTTCAGGGCACCCGTTTCCAAACCCCAACAACCTCCCACTCCCTTAACCCAGCCTCAACGCCTCCCAAAACCTTCCTTTCCCCTCCTCTTGCCCAGTGCTGTAGCAGCTCACTCGCCTCAAACACCCCAAACTCACTTCTCGGCCCAACAATCACAATCGTCCTCGGTGATCCTTCCTCGCCCCATTCGGGATCATCCGCACTGTAGATCTTGAGGTACGCTTCCAAGAGCTGTACACGACGGGGATATATCCATAGCCATGTACGTCCTCCGATTTGATGTATGGGACATACGATGTCTCTCCCTACGTGAGAGACGGCGAGGTCGGTGTTTGTGTAGAGCATCCTCTCTTGATCGAGGTATAGGTTCACATCCTTGGACACCTCAATACCATAAACCTCGACCTTCTCTTTTCGCTGACTATGAGCCTCTAGTAACCGCTCAAGTAATCCTGTACCGGATCCTATCGAGACGATATTCCTTGCTTCATGATCCTCGATGTGCGAAAGAATGAGGTCCAACAACGGCAGGCTCAGGGAGGCGTTACAATGCCCGTGCTGCAATGCCTCACCCTTAGGTAGATCAAGTAACTGTTCGTATACTTTCACAGCATCCGTGCTTTTCATGCCCGGGTTTTTGTAGGTTTCGTACGTCAGACGAAGGCGCAGGGGTTAAGCTGTACGAGCTACACTGTAGGTCCTGGGAAAAATGGGACTTTCGTGACATGGCACAGCAGTCAGGAGCTCAATGAATATGACTTTTGATTTCTCCAAAACAAGAAGCAACCCAGAACAAAACAACTGACCCTCAGGACCCTCACTTCACTATCGTAGCACACTACATAAGAAATATATCCCACCAATAACTCCAGATAAATGATCGAGCGATTAAACAATATGAAGATGATCGACCCAAAAAGCGCACCAGAGATTACATGAAAGGATTGAGCGGTCTGACAGTGACAACCGGGGGAGCCTTCGAGAGGTCGGCGAAGACCATGACGGGCAACCTGGTCAATTCCTTGACGGCCTGGATGTGGTCACCACCACGCGAACTCAATCCCTCGAAGGACAATGCATCACCGCTTCCGTTAGATCCAGAGCGGTTGTTGAGGCTGCCAGAGGGCATGCTGGAGGTGGACTGCGTGCGGAAAGGAGTGCCCGCAACAGATCCCTTGACAGGCGAGATAGGCTCGCTCTTAGATGGGTGAGAACCGAAGCCGAACTTGGCATTGACGTCAATAGGGGAAGAAACAATCTCGTCGTCATCATCGAACAGGGCACCCTCATCGTTGGGATCCTGGGTGCTGATATCCATAAACTTTCTCGACAATTCATCCTCAGCCATGCTGCTGGTGCGGTCATACACAGAGCTGCTCTGCGTCTCCGATGTCCTGGGGACGTACGTAGCAGTGTCAACGCCCTTCAACCAGAACAACTCCAACATCTTCCTGTTACCGACCCCGCGAGCATCGGTGAAGTCGGCGGTCTTAAGAGGCAACTGATCCAAATGCACACGCTTCTCAATGCCAAGCTCGGGGACAAGAATATCGAAAGCAGATTCGTAAACGGAAACAACGACGGAAGAGTAGATGATGGGCCCCTGGTTCGAGCGGGCAGCATTGTTGATCTGGTGACAAAGACGAAGCAACATCGACTGCTCCTGCGCGTTCTTGGAAGCATCCTTCTTGGAGTTGCACATCTCAGCAGTCTTGCCAAGGGCGTCGTAGTCCTCCATCAAGACATCAACTCCAGTAACAGCAGCCTCCAACTGACGGTGCACAACGAGATCCGCGTACCTGCGAAGTGGAGCGGTGAAGTGCGTGTAAAGCGGCAAACCATTGATGAAATGAAGGTTGTAGTCCGCGTCAACGCGACCAGAAACGAAGTACCTAGCACGGTGGAGAGTCTTCACAAGCAAAGTCTCCAACGCCTTGCGGATGTCAAGGTCATCGATCTGCAACAACGACCTCTGCAAAGAAGCACCATCCGTACCGTCGATTTCGTAACCCAACCTCTTGGCCTTGTCGAGGAACAAGCGCAAGCGTCTCTCCTGAGGACGAGGGTGACGCCTCAACAAAGCACCCTCGGAAAACTTCTCGTTGATCTTCTCCGCAATTGCGATCTCTGCCTTCATCATCAACTCCTCAACGAGCCAGGCAGCAGCAGTGCTCTCGAAAAGGTTGGTACCCTGAGGCAAATCCTCGTCGTCGAGCTCAGCCAGCAAGCGCAACGAGTCAAGCTCCAACTTGGTAGAGCCAAGCCTCTTCCTGCGAAGGACAGTAGTAACACGACACAACCTGCTCAAATCATCCTCAAGACCCTTCCTCAACGCCTCATCACCACTGGTAACCTCACCAGACAATTTTCCACCCTCGAGAACAGCATCAGCATCCTCGTAACTGATGTGGGCGACGCTGGAGACGATACTCCTGCCGATCCAGATACCCTCTACATCACCGGTAGTCTCATCCATCTTGAAAACAATAGAGAACGTAGGCTTCGTCTCTCCGGGAGCGAGCGAACACAAGTCGACGAGTTCGTTAGGGAACATGGGAACGGCACGGTTCGTCAAGAACACAGCAGTACCCCTCTTCTTCGCCTCGCGATCCAAGACGGAGTTAGGACGGACGTAGTAACCGACATCGGAAATGTGGATACCGATCTCAACCTTGCCCTCCTCGAGACCCTTGATGTGCATAGCACGGTTCAGGCCCTTGACCTTGGCATCGGCGACATCCAAAGAGAAGACTCTCTCCTCAGAGAAGTTACCGCGCAATTCCAACTCCTCCTCGTTGCTAAGATCGATCGGCTCCGGAATAGATTTAATGCAAGCCTCAGAGAAAGCTTCATTCAAGAAGTTGTTATCACGCAACAATGCCTCCGTCTCAACCTCAACATTACCCATATCACCCAGCTCCTCAACAAGGGTACCGAACGGATGCAAACTAGTAATCGGCCAACGCTTGATACAAGCAACAAACAACTTGTTCGCATACTTCTGGTGGTTCTCGACGAAATCCTTAGGTGCCTGCTCAGTCGGAATAGCAATAAGCGGGACTCTCTTGTCCGTCGGCTTGAACCAGACAATCTTAGGACGGTCGTTCGACCTTCCACCCTCAGGCCTCTCACCACGCTGCATCCTCTCCTGATCTTGCTTCTCCTTCGTCGCGGCGCTAGAAGGCCTCAACAAACCAAGGGTACCAGAGAACATCTGTCCAGGCGTCCTCTCAATCACAGCAACAACATGGCCCGCATACATCGGCTTCATCTCATCACTCACCTCCTCCTCATCAACCAACAACAACCCCTGTCCCTCGACCTCAACATCATCCTTCTTCTTCACTTCAGGTCTATTCCTGATCGAACCCTGACGTTTAAGACCGGTTCCCTCAGCCTGGGAGGTAGACCCACCACTCATCTGGAAACCCTCCTTACGGCGCTTCTTCTCCTCCTTCTCGCGCTTCGCGTTCCAGACCTCGTCCACATCCAACAACTCAACCGCGACGAAATCACCCTCAAGCGCACGATTACGGTCCTTACTTCCACAAATAAAGATATCGGCATCCAACAACTCGGTTGAGACATACGCATCAGAACGGTTCTTCTTGTTCACGCGCAAGACTCCGCTGACGAGCCTACCGTCGCTAAGGAGAGCAGGGAGGGTAGCCTGAGGCAAGTACGGAGAGAACAAGGACTTGCGTTGCTGCTGAGCACCACCCTGTCCCTGCAACTGCACCAACTGCTGCTGCTGCATAAGCTGCGGCGAGAGGAGAGGCTGCGGGATATTCATCCCACCCATCCCCGACAAATTCAACGCACTAGGCGCCTGTTGCGGGAACGAGAATCCGCCGAATCCAGCATTGGAGGACATAGAGCTAGACATCGACGCACGCGACCGGTGTCCCGGAACGAAAAACTGTTGCTGCTGTTGTGGCTGCTCGGATTGAACAGGACCCGTAGGCTGCTGCCCAGCACTCGCACGCCAATTACCATCAAAGTTACGGCTTGAAGAACGGGCGTGGCCACCACCGGGTTGACCGCCACTCGAACCGGGCGCAGACGGGAACGAAAATCCGCGTTCGGGGACGGCGCTGCCGCGGCCACCCCCGACAGCCATACTCTGACTACGTCCATGACCAGGAACACGACTCCTTCCACCGTTACCGCCCATACTGCCGAAACCTCCCTGCTGCTGCTGCTGCTGTTGCTGCTGCTGTTGCTCGCCTCCACTAGAATCAGGACGAGCCGGGAAAGAGAATGGAGAGGCAGAAGTAGTAGACCCGGAAGCCGATTCCTGACGAACCCGCTGCGCACGCTCCGCAGCCTGCTTCGCCTCCGGCAACGCAAGAGAATGACGTCTCGAATGTCCCTGCGCCGGCGGCCCCGGTTGACGTTGTCCCGAACTCACACCCATACCCATGCCCATACCCATACCCCCAGCGCCGCGTCCACCCTGTGCCGCGAATCCTCCCGGGAACGCGTCGAATGCGTTACTCCCACTCCTCCGATGCGCACCCGGCCCAGCCCCGATTTGCCCCATCCCTGTAGAGGCAAACCCGGATGCAGCGGCGGGTTCGGCGGTATACGCGCCCTGAGGCTGGTGCTGCATCTGCTGAGACGGCATATAGGACGGAGGGGGCATCATACCGGTCTGTGCAGCGTATTGCTGTTGTTGTTGGAGGAGTTGTTGTTGGGCTTGGAGGAGCTCGATTTGTTGTTGGAGGGCGTATTGCTCCACTGTGAGGACATGGATGTTAGCCATACGTGGTCTTTGTGTCAATGAGTGCGTAAACGAGGTGGAAGTCCGGCCGAGTGTCAATTGTTTTAATCTGCTGGGAGGAGGTCCGTCTTATACGAGTTGTATTACCCGTCACCGCACCATGCTTCAAATCCACATGACATGATGACGTGCCCTCCAACCGGCCCGGACTTCGTCGGCAACGAGCATGACGACCTCAATCGACACCGACCAACCTTCCCTCGTTTCGAACACAAGCGAATTGGGTAAGAGGAGTAACTTACTCATAAACGGCGTCAACTCACTCGGACTCCTCCTATGAGAAATATGCAGCCTCTGTGGGCGGCCTTGTTGTCCCGCTTGATTGGACTGCATCGAATGTGTGAAAAATCAAGATACTATGATAACCCGTTAGCATTCCACTCCTCCACCTCCAAGCCGAGCTGACACGCGTACGTACCAATAAAAAAAAGTTTGTGGTGTGGTGAACAAAGAAGCTTAGGTCCTGGCCGTCAAAAGTATGACAAGGTCCAGAGAGTGTCGTCGTATAGGTGTAGTTTGATCGAAGTGATTTAAAGAACGCTTCCGAGGTTTAGGATCGAAGGGGTGTGTTGTGGTGTTGCGTAACGACGTGCTGGTTACCCGGCCAAGGCTTCGCGCAGATGGTGACGTTGAACGGTGCGTCCCCGAACCACATGACGGTCCCAAACGTCGGAGTACACGAGACAAAGTGAGAAGATACGATAAACATCCTCATTTACATTCGAAAAAAGAACCCTTCTCTTGGGTGATGAATGGCCACAAACTCCATCGGGCTGCCTGTCCGCGTACGCAGGCCGCGTGCATAAGGCTCGAGGTTAAATACATGTACATGTCATCTCCTCGAAACCACCACCGTCTCCCCCGTCGTGTCCAAGATGTCCACCCTCGACTCCTTCCGCCCCCCTTCTCCCCGAACCTACCGTCTCGCCCTCCGGGACCTCACACTCCCCCTCCTCTATGCCGAACTCGCGAAACTGGAGACGAGTATCTCCCACCTCATGCGTTCCAATGTCGAGCTACAACTATACATGGGAACCGAAGCCGATGGAGATGGAGATGGGGATTGCGAGTTGAGAGATGCAGTAAAGGAGAACGAGGAGACGATTGCGAGGATGAGGAGCAGGATGGAGATTTGTAGGGTTGAGATTGAGGAGAAGGGAGGTGGGTTGAAGCGGTGCGGTGAATCTGAGGAGGTTCAAGGGGAAGAAGGAGTTTTTCTCTAGAAGCGGTTTGAGATTGAGGAGGAGGGAGAAGCGAGGATGGCCTCGGACGTGGCTGGGGATGGCTGGTGAGGGCCAGGCACCGCGCACCGAAGAAGGAAATGTAACGTCGACACCGTTCTTATCACAACCCCACCATGTCCGCCCTCTCGCGAACATCCCTCCGCCTCCGCCGCCGCCTCTCCCTCCCCTTCCCCCATGGCCACCGCTTCCTCACCACCACCACCCCCACCGGGACCCACAGCCAGAGCCCCTTCGCCGACTGCCACGACCCCTCCTCCCTCCGCACCGCGATCAACTCCCAAATCTTCGCGTCGACACACTCCCAAATCACCGAACAAACCGTCCTCTCTGCCCTCGATGCCTGTCAACGAATCGTCTCCACCACGAACGCATCCTCGAGTAAGCGTACGGGTGCGACGGCGGAGTTGTTCGGGTTCAAGGAGGGTGAGGGGAGTATGAATCCCCTCCGTCAAGCCGAGGCAGTATTGCGAAATGATCGGACACCTTTAACGCCTGAAATTCTGGAGAAATACATCGGCCTGAATTCGGTTGCGTCCCCCTCCATCACAAACATCCTCGACCTCCTCCCAACCTACCGCGCAAAAAACAACACGATCCCACCCCCACACCTAATCACCCTCCTCCTAAACACAATCACCCCAACGAACCTCCCAGCCCTGTCATCCCTCATGCAAGAAACATACGCATCCCCCACATACACCAAACACCGCCTCACAACCGGCGTCATAACCCTCGCAACCTCCTTCGCCTCCGCAATCATCCTCTCTAAATCACTCGCGCACATCCTCGCATTCAACCTTCACGTCCCAACACCACCCTCCTTCATCACTGTCGCCACAATCGGGGGGACGGCATTCGCGACGTTTGCGGGGGGGTGGTGGGTCGTGTATCAAGCTTTCAAACCATCCTCGACATACCTCGCCACACATTCCGAGTCCCACGAACTCTCGGATCCGAGCCGGAGTATTGGGATGAGGAAGGGGCTGGGGGTGGTGGGGGCTGCGGGGAGTACGGGGCAGGTGAGGTTGCCGGAGGAGAGGCCGGTTGGGGTTAGGTGGAGGGATGGGGTGGGTTTGTGGAAGAGGTGGGTTGGGAAGGAAGAGTTGGAGATTTGGGATGGGGTTAGAAGGAGGTTGCTTGAAATTGACGAGGGGAGTGGCAAGGAGGAGGTTCGGGGTGAGAAGAGTCTTAGGCCGGAATTTAAGAAGATCTTGAGGGGGAGGGGTATGGCCTTGGATTTTGGGTGGGAGAAGGAGGCGTCGGAGTATCTTCGTTGATCGTGTTGTAGACCACATATACCAAGCGTCAAGCGCTCCGAACAACGTCAAAAATGCGATGGTTCTACTATGAGACACTGTGAGTGCGGTAAATGGAAACGGGGGTAGCCTGAAATAGAAGAGAGAACGCCAATGAATGCTATACCTCCTTTCCCAAATCATAATCCTTCACATATCATACAACTCGCTCGCCCCTACTCCCTATACCCCCCATCCCTCTCAACCTCCCCATCCCAAACCCCCTCAACCTCCTCCACCTCCCCCTCCTTCTTCCCCTCACGGCTTCCTAGAACCTTGACTTCGCCTTCCTCCATCCCAACCCTAACAACCTCCCCATCCCTAACCCACCCCTCCAAAATCCCCTTCGACAACGGCACCAGAATCTTCTTCTGCACCAACCTATTCAGCGGCCTCGCGCCGTAAAGTTGACTCCACCCTTCTTTTGCGAGGTAGGATTTGACTTCGGGGGTGACGTCGAGTGTGATTCGGCGGTCCGTTAAGCGGTTCCGTAACTCGTTCAGGCGGAGATCCAAAATCCCACCAAGAGCCTCGGAGCTCAAGGGCTTAAAGATAATGGTGTCATCGATCCTGTTCAGAAATTCTGGGGCGAATGCGGCGCGAATTGAGTCGTGTACGAGGGCTTCTGCGCCGTCCTCCCCGGAGAATAGATGTGCTTGTCCGACGTTTGAGGTCATGATGATAAGTGTTGATCGGAAATCGACTTTACGGCCCTGAGAGTCTGTCAAGAATCCTTCGTCCAAAACCTGGAGGAGGAGGTTCCGGACGTCTGGGTGGGATTTCTCCAACTCATCGAAGAGGAGGACCGCATATGGTTTCCGTCTCACGTACTCCGTCAACTCGCCCGAGGACTCGTAACCCACATACCCAGGTGGTGCACCGATGAGCCGGCTGACGGAATGCCGCTCCCCGAATTCAGACATGTCGAATCTAATCATCGCATTCTCGTCATTAAACAAAAACTCTGCCAAAGCTTTACTCAGTTCAGTTTTTCCCGTTCCCGTGGGTCCGCAGAACAGGAAACTCCCGAGTGGTCGATTCGCATTCTGTAACCCCGCTCTCGATAAACGGACAGCGTCCGAGACGGCGGAGAGTGCATGATCTTGACCGACGACGCGGCGCCGGAGGGAATCTTCGAGGTGGAGGAGTCGACCGGATTCGGAGGCGAGGAGGGAGGGGGTTGGGATTCCGGTATGACGGGATACGACGCGGGCGATGTCGTCTGCTGTGACGGAGTCGTGGAGCATTGAGTCTGGCTTTGTCGTCGTCGTTGCCTTGACCCGAGATTCGAGCGCTGGAATCAAGGCGTAGCGGAGTTCGGACGCTTTTCCGTAATCGCCCGCTCTCTGCGCGAGTTCGAGGTCGGTGCGGGCTTGTTCTAGATCCGCTTTTGCGGTCTTGACTTTGTCGAGTTCTGCGCGTTCCTCGTCCCACTTTTTGGTCAATTCGGCTTGTTCCTCCTTCATCTCCCTCAACTCCTTCTCCAATGCCTCCCGCCTCTCCACACTCGCCAAATCCTCCTCTTTCCGCAAACTCTCAAGCTCGATCTCGATCCTCATAATACTCCGATCGAGCTTCGCAATACTATCCGGTTTTGACTCCAACTGCAGCCTCAGAGCCGAACACGCCTCATCCACCAAATCAATCGCCTTATCCGGTAGTTTCCGGTCCTGTAGATACCTATACGACAACCTCGCCGCAGCGACCAGTGCCGCATCGTGAACCCTTACTCCATGATGAACCTCATACCTCTCCTTCAAACCTCGGAGAATTGAGATAGCGTCCTGGACGGTCGGTTCGGCGAGTTGGACGGCCATGAACCGACGGGCGAGGGCTGCGTCTTTCTCGATATATTGGCGGTATTCGGCGAGGGTCGTGGCGCCGCAACATTGGAGCGTTCCACGCGCGAGTGCGGGTTTCAAAAGATTCGCGGCGGATAAAGCACCCGAACCATCGCCGCCAAGGCCGAGGAGGGAGTGGAGTTCGTCGATGAAGAGGATGATACTACCCTTTGCGTCCTCGACGTCTTTGAGAACGGCTTTGAGTCTCTCTTCGAATTCACCGCGATATTTCGCACCGGCGATGAGGGACCCGAGATCGAGCGAGATGATCCGTTTTTGTTTCATGCTATCGCCTACCTCACCCCTCACGATCCTCTGCGCCAAACCCTCCATCACGGCCGTCTTACCCACTCCTGCATGTCCGACGAGGACGGGGTTGTTCTTCGTCCTTCGTGACAGGATTTGAAGGGTACGTCGGATTTCTTCGTCGCGGCCAATGACGGGGTCGAGTTTGCCTTCGGAGGCGAGGGCGGTTAGGTCTGTGCCGTATTTTTCGAGAGCGGCGCCGGGGGGGTCGGGGTTTAGGTTCATGGTGTAGGATCCGCCTGGTCGTTGGGGACCGGATGAAGCGAACCGAAGCTGCTGCTGGGTGAGAGGCATGGATGCCTTGAGCAACGTAAGCCTCGGAAGCGTCGCAACCCTGGGCCTCGCAAGCAATCCACTCGAAGGCCGCGGCGTCGTCGTTGTTGTGAATGTCCGAACCGCGGCTACTGGATGGTGTGATGATCGCAGCACTGCGGTCCTCATTGTTGTTCTTGTTGTCGTTGTTGTTAGTAACCTCATGGTAGAGATCAAGGTATGTTTGCTAGAGGGAGGTCGGATCGAAGGGGTTGAGGATTGATATATTCTGGGCGGCGATGCACGAGATGCAGCCAGATGCTTCGAGAATGACGCTTCTGCAGCTACGGTGTAACGTGGATTGGGAGTGCCGAAGTCGGATGTGTGGGAATGCGCGCGTGGAGTATGACGTCCAGTAAGTCCAGAAAAGTCTGCAGTTCAGGATACTTCGACATCGGTAGAAGCTACAATTCAGAACGGGATGGCGGTGTGTAGCGTCAAATGGCGGGAATTTGAGGTTTTATCGGGTTGAGGCGGATGGATCACAGACGTTGGTGCTGGAGGAGACTTGGGCGTTGAAGGGGTTTCCGCCGAGGTATTGTGGGGAGAGGTGGCCTTCCAACAACTTTTGGGCCACGTTTTCGTTTGATACGGTTACGGTTGGGGTTGAGGAAGAGCATATTTTTGGGACTGGGCACAATCAGAATGATCTGTACTTCCACGTGCCCACGGCTCGCTGTGATAACTGACAAGGAACACATGTGTAGGTCTCCTCAATCAGAAAGGCGAAACTATTGATCTGTTCAAGTTTAACACGCTCAACCCTATCCCAGTATTCATGTCAAACGGAAGTTATCTCTTTTTCCGGAATATCCCCTCCAAGGGCCGCATGGAGTTCTCCTCCAACCGTACGCGGATCATAACTCACTCCACAACCGTCGTTGACTACTACGTCGCCGTGGCAGCCATCGGTGACTACGACTCCCTCCTCGAGAAACATACAGGGGGACGTAAAGGAGCAGTACATGTTTGGACCTAAGCTGCTTGTGGCGCCGGTGACTGAGCCCGGGGTAACGGAGGACCATGTCTATCTTCCGAAACTACCTTCAGGTCAGCAGTCACGAATTGGACCTATTGGTTGGACTGGAGAAACGTACCAGGGAGGAGGATGGGTTAGCGTTTCAGCTAATATTTCTTGGATTCCTATCTTTGTGCGTGGGTGTCAAGAGGATGTCCTTAGCGGAAATGCTTTTGCCTGGTGTTGAGGCAACCTCTCCTGGTGTTTCTGTTTATCGTACTATATCTCATGTTGCGATCGTATCTCTATGTCCGTGGTATTTCGAACGAGTAAGTACCAATACGTCGTTTGTTTCTCTGGAAAAATCGTCCAAGCCTTGGCTACATCCTTCTCGGAGCACAGGGAACCAGTTAGGCCCGCAATGAAGTCCTCCTCGGGATTCAAGTGCGCGGAGACGAGGACTTTTCTTTTGATATGGCATGATAGAAAGATGACTGTCTCTTCCTCGACAAGGGCGTACAGTCAGAACCGTGAGGTTCAAATGAAGATCCTTCACCTCACCTAATTGACTGATGAAGCCGAGGTGTACCGTGAGGATAAAGTAAAGGTGACCACGTTATGAGTGACTGGACATAAATCTAAAATGAAAAGCAAACGCATCCAACAGCATCGGTGGTCCAACGGTATGATGTGCGCTTGCCATGCGCGCGACCCGGGTTCGACTCCCGGCCGATGCATTTTTTATTGAGCAGCGAAGCCCTTTCAGTTTTGTCCCTCGTGCTTTACGGTCAGGGCCATCTATCGCTGATCATCCCGCGCATACACACAACGGTACATCTTTTAGTCTTGCTTCCGTGATCACCCAATTTACATGTGTCAATGGCAGTGGTTGGTACATGACATCATATCTGCCAGCCACCCGCGCATAGATACCCCGCGTACCGAAATCGGCTCACCACCAAAACGTCCTTTAAGAGAGCGCATTTATTCAGGGGGTCCTGTTGTAAGCAGCATACACTCGCAACACCAACACTATCTGACAACGACAACGCTCTCTATTGAACAAGAAGAACGACAATAGACAAGATGACATTCAACACAGCAACAGTCGCCGCGGCATCAACACCAACATTCTTCAAAACCTTCCTCTCCCACTTCCTGAAACAAAAATCTACAGACCCTACTCAAGACCCGACCCACGCGCTCTCCTACCATGAGGCACTTGCGCTCGTGAGGAGATTCTTGGAAGTCGCGTCGCATCACACGGTTGATGAGGTACAGGCTTTTACGGCGATGCACGTCCCCATTCCACGATGGGTACACGACGAGATCGAAGTTATCCCGTCTCCATTCATCGACCTCGCTGCGTCAGTTTTGCAGCAGAATTTGGGACAGGAAGAAATTGAGGCAGTGGGTGGACGCGAATGGTGGCAGATCCGCCATTCCCCGCTCGACGTTGAATGGATCGAGATGAAGCGTGACTACATCACCCGCCAACAGTCGCGTCAAACTCCCGGGCACGACATGACGAAGGAAAAGGTGATGTTGTACATTCATGGCGGTGCATACTACTTTGGCGCCGTCGATGAACACCGATATCAGATCCAGCGTCACGCGAGAAAGTTAGGTGCCAGGGCTTGCGCACCGAGATACCGCTTGGCGCCGCAGTACCCCTTCCCATGCTGTCTCCACGATAACCTCTCCGCGTATCTTTGGTTGATCGCACCAATTTCTGAAGGCGGTTGCGGAGTTTCCCCCAAATCCTTGATCCTCGCGGGAGACTCAGCGGGAGGTGGAGCAGCCCTCTCCCTCGCTTGCATCCTCCGCGACCAAGGCCTTCCCCTTCCTGCCGGATTGGTCCTCATCTCCCCCTGGGTAGACCTGACCCACTCCTTCCCGTCCGTCGTCAAAGACAACAGCGGAGACTACATCCCCGCCCACGGCTTCCTCCACAAACCATCCCTCACTTGGCCTCCCCCGACACAAGCCGACATCTCTGCCGCCGAACGCGGAAGTGGAGAGTTGGACAGACATATCGAGCAGCAGGGGCAGGGAGAGAAGAAGGGCATGTTGGAGAGGTTAGGGTTGAAGAAGCATAAGGAGATGGAGGTGGGTGAGACGGACCATAGGCATGGGTATGATGTTACGGAACTGCCGCCGGCGAACGAGCATCCCGACCCTGCCGAGGACCCTACCACCACCGTGGATGGCGTCCCGAAACCAGACCACATCAACCCCGCCGCAAACCACTCCTCACCCTCCTCCTCCGGCCCCCACTCAGGCTCAACCTACGGTTCCGCCCGCCGCGCTGCACCCTCAAAGAATACCTCCATCATCATCAACAACACCCTCATCCAAATCCGTGACCAAATCCAGTTGTATGCACCGAATGAGCTGTTGGCGCATCGACTCGTGAGTCCGGTTATGCAGGAGGATTTGGGTGGGTTATGTCCGACGTTGGTTGTGGGGGGTGGTGCGGAGATGTTGAGGGATGAAATGATTTGGATTGGGCATGCGATGGCTGGGCATGTTGGGGGTCAGGCACCTGGAGCCACCGGTACTCACCCCGCTGGTACGGACTCGGGTGTTGGGGCCAGTACGAGCGGCACTCCCACTGGAGCAGCTATAGGTGGAAGTGGGGAGAAGTATCCCCCCACTAAGGTGAAACTCATGGTCTGGGATGGATGTTGTCACGTCACGCCCACACTCAGCTTCACCCGTCCTGCGAGATACATGTACCGCGCTGTCGCGAACTGGGGTGTTTGGTGTATCGAAGAAGCCTGGAAGGAGGGTGCATCCCAGTCTCAAGGTCTTGGCGGAGGACAAACTGGGCTGGGTCAGAGTCAAGCTGAGGCGACGAGGACGTATGAGAGAGAGGGCATTCTGGGACAAGATTTGGCGGGGGGACAGAGCGTGGGAACTGCGTCTGGCGATAAGTCGATGGTTGATTGGAGGGCTGCTTATGCGGGTGAGGACGAGGCTGTGCATGTTGGTGAGGGGATGTATGGGTGGGAGGGTGATGAGGATGAGGTTTTGGATGATCCTGTTGCGGAGTATTGGGGGATTGGGAGGGGGACGAAGGTTGCAACCACTGCCTCTACCACCTCTACTGTTACTACGGGAAAGACTACGCCTGCGTCTATGGGTGTGACCGAGAGCTCGGGAAGTGCTAAAGAAGCCGGTGCTAAGGCCGCTGCTGCCACTGCTGCGTCCACCGCCGACATCGAGCACGGCATGGCAAAGACTTCGTTGTCTGCCATGGACGAAGGCACAAGCGAAGCGGCTCCGTCTACCTCGGACTACGACTCCGATGACACTGCACCCCCCGCAGACCCCCGCGCCGCAGCGCCCATCACCATGACTGGTCATGAGGGGCCCTTCCATAACAACATGATCCGTCTCCGCGTCGACACGCATGGTCGTCCACGTCCCATGGAGCCTGAGAGTGAGATGTACCAACTCGCCATTCCCCTCGAGGAAATCGGCGTAATCAAGGAAGGTCCCGTAAAGCGCTGGATGGAAGGAAAATCCAAATTCGACGCGAAATACAAGAAAGCGAAACTCCGGGTACAAAAAGAGCGGGCGACTGCTTACGCGCGCGCAAAGAAGGAGGGATTCGTGGAGGGCCGACTTAGGGGAGAGAGGCCGCCTCCGAGCGCGGTTGTGAGTAGGAGTACGAAGGAGGAGATGGAGAAGGCGATGAGGAGTCTTGAGGAGGCGAGGGGGAAGACGAGTGCGGGGTTGGCGAGTTGGGTTGAGACGATGCAGAAGAAGGAGCATAAGTGATTGGCCGCTTACAACTACAGTATGGTATAAGTTTAGGATGACAGGTTAATTGTAATTCTGGTATTTCGGTTGCGGTTGCAACGTCACTGCTCATCGTCCGTGCCTTGCGAGTGCGCGCGCGGCTCCACCACCAGCTTCAGCCTCGGTCAGCAGCCGTGATCTGGCGTGCAACGTGTCCACTTCGACAAAGACCAATTGATCCCGTCTCCAACACCGGGTCAACTTAACAATCAAGATGTCCTTCCGCGGTGCCCCAGCTAATCCCTACATCCAACAACACTACGCAAACCAATCCCCAATGCATCAGAGCAACGTCAACCCATACGCCGCACGCATGGTCGGGAGTGAAGGGTTGGCGGGCGAGGGGAATGAGTTCGTTGATGCGATTCGGAAGCAGACGAGTAAGATTGAGGCGGTGTTGGAGAATGTTGGGGAGGTCATTAAGCCGTGAGTTTATCCCTTCCGTGGTTCGTCGTTGTTGTGGTGACGATGGGTGAGAGTCAATTGGCTGACAACTATGTGTGATGTGTAGTTACCTGGGTCCATTATCCCGCTTTCTGATCATCTCCACCTTCCTCGAAGACGCACTCCGCATAACCACCCAGTTCAGCGACCAGCTTGCCTACCTCCAGCAATACCGCCACTTCCCCCGCGGCCTGAGCCATTTGTTCTTGATGCTGAATGTGATCGTTATGGTCGGTGCGAGTGGAGCTGTGGTGGCGAAGAAGAGGGTTGAGTGGGCTGTTGGGGGGTTGTTGGGGGTTGTTGTGGGACAGGCTGTGGGGTATGGATTGATTTTCGATTTATCGTTTTTCTTGCGGTACGTGACTCCCCCTCTCCCCTGTGTACACTCTCTCCCTCCTACTATCATGATACTAATGATGGGCAATATAGCAACTTGAGTGTCATCGGTGGATTATTGATGGTCCTCTCCGCCTCCCTGACCGAAAAACAAAAACACTCGACACGTTCGCTATTCACCCCCCTAACAACCCTAACCGACCCCTCCCACGCCCGCACGACCTACTTCACCCTCGCCGGCCGCACCCTCCTCATCTTCCTCTTCCTCTCCTTCATCTACGGCTCTCAATCCCCTTGGTCAATCTTCCGCATCCTCTGGACCCTCGTCGGATTCGTCGCGTGCCTCATGGTCGTCGTCGGGTTCAAGGCGAAAGTTTCGGCGACCGTGTTGGTGATGATCCTGAGTGTCGGCAATGTATTGATTAATAATTGGTGGAGTGTCCATTCTGCGCATCCGAATAGGGATTTTTTGAAGTATGATTTTTTTCAGACGTTGAGTATTATGGGCGGGTTTTTGTTGTTGGTTAATGTTGGGCCTGGGGGGTTGAGTGTGGATGAGAAGAAGAAGGTGTACTGAGCTGTGTGAAGGGTGAAGGAGGAGCAGGAGTGTACCGTGTGGCTCTTTGGCCATCGGAAAAAGCTGATCATGAGGTTCGATTTAGTGGATGTGTTGTGAGAGTGGAGGATGGATGGAAGCTATTGATTCCCGTGAGCATATATTTGATATCGATTTGTTTTGTTTCTTTTGAACCTCGCGCTCGTTTCGTCCCACGAATTTTGTTCACGTTGTGTCGGAAGCTTCGGGTTCATGGAGGCATTCAACGAACATCGAGCTCGAAAATGGCAGCAACATCTTCCGATGGCCTAATGTGACCACCTTGTAAACGAGCTCCATCCGGTAGAAGAAGTGTGATTATTGCACCGAAGGATGGCAGAGGCCATAGTGACTGCTTCCTCAACAGCTAGCTGCCGGATGATCATACGGATTTACATGGTATAGCGTGGGAAGAGGGCCGGACTTGTTATGCACCTCGTGCATACATTTGGCACAGAAAATGCGCATTGCGACGAAGAACGCGACCTGTAGTCGTTATGGGGAGATCGGACGATTCGTCGTGCATGCTCTGCAATTCGACAGGCAAAAAAACAGATGTTCCGATACCGGGAATCGAACCCGGGCCGACCCGGTGAAAGCGGGCAATCCTAACCCCTAGACCATATCGGAATGTTTGTTTGTTTTGGCAAATTTGAATATAATACATAACCCCGACACGAAATGTGGCAAATCAGATAATCGTCGAGACTCGTCGCTATTTCTTCCTTGCTGTTATTTGTCCCACCATACGGACCGAGACGCATCCTTATACAGCTGTCCTCGCTCCGCTCCCTCATAATCGCGCAATCGATAACGCAATCGAACATCCCCCCCAGACTACGTTACTAGCCCTGACCCATAAAATCTGCACTGCGCACTCCGAGCACGCAATACACCTCACCTATGCGTATGCGTATTCTCCGAAGTCTCGGATGTCGCCATCGATGAGCGATGTTGGGTAGGCGACGGCGATGGGGGTATATAAGGATAGGGACGCCGCTGGGGTGGAAAGGTTAACGAGTCCCACAACACGAAAGGGCAATACACAGGATGCATCTTCCTGAGACGGTGAATACACTGGCGCACGAGGCAGCTGGTACAACTGGTGCGAGTGGCGGACAAGGATGTCCATTTTCATCTTCGGCGACGACCAAACCTCACTTCCACGATGCACCACAACCTACGCAGCTGGGGCAGGTCGCAGAACCACTACCAGAACCAGCAACGCAAGCACCACCGAACTTGATACAATCATCACCATACCCCTCTGAACCACATCTCCTAAACCTGTCAACCCTCGATCAGGATGCACAAGACTTGGCCCTTGCACTACAAAACTTGCGGCCACTGAGTAAGGCATACGCAACGACAGCGTACGCAGATGCCTTCAACTGGTCCGAAGTCGTCGCCTCCCTCCCCCCAACATTCAACACCAACACCGAAAAGCGGCGGCGTGCAGAATACTACATCATCGCCTTCCACTCCCGCCTCCACCCCCTCACAACCCCCCACGACCGCACAACCCTCTCCCACCTCGACTCCGCCGCCCACGCCGAAGCCAACACTCACGGCGGTCTACTGAAATACTGGTTCGGGGATGCGGATGAGGACACCTCGGGCCAACGACGGAATTTGGCGACGTGTGTGTGGAGGGCGAGGGGGGATGCGAGGAGGGCTGGACGGGGGCCGGCGCATGCGAGGGCGATGGGGGCAGTTGGGGGGAGGTATCGGGGGAAGAGAATTTTGAGGGAGGGGAAGGAAGGGCAGGGGGAGGGGGAGGTTGGGGTGGGGAAGGAGGAGGGGGTTTATAAGGAGTGGGGGGTGGAGAGGTTTACGCTGTGGATTGAGGGTGGGGAGGGAGGGAGGAGGTGGGGATTGGAGGAGATCAAGGACTGAGAGTTGTGGGGAGGTGGAGGGATACTGTAGTATGGACTTAAGACAGGATTTCGGACTTGTCGAGGGTATGGCTTGCTTGGTGTAGCTTATCATACTAATCCGCAGATGTCTGAGAATCGGACACACGAATATCCCACCTTCCGCTCTCCTTGACGTGTGTCCCTTGCCATACCCCTCATTTCTTGGTTGCCATCCCTTCCTCACAAAGATCTAGAAATCTGTAAAATTCATGATATATCAATCCGGTCTGTGCACAGGCAGCTGCCACATCACTCACTCGCGCGCGCCCCAGCTGGCTGCGACCGCGACCCGAATGACGCCAACTCATTCTGAACACCCACTCCGCTCCAAACTCATCTTCACCAATACAAACTGCAATTGATAAGATGAACCCAATCATCTCATGGACGATATTCATCGTCGTCGTGTCTGCGGCCTACATCGCCATTAACGGACCTCCCGCATTCCTCAAACCCACTTCCACCGGGGGTGCCGGTTCTTCCAAATCCAAGGGCGACGTGTCGAATTCGGATAAGAAACGTAAGCGAAAGCCCACGACAACCACAAAGAAAGCAGGAGAAGGAGAGAATGGAACACCGGCCGGGATGAGCTTCGCGGACGCGGTGAAGGAGGGGGAGAAAGCGAAGGAAGAGGTGTTGGAGAAGTTACCGGTGAAGGGGAAGACGTTCGCGAAGGCTCTCAAGGAGGAGCCGCAGCCGAGTTTTGCGGAGGTGGCGAAGGCTACTCCCGCGGTCGGTAAGAAGGGGAAGAAAGGAAAGGGGAAGGGGGCGGAGAAGGAGAAGGAGGTGTCCGTGAAAGCTACAGCGCCGCCGAGTCCGCCCGCGACCTTGTCGACCTCAACCCCGTCCATCCCCGATGAAGACGAAGAGGAAGAAGAGGACGAGTTCGAGTTCACGTTCCCCACGAGCACTGCTCAACCCGCATCCGGATTCACCGCAAATGGTCGCACCAACAGCTCCGGTCTCGCCTCGCGTAACCCCTACGCAGCTCTCGGCGCACAAAGGCAAGAGGGCGCGAGCGCGACTCATCTCGCAGCCCAACACGCTGACAAAAAAGCCCGCAAGGCGTATTCCGGAATCGAGGATATGCTACCCACCGGTACCGGCGTCGCGCGTTCCCTCAAAATCACATCGTCGCCCTCCCCGTCTTCTTCCTCTCAGCAGTCGAAACAGAGGTCGAAGAAGGAGGAGGAGGAGGAGCAGACGAAGAAGCAGCGCCAAAATGCGGCTAAACGTGCACGCGCGAAAGCCGTCAAACAGCGCGAGGAAGAAGAGCGCTTGGAGAGGTTGCGTGCGCATCAGAGGAGGGTGGAGGCGGAGAGGGTGAAGGAGTGGGAGAAGAACGGGGGCGTGCAGAAGGCGAGGGAGAATGATTGGAATGTTGTTGGGAAGAAGGTGCAGAAGGTTGGGGAGGAGAAAAAGGAGGGAGAGGGAGAGGGTGCAGTGCCGGCGTTGATTTGGGAGTGAGAGGGAGTGGGCCGAGAAGGATGATGAGGAGAACGTGCATCATGAAGGATATAATCGTAATTGCATAGCACTTTGGAACCCATAGCTCGTAGCTACACCACGATAGCAAAACATGTATACCCTTATTGTTTCGCTGCTCGGGTAATGCCCATTACCATGCTTCCATCACAGATACTTCTGCGCAGCGGCTCTAACCTTCACCTCAAACGCTGGGCTCGTGATCGGTGCGTCTACTGTGTAAAATGGGTTCAGCAGGCACTTGACATACAAATCATACACCCCCTGGAAAAATGCCCGAATCGCATCATCCTGCTTACTCTTGTGCAGGAGCATGATCTTGATGTTTCCTGCTGTGAGGAAGACGGAGATGTTTGAGTTGTTGAATCGGTCGATGTTCTTCATGTAGAAGGATGATGAGGTCCATTGAACTTCTTCCACGATATCCAATGCCGAATGAACGATGAATTGATTCATGTGGCGGATGGCTTCGCGGAACTGCTTGTTGTTAGCTATTGATCACCAGATGTCGACCGCGGACGATTCACTCACCCGAGGAACACCATCGCCTCGTCCTCTCCAAGAGCCAAACTCCATCTGAAAGATTGGATTGTCCTTTGTACCGACGATTGCAAGGTAGTACGACATCGTGTGTTTGAGGTAACGAATGTAGACTTCGAACAGACGGAGAGCCGAGATCAAGTAGATGGGTCGCGTGTCAACCCGAACGAGTTGTGATGATCACCACCAGTGAAGAATGACGAGGACGTCATAAAGTGTAGGTAACGTAGACTTCTTCTCCTTCCCGAGAACGACACGCTGATGGGTGTACCGGCCGAAGTACGACCTCACGTGCTCCAGCGTCATAGAGACACCGTGTAAACCCAGAAATCTTAAAAGAGCAATAGCAAGACTGGCATTGTACGGAGCCGTATGCCAGTCTCTTTTATTGAGTGGAAGGATGTTGGAATCACCGGGTACAATTAAGCTCAATCAATGTGCATACCCGCCTACCCGCGGCGCATTCATGTGTGCCAGCCTCACAGATGCCAGTTACGGCGCGCGACGACAAAGAAACACTGAAAGGAGAAGAACGCACTCGATCAAGAGAGTGAAAGCCAAGTCGGTTTTTGGTCACTCACAGCCGTTTGAAAAGCTCAAGGTTTGTGTGGTTCGCTGTCTGCTCTGGCCGTTGATTGACGGACGGGAATAGGTCGGCAGTGCTACAAGGAACGAAATCAAGCTTCGGTGCATTCATCCCCGAGAAAGAAGGATATACTTCGACGTATCTACAGACCGGCTCCCTCCGATATTGCAAGTGCATCGACGTTGCAATTGCAATTGATCGGTAACAGTGAAAGTGTCACAAGAGCATATCGTCAATCAGCACATACCCCGCTCTTTCACTTCACTTCCCACCAGCTCTAACACCCACAAGCGTTCCTCGCAAACCACACGATATCAAACAATGCAACTAGCAACCTTATTTCCATGTATCCCCTGCGATGGCTCGAACAACCGGTACGCTCCCTATTCCCCTCCTCTCCTTCACCTGCCCTCCTCCCTCTCCGTTCCCGCAAAGTGACACATTCTGACTCATCGACCGTGATAGGAATCAACATCAACACCGCCCCCGAATCTCAAAAGCCATGATTGGTCTTCCGTCCGGATTTCAGCATGTGGGACATATGGGTGCGGGTGATGTCGCGCCAGGAGCCACGATTACGGACGTACGTCTCTCATACTCCAGTCCTTGATAGCTGGTTGGGAGCTAAGTGTTGCTCTAGGATTCCTCGGCTATGCAAGAAATCTCGAAAGCGTTGCACAATATACCGATGAGTGGGATTCAACCGCCGCGGCGGGCGCCTGCGCCGCCGACGTTGGCTTCGCCTGTACCGGTTGGGAATGGGAGGGATAATAGGTTCTGGGGTGTCGAATACGGGAAACGGGAGAATGGTGGAGAAGGTGTCTGAACTGCGTGCTGGACACGACAGGTGGACGGAGGCTTGACCATGGGTCGCGTGGGCTGCGAATGGTGGTGGGGGGGCCATCAATGTGCGGATATGTTGATCAAGATTGACGAGTGCTGCTTCTGGCTTCACGGCTGCGCACATGCAGCGGTAGAAAGATTGGACGTTTTTTGCTAAGGGCGTTGTTGTTCTTTTTCTCTTTTCTTAGTCACCATGAGGCTTGGACGAGTAGCCTTGCCGTCAGGATCGCGATTGTGATTGTGGCTAGGGGTCTTCTGAATCCCCATGTTTTATCGGGCAATAGTAATTTGATATGTCTACCTGTTTGGAAAACGGGGCGGTGGGCGCAATGAAGCTGAAGCTTCCTCCTGATTACTTCGCATGCCGCCGACACATGGCGTCCGGCATGCTGACACGAAGAAAGCCTCGGATGGAGATACTATGGTGATGCTACCAACAAACAGATAGACGTTGATACCTGGCGCCAAAATAGAGGGTCAAACGCTTCAGTCTCATGATGCCTGTAGCTGTTTATTACATGTCCGGATTACGTGTTCCCACGCACAAGCTCAACGCAAACCTGTTGGTACAAAGCGTTGTCTGCTACCACTCCGTATGAGCATATTGTCCCTGGAAATGTCTGAGAGTATAATCTCGCTGATCCTGTCCACAACGGCATTGTCCTTCTCCGGCGATATCCTCATTACACCTCCCGAGTGGGAATGCCCCTGCGCAGCCGCGCCTCACCAGCCCCGCCCGAATCCAAATTTTCCACGACCGACCTCTATATAACCCCCGGCCTCCCTCCCCCCTCAAGGATTCCCCAACATACATCAGTAGAGGAAAATGCCTAAAAAACATTTATACTCAACCAAAGCAGCGCTACGGCGCCCCGTTCGTGAACAGTCGCATACAAACCGAGCCTAACCAGCTTGGCCCTACCTCTGTTTACGCGTTCCCGCTTTGGAGAGGGGAATCGCCTTGGTTCTTGCCCGTTTTCGGTCTTACTCTTAAGGGGTTTAATCGTTGGGGGATTGAGGCGGACATACTTTCTTGGTATTTGTCACGAAGTTTGAGTTGTCGTTCCTGTGCGTGTGACTATAGTAGCTCTAGATTGAGTGAATTTGATGGCGTGTACAAAAACTCCCTGCCTCAACCTATATCCCGTGAGAAGCCATCATTGCAGCTATAACTCGTGCTCCATCGATCCTGAGTCTGAACACTTCTGGCTGTGCCGAATGTCAACGTTAAGCGACATTGATACATCCGGGCTTCAGCATGTCGTCTGGAGGAGTATCAGCTACGCGTATCGGTTTAAAGAGTAAGACGAGAGTCCATCCTTGCTCGGAGCTATACCGTAGCACAGCCCGTCGGAGCGGATTCGAAATTTCGGTGTCTACGTTACTGCTGTGTGCAAAATTCTTGACGTGACTTTCCCATGTGCGCGCGAATCGCAAACTCCATATGACAAAAACCCCTAAAACAACATAGATAAAGGCCTCGGAGGTCGAGTAAGGGTTCAAACTGATCATACCTATCCTTAGCAATCACGTCGTGCCACCGGTTTTGGGCCACAAGGCCTCCTTCAGTCGCTTCATGCTGAAAAGGTGTTTTCAGTTATAAGAAAGAAACGGACCCTGGAAGGCACTACAGATGCAGCTCTGGGTCCCATGAGATAGAAGGAGCTTGGATGAACATGTTCTGCGTGTGGTTTCTTTGATTCTAACAGTTTTTGAGGCTTGTGGGTCCAGAGAGTGTTTTCGATGTTTTCATGCATATTCATGCAACATCATGCACCCGAGCCGAAATCCTTCATAATGTCACAACTCTTTGAGAAACGGTACTACACGCGTTTCGAGGACATCTATCGATTCCTAAGAGTCTGATCTATCGACGTATACCCTGAAATCGCCCTCCCAAGCCTTGTCCATGAAGATGGGGGGGGGGGTTCATGAAACTATCCCCGCGCAGATAGGCGGTAAAATGCGCCGCGTCAAGAATTTTGCACACTGCAGTACGGCCTCATATGGATTCATGGAGCCGAATGCGGGCCGCGACCACTATTCTGGCACCCGAACACTCCACCATCCTCCTCCCTCCGTCCCCATCGATCCCGTCAGACAATCCTAACAATTCTTACACCGGACGCGAAAGTTGTTTCACGGCGATTTTTTCGCCGAGACGACACCGAGGTCATCACCACCAACGTTCAGCCGTGAACGACCGACACACTTCTCCACACTCGCTATCGAGCACCACATCCACTCCACCTGAACAACAATGAGACAGTTCATGGCGAACAGCGCGAGCCTACGAGGGCAATTACTACCTAGGGTGGCCCTCGTGAATACACGCCGACCATGTATGTGCGTTACATACCTTCCTTGATCCAATATACAAGGCTGGCAGCGTATCCGACAGACTGCGTCACCTGTGAACCCGCCGCACCAACCCCGCCAGCACCGCTGGCACCCTCTACGAAGAAGTCCACTCCTCCCTCACCCTCCACAGCCAATCCATTGCCGTTGCTCAAGGCCTGTACACAATCTCCCCTCTAACACCAGGCTCAGTCTTTCTCCTCCCTCATGGTACACGGATATTCAACAAGTTTCTGAGTTTCATGAGGAAGCAATATTACGGGGTACGAGGCGGTCATCAGTCCGATTATTTACAAGAAGACATTGTGGGAGCAGAGTGGGCATTGGGAGAATTAGGCAGAAGACATGTTTTCGGTCACTGGGCGGAGTGCTAGTGCGGAGCTTAAAGCGGCGAAAGCCAAGGACGAAGGAGCGTAATTGCAAGATGAGGAGTATGGACTGAAACCGATGAACTGCCCAGGTCACTCACTGTCTGATGTACGCATCCGATGACTGCTCCTACCGCGATCTACCAATCCGCTACGCAGCTTTCTCACCACTACACCAGAACAAGGCCTCACCCGTGTCCGGCGTTTCCATCAGGATAATGCGCACAGCTTCTGTACACCCACTCAAATCGCTTCCGAAAATGCGGATACGTTGAGGTTCGTACATGCGGTGTTTACTGTGTTTCAACTCCCGAGTTATGAGTTCCTGTCGACAAGACCAGAGACGTTCATTGGGGGGTTGGGAGAGTGGGAGCAAGCTGAGGATGCGTTGAAGGAGGCACTCGATACGATACCACTGGACGGGAATGGTCGGCGAAGGAAGGCGATGGACCAAAGATCGACATCGTACTCAAAGACCGTGCGGGGCGACGCGACCAAACCGCAACCATCCAACTCGACTATCAACTCCCCCACATCTTCAACCTGAAATACAGGGACGGTTAATTCCAGCGACGACGGCGGCGGATGTCATCGCGTATGCCGAAGCCGTGCAGAGACGGTTATCCGGTATTTCTACTACGACTGAACCAGTACCACCAACTCCGACACTAGAACTGGCGACTCGTACATTCTCTGTAGACATCGACGCATCCGAAGGCAAACCCCTATCCAAAGCACAGAAACGAAGAGCCAACTTCACCCTGGTCGTCGGGCAGAAAGAGATGAAGAACGGGACTGTTACGGTGAGGAACGAGGGATGGGAAGCAGATGGGGGAGAAGAGTGTGGAAGAGGTGTATCGGATGCTTTTGGAGTTGGAGAGGACGTATCAGTAGATAGACTAGACTCGTGCGCCGGCGCCTATGGTCAACACACGATGAAATTGAGCAAATACGCGCCCCCGGACGTCGATAACACCCCAAAATTTAAACCTTGCATCCGATTTCTCATTGTTCAAATACCACATGCCCGGCTACTCGACCGTAACACTACCACTCTACTCGCCGCCACTGACTCAATTCCACTCACGTCTACTCCTCATCACTCTCAACAATCCTCCTCCTCTTCGCCTTCTGCCCCTGACTCTGACTCTGTCCCTCCTTCTCCTCCACACTCACACTCACATCCTTCTCCTTCCTCTCCCCCCCAACACCAGCACCGCCAGCACCGGCCTTCGCTTCCTCGTCGCTATCATCATCATCACTAAACTCCGGCGCCTGTCGCCTCCGACTCGCCGATTTTCTCCGGTCGTCATTTTCTTCGTCGGTCATCACCGCTTCCTCTTCTTCCTCTTCACTCTCCACATCTTCCTCCTCATCGTCTTCCTCGTCTTCGTCGTCTTCATCATCGCTTTCCTCACCCCTCTTCTTCGTCTTCGGTTTTTTGTTGTGGTACGCAGCAGCCCCTTGTGCTTTAACCTTCGCCAACCTCCGCGTCCTCTCCCCATCCTCCTCCTCATCCTCAACAACAAACCCATCATCCCCCTCCCCCTCCTCCGCATACCTATTCCTCCCTCCCCACCCCCCTGCTCCCCTCGCTTCCTCAACCTCGAGTGCAGCGGCAGAAAGCCCGTCCTCGCCGTATTCCAGCCTATCACGTGCAGCGCGGCGTTTTGCCTCCATACGCTTTTTCGCACGGAATTGGTCTTCGAGGGCGAGGAGATGTGCGGCTTGTGCCTCTTCCTCCTCCTTACCTACCGCATACAACATGATTCCCCTCTTCCCCGCTCCTCCTGCTCCTGCTCCTCCTGCTCCTCCTGCTCCTGCGCCGGTGGCCACGGGGTTCTTCGCCTTCGCAACAGCAGCCATCATCCTATGCGTCCTACTCCCCGTCCCAAACGGAACGACGCCGATTTCTCGTCCGATAGTGGTGCTGAGTCGGACGAGTGATGATTCTTGGTGGGAGGTTGCGAGGTAGGTTTGGGAGGGGGGGAGGGGGGTTGTTGTTAGGCGGAAGTGCTCGGAGTTTATGAAGAGGGTTAGGGAGGAATCGGACCAGCGGACGATTCGGGCGTTGCTGGTGACAGCGGAGGAGGGGTTTAAAGAAGAGGGAGAGGAGGGGTGGCGCCAACGAATCGTGTTTTCGATTTTTGCGAGCGCGTCCGGGGCGGATCCCGGGATTGGGACGTATGTTGCTGGATCGAAACACTCACTCTCGATCGCTAAAAACGCGGGGAGGGTGGAGTGGATAATCCCATTTCCTGCTCCTGCTTCGGGTGCGGAGGCGGTGGGTGGACTCGGGAATGCGGCGAGGTCGACTTCGAGGGGAGGGGTGTCGTCGTCATTGTCGTCGTCGTCGTCGTTGGCGGTGGTGTAGGGGTCTTGGGTGTTGTAGTTTTGGGATTGGTCGGCATAGGTGGGCTGCTCGTCGTCATCATCGCCGAAAAGGTCGTCTTCGCCTGCTGCTTCGTCCTCATCCACAGCTTGTTCAGGAACTGGATCTACATCCCCATCTCCGAATAAATCATCCTCGTCATCACCATCTACCACATCCGCAACCGCCGGTTTCGATACAGCCGAGGCGAGGTCGGGGAGAGCGTCATCCTCGTCTTCGTCGTCGTCTGCGATGACGCGACGTGTTTTGGTTGGGACTGGGGCGGGGTGGTTAGCAATGGTGATCATGATGCGATGGGTGGGAAGGGGATGTACCTGTTGATTCCTCGATGTCGGCCATGCGCTGTTGTGTGCTGTGCTCGACTGTATGCTGTGCTCGACTGTATGCTGTGTGCTCGAGGTAAACGGAGGTGGGTGGTGATGTAGGCACAGCCACAGCGCTCGACTGCCAGGTCATCTGTTTGGTTTGCCATTTGAGAAACATCTACCAGCATCGGTGGTCCAACGGTATGATGTGCGCTTGCCATGCGCGCGACCCGGGTTCGACTCCCGGCCGATGCATGTTTGTTAAGTTTTTTGCTCGTTGGTTGCATTGCCCTGCCGACGTCATAATGGAAAAGTTGCAAACCGGGATACCGCCATCTTTGATTACTCCAACAAAATGGCAGCAGACTCAAGCGAACGAGGAGGACCGATGGAAACGACATCCCACTCCTCCTCCCACTCCCACACCCACGTCCACGGCCACGGCCACTCCACATCAACCGACGATACCGGCAACGGAACAGAGCGAGGCCAGCACCCCAACCGCCGCAAACACGATCCGGACCCGCACCACGAATCCCAAAAACACTCCGGCGCCCTAGCCCCCAATGAAGCAGAACAAGGTGCCCTCGGTGCCGAAATCTCCGCCGAATCCCCTACCCGCGTCCGAAACCGCTCCTCAACCCCCCACCCCCCATCCCGACTCCACAAACTCCGTATATGGTGGGAAGGCGTCCGACCCCAATGGCTCCGCGAAGTCATCGCCGAATTTGTCGGGACGGGTGTGATTGTGTATTATGGGTTGGCGGCACAAGCCACGTATGCGCTCGCGAACCCGGGTGATACGAGTCCGGCCCTCATCGCGGGATTCTCGTTCGCGGTGGCGATCGCGATTGCGGTTTTCGTTTCTGGTCCCGTGTCTGGTGGACATTTCGCTCCTGGCCTCACTATCGCCTTCGCGCTCTTCAAGGGATTTCCGGCACGTAAAGTCCCATTGTACATCCTCTCCCAACTCCTCGGCGCAATCGTCGCGACAACACTCTTATACGGCATTTTCTCCCCCTTTAACCCGTCCGTCTTCACCTCCGTCGAAGCACAACCATACATCTCTCCAGGCGACCCAATGATGGGCGGAGGCGCTAAAGTACTTATGGAGCTCTCTGCAGACATCCTCACCGCACTCGCCATCTGGGCCGTCCTCGACCCCTCAAACCCATTTATCACACCCGCCGTCGCACCATGGTCGATCGGACTCATCTTTGCCGTTACCATTTGGAGTTTCTCGGATTTGTCGGTTAGTGCTAATACGGCCCGTGACACGGGGGTGAGGATTGCCGTGTCGATGTTCTGGGGGCCGGGGGTGTGGAGCGGGGTTAGTGGACGCGGGGTTGAAGCGTGGGTTGGAGGGTTGGTCCCGGTTTTGGGGAATGTTGTTGGGGCGGCGGTTTATGAGGGGATGTTTGCTACTGAGGTCGAGGAGGAGGAACGGAGGTTTTTTGAGGAGGGTGGTGACCTTGATGATTTAGGGAAGGACGTGTATGACGATTATGACAGTGAGTATGGGAGCAGTGGTGGGGAAGAAGGAGAGTTGGATCCCATCGACGAACACCCCACCGACGAATCCGATTTCGATTTCGACTTCGAAAACGGGGGCGATACCGCAGTCGGCACCGATACGGAGTTTGACGGTGCGGAGAAGGAATACCAACACCAACGCCAGGATCGGAGGGAGTCGAGGCCGGAGTTGAATGTTGGACGGGGGACGAGGAGGGCGGAACGCCATTCGGAGGGGGGGAGTCGACGCGATACCCAGGGCCGTGGGTCACACCGCTCGCACCACTCCATGTCAAAATACGACTCCCACCATTCCAACCGCCACGGCTCGCATCACTCGGGCTCCTACAACTCCCGCACTCCCTCGCGTGCTTCACAAGCTTCAGCCACCCCCAAACAAAAAGCAAAAGCAGCCCTCGTCGGCCTCGCAATGCGCAAACCCCACTTCCACCACCCAAAAGTCTTTGGGGGCGTTGCCGGGACGAATTTGAATCGTGCGTATTTGGACAGTTTGAGGGGGAGGGATGGGGTTAGTAAGAGGTTTTGGGAGCGAACGAACGATGGGAGGTCGGGAGACCGCGAAGGCGAGGGGGGGTCCAGGGGGCGGGAGGGGAGTTTTAGGGGCAGTGTGAGGGAAGATAGTGGGAGTTATCGAGGAAGTACCGCCAGCGCCAGCGTGAGGGATGGCCATGGTGGATCCTCTACGCAACGTGGACGACAAGGCCGACCCCAAACTCGCGATCGAGGAAGCGAAAGTTACCGCAGCGGAGACGGGCATTCACGGCGAAGTCGTCACAAGGGCGAGAGTTATGCCTCAGCGCGCGGAACTGGGACTGGTGCTGGTGACTCGGAGTTACGAGCGCGACAACCGCAACGAACACAGGGCGGCGATACGACGAGACATGCCTCCGCGAGTTCGTTTCCGTGGGAGGCGGGGGCTGACACCAACACCAGGGAGAGGCAGGGAAGTTCGTTAGGGAGGGATGTTTGGACGATGGGTGGTGAACACCGGGATGAGGATGAGGGTGGGAGTGAGTTGAGGGAGGTTGTGACGGAGAAGGTGCCGGAGTAGACGGATAGAATTATAGATTGGGGTGTGGGGATTAGATAGAGCACCTCGGTTTAGATACCAGATATACATACATTTATTGGCATTGAGAGGATTTGGTTCCGAGGTTCGAGGTTGGATATGGTATTTCTTCACGTTATTCGAAATGCGCTCGACTTCAAGCTTCATATCCTACTCTTCTAGCCCTGCTCTCAGTTGGGGTATATTGCAGTTCATCCATGCTCCTTGATTCTCTTCCCTCATATTCTTGCGATCGTGCGAGCCGGTCGCTCTGCAGCTCTACCCGGTGTCGTTCGTCGATCCTCGCCATGCGTCAAAGACGAGTCTGTCGTGCCTTGTCGGCACTCGTTCCTGTGCCATTCTGTATTCCTTTCCTCGTGCTTCATTCCCACCCCATCCTGCTCACGTCTGTTGTTCTGCGACTCACGATACCAAGCATCATAACCAGCCCGCGTGAGTCCTACCCCACAGACTCACATACAACCAAAGTTGACACCTCACAAATGTTTCGTCCCTCCAATCGCCTCGCCCCTAACCTTTCCCCAATCAATCCGCCCATCAATATCCATGTCGGTCAACCCAATCACCGCAACATTATCGCCCCTGATAACATACAACCCCAATACCACGACCTCTGTCTCGATCTCTTCTCCCTGTGCTTCGTGGACTTCTAGGGGCGTTTTGAGGACCCGTTCGATGGTATTTGAGAGTACGATGTTGGTTGTTTGGTCGAAGGCTTTTAGGATGCCGATGACGAGCCGGCCGTCGCATGTTATTATTGTTACTTGTTTTTCGATGAAGCGGGTTAGGGCGGACATTGGTGGGTGTTCTGTGTGGGTTTGTGTGGGGGGTGGTTTCTGGGACGGTTATGGAGTGCGGAGTGGTGCGAGGAGATGTGGTAGAAGCGGGATGGATTTGTCGCTGTGGTCGCGGAGGTGGAGAGAGGGTTGTAGAGGGTGAAGATCTCGTCTCTTGGGATAATTGCAATTGCAATTGGATTTTATGACAGTTGCGGTTCGAGATGTTTCGCGTACAATGTCGCAGCAGCTGCAGTATACGGGTACCGCGACGCAGGCTGGGCAGGATGTTGAGAACCATGAAAAGGCAGATAATGTCATATCTCTCTTTATAATCTACGTTAAAACCCTCCTCATCCTGTCTCTCAAAGCCCTCCTCCCTACACCCCCATGTTCCGCTCCTTGCAGCGCGCCTGCCCGCCGGCGCCCTTGACGCGGTACACCATAAACATTCAACTCCATCTGCACCACCACCACCACCCATCCATTCCATCTCAATCTCTCCCTCGAGCAACCAGCTCCCTCCTCTGCCCACCATTTCTTCCACGATGTCAAACTTCTTCCGCTCAATGGGCCGACGGGCCGGAAAGAAGACCCAACAACAACAACAACAACAACAACAAGCCCCTCCACCACCGGTACCATCAATCCCCCAGCAACAGCAGCAGAGACAGGTTCAGCAGCAGCAACAGGTCGAGGAACCGGAACCGTTGTTTATGAAGCAGCCGTTTGCGCGAAGTGCGATCGTGAAGGGCTCCTTCAAAACAATCACCGCCCTCCCAAAATACGTGGATCCAAACGAATGGCTAGCCCTAAACCGTTCGTCGCCCCTCCCCTCCTCTCCCTTCTCCATCCTAACATCATCGTATTTTATCTAGTTTTCGAATTCTTCCAACACCTCTCCCAATTTTGGGACCTAACCTCCCCCTCCTGCACCCAAACCACCTGCCCAACAACCCACCCAACCCACCCGCCCTCCCCCCAAAACCCCCCAGCGCACATCTACATCCCCTCCCTCCTCACCCACCTCTCCTCCCTCCTCTCCTCCCCCTCCCACTTCCCAACCCGGCACGCACACCCATTCCCTCGAAACTTTGGACAAATTGCGAGAGAGGTGTATGCGCAGATGTGGCTCGTTTTCGAACATGTTTATTGGAGGCATTTTGAGGTTGTTGTTGATGGGGGGGCGGAGGCGCATTGGAATAGTTTGTTTGCGCATTTTGTTACGTTTGGGAGGGAGTTTGGGATGGGCGCGGAGCAGGGGGGGATGGGTGGGGGTAGTGGGAGGATGGGGGGGTTGGTTAGGAAGTTTGAGGAGCAGGGGAGTGTTATTGCGATCGGGGAGCAGAAATGAAAAGTTGGTGCTTGATGTTTGGTGTGGTGGCAGCTGGCTGCGAGCTTGAAAGGACATTGAAAGACACACGATTGAGGATAAGAATGAGATTGAGATGGCTTGGCTTACACATAAGCATATGAAGATTTTGGACAGGATAGGACAAGACTTCGGAAATATACCCAACATACACGCTCGTTTATCAAAAAAGCTGTCATTGTCATGGGCATGCGTTCGTGGTGTTTGAGTACATTTGCATGTACTCGCTGCTCTCCTGTGATGTAGTGAGACCAGTCGAAGTTGGTGTGTTCGAGGAAGGGACGTTTACCAAGGTCGAGAGCGCAAGTGACCGTGAAGGGTACCCACGCCTATGCGAGGCGGAGAGAGGAGGAGGGTGGAGGATGATACGGAGAGTAGAAGGATTGAGGAGAGGAAGATGATTGTGCGTGCTGTAGAACTTTATTGAGTTATATGTATAGTATCCCCGACTCCGAAGAATGCTGTCTATGCCAAGGGTATATATGCTGTTCTTCTCTTTCCTCACCCAAACCGATTGTTACCCGAATTCTAGTAACTCCCCGTGATACCTCACCAGCCATTACCGTACTTAGTGAATGTCATGACCAATACCAGTCGATATGTGGGTAAGCAACTACCATATTCACGGGCCTCTTTCTTAGGTGTCCCACATGCAGGCGTGAGAGTCGACGTCAGATCGAAGTATACCTTATGACAACGGAGAATGATACTGCAGCCATGATATAAAGCAAATAGTCCATATATTAAAATGCCCAAAGTGCCGAAATCGAAGTGTCCTAGCCAGCCAATGTAACTCCAAGATGCCCTTTGCTTTCGTTCGCGATCGAGGTATATATCATCCAATGTCTCTTAAGCCTTTTCTCAAGCTGCATTCCATCTTCTTCACGTAAATATCATCGCAATCCCGTCCTCGATTTCAATGGACTGAAGATGCCCTTCAACCCTGTCTCTCCACCGCCAACTCCAACTTCGCGATCTTAACATCCTTCTCCATCCCCTGCTCCCTCAAATCCAAAACCTGCGTCCTCAACTCATTCACCTTTTCCTCCACACTCCTCAAACTCGTCGTAGCCACGCTCAACTCAGACGACAAACGATCAATCTCAAGGCGCCGGGATTCAGACATAGCCTGTACAGACCCCAAGAGCTCTTCACGCGCTTTAGCGGTTTGACCCAGCATCGTCAACGACTCTTCCAGCATTCCGATACGACCGAGGTAAGTCGCGTTCATACCCTCCAACTCCCTAACCTTCGCCTCAGGTCCCATACTCCCACCCGTACCCGGTCTGGATCCAACCGACGCACCAGTCTTGACCTTCTCCTCCAACTCCCAAATCTTCCGCTGCTGCACCCTCTCATCCATCCTCATCGTCTCCACAATCCCCTCGAGTTCCATCCGACGCCGCTCAGAATCCTTGTACTGCTCCGCATACCGATCACGCGAGGCAGAAACCTCGTCGAACTCGCGGCGCCAGGAGATTTGTTCTTTGACGATGTCTTGGGCGACGGAGCGCATGTCCTCCTCGAGGCCTTCGTAGCGTGTTTGGAGGGTGTCGTATTCTTTTTCGACTTCTTCTTTTTCTGCTCTGAGGACTTCGAAGTCGACTAATGCTTCCTGTGCGGACGCGAGTTCGGACTTTGTGATATTGAGTTCGTTTTCCAGCTGTGGTCCCTTGCCCGCCAGTTTCTTCAATCCCACATTCGCCGCTTCGAGGACTTGAATCCGTTTCTTGGCAGCCTGCAACCCAGCCAACATATCATCTTCGTCGTCCGCATCCGAACCCTGATCTTCCCCATCAACTTCCTTCTCCTCTGTGACCGCAGCCGCAACCGCAGCCGGGGAAGGCGACGCAGGGAACTTGAACCCAGGAGTCTTCCTGACGGGACTAACCGGCTTTACAATTGGAATAACCTTCTTCTCCTTCTCTGGCTTGACAAAGACTTCATCGCCGATTTCGGGGATGAACTCGTCCATGGGAGAAGCGTACTCAGCGAGCGGGGAAGCTGGAATCGCAGGCGGGAAAGCAAAAGCGAACGCGGGTGCAGAGGGATCGAGAGTCGAGTTCGCTCGGGCATGGCTGTGGCCGTGCTGCTTTGTGACAGATGATTTCCGCTCGGATGAGTGCTCGTGCTCGTGCTCGAGTCCAGGCTCCTCGGTGTGTGACTCAACGACCGAGTCGAGTGCGGACACAAAAGACGGAAGGCGGTGATGCGACGAACCCGCGGGACTGCGTAGAGAAGAAACCGGCACGCCATCGAATCCGAGTCCGAGTCCCATCACAGGTGAGGCAAGAGAAGAAGAGATCGAAGGTAGACGCGCGTGCGCGAACCCAGCCTGTGCACCGAGTTGGGCAAAATTCGTGGTGGTTGGTGCGTAATGCTGACGGCCGATGAAGTTAAAATTCGGGCTCAACGGACCCGGACTCAAGATTGGTAGGTGCGCGAGTGAAGAAGATGCAGCATGTGATGGTCTTGGATCGCTGGGACCCACACCAAGGGCAGCGAGTTTTGCTTCGCGGAGAGCGTGGATGTGGGTATTCCATTCCGTAGGGTCGGGGATGTGGACTGTAGGTTTCTGTTTCTTTGATGGGGATGAATGATTGAAGATTGGTTTCGAACTCGATTCGGGACCCTATGCGTTTCTTCGTAAGTTCTCGCGTCCAGTCAACGTCCATGTCCGTAACTTACCTCAGGTGTCGGTCGAATTGAGTTCGACGCACAAGCTTCTCTCACGTCCCACGCCGGCACACGAATAACCACCGCCTTTCCCTTCCACCTCACCACATTGTTCGCAGCAGATTTCTCGGTCTTTGCGGGTGATACGGCCTGCGGGGGCGGAGTAGCCGGTGGACTGGCCAATTGTGCGACGAAGCCCTGGCCGGGGGAGTAGTGCAACGGCTTGCTGGGAGTACCGGTACCGGAGGCAACGGATGTCGGTGGAGTGGCCAACATCGTGAAACGAGTAGACAGAGGACAGTTGGCCTTCAACCGGTCGTCTTGATGGAGGTGTGTATGAGGGCTGCCCAGCCAACCTGTCGGTGGTGTTTTGGTACGCAGGGGGGTGTCTAGCCAAAATTAGAAGGAGGAAAACATTGCGATAAGCATGAAGGGAATGACACGGGTTGGGAAGAGATGGACTCGGGAAACGGACGGGGTGGAAGGAGAGACCTTTTTCTTGTCCATTTTCGATTTACAGGGAGTGGAAGGGTCTGCAAAGGGTTATGTTCGCACACGTGAATGCTGCGTTTCGCGCTGCGCATGCAGAATTCGAATCAGAATGGTCCGCAGCAATTACACTGGCTACATTCGGCACTTTGAACATTTAATGAATGAACTATTTGCTTCAAGCCAACGCATGGTAACCGTACGCGTACGGTAGTTCTCTCCATTGTAATTGTGTATGTAATACGGCCGTAGGCGATCTGGTTGCATGGCGCCCTGCCAGCGCACAGACGGGGAATTTCGCGAACGCTGTCTGCAGCCAAACCTTAAGTAAAACTGGTAACCCTAAGTTTCGATGTTTTAAGCACCACTTGAACACTCTTAGATTTGGCAACTTAAGGACTGATATAAATGGAATTCTGTATATAACTGGCAAATAACTGACCGAGTTTCAGCTTCTTAGACAGTCACAACCCCTTTCGCTAGCCCTCAGAGGGTTCCTCCGATAGGTCATTAGCAAATCCGTATCGACTCACGTATCGAGAAGGGTTCCGGATTCGAAGCCAGCGCCGCCCGCATCCGGTAGACGGATCTGGATCCTCTCAGAAACCCCTTTTTCGAAAGTTGTACAAGGATAATACGTACCGAAATGTCTTCCAATGATCCCTCAACCATCACTCCGCCATCCATATCAACTTCTGAACCAGAACCCGTGATTCATTGGTGTAGGAGTGGTTGGTTTGGGGGGAAACACCGGATGGGGAGTTAGGGTTAAAAGTCAATGGAGAATAATACGTTCACAACACAAAAGAGGTGGGTGCTTGGCCTCTGTGCAGAGTACCGAGATATAAGCGTACCCTCAGACTAGCGTATATACGGAAACGGATACCGTCGCCAGTGGGCTTACCGCGAGATGAAGGGTGAGAGTTCATGTCAGTAGCGGTATTTCTATTTTGAAAAAAGGGTTCAAGGACTAACAACGGACCTGCTGGCCCAATGGTTAAGGCGCTTGACTACGAATCAAGAGATTCCAGGTTCGAGTCCTGGGTGGGTCGTTTCCTGTTTTTGATGTCGCCGCTTTCCCGTTGCAGCTGTACCGATCGAACGCTTCGCTAGAAAAACCGCCGATCGATGTCAAGCAAAGTGACGATGAAGTTGACAGTTTGTTCTTACGCAGTGCAGCTTTTGGTGCCGGCGATGAATGATTCACAGGGTTGCAACGACATGTACGCATAACATCTTCGAAATTAATTCCATATCTAGATCTAGCTTAAGGTGATGCAAAGAGGTAAAAGTCCAAGTAGTAACATCCGTGCATTGCTCTCCATCACACACCTGCCAACCATGCCATAATCGTCGATGCAAACGTGTCCGTATTATCCGCCTGCTTTGCAACGCTCGCCCCATCCAAAGTCACCATGTTCACTATGCCGACCGTGTTGAGGTTGTAGAGATATATCGCGGATGAGCTTTCAATATCCACGATCGAGGCCTGACACGTCTCGTCCTCCAAACACGTCTGGGAGTAATCTTGGAAGAAAGAGTATAAGCCGCCACCGTATAGGTAAATGTTGGCAGAGTCAACAATGCGAAGACCCCAGGCCATGTTGCATTCAACGTCATTACTTGCGCAACCCGAGAAGTCCGGATCGTTGTATGCTGAGTTGGTGCTAAACGGTGTTGGGGCCAGAGGCGTAGATTGGTAGTAAGGTGTCTCAGTCTGAATCATCGTCATCAACACATTAGCGGCGTTGATGATGGAGTATTGATACATGACGGAATGCTCCGAAGCGGTACCATACAACCAGACCGGTCCTTGCTCGGCTTCGATCAACACACCACGAGCATTGTATAACGAGATTTGGGTTTGCGCTGAGATGTCAAGATCGTGATCAGCGGTCCAAATCCACAAGTTCTCACCGTAGAACGATGCTTCAGAAGTGATGTGTAGTTTCAAGAATGAACCCTCACATGCAGCGCTGACAGCAGCAGATGTAGGGCATTGACTGGTCTGTAATTGCGTACCGATGGCACCGCCAATACGGAAATGCGAGTCCCACATGCCGGAAACACCTTGACTCCCGGCGGGATCGCGAATGTTCCACTGCACCAGAATCGCACCGGGTGCAGGTCCCTTCGTCGTGAACAACATATCTGAGATCTCAACTACACCATCATCGCCCACATTGCCGACCTTCCACATTGGGATAGGATTGGATGAATCCGCAAAGTTCGAACCATATGCCATAACCGTACTCCAGACTTCACCCACAATCCTCGAGCCAGCAGGGATTGTGATGGTATTCGTAACGACATACGAACCAGCAGGGAAGTAAACAATCTTGCATCCGGCGTACTTATTCAGAGTCTTCTGGATAGCCACGGTATCATCGGTATACCCGTCTCCGGCCGCACCCATGGCCTTCACGGAGACAAATTGATCCACGCCATACTGTTCGTACTGTGGTCTTGATCTCTCGAACCAGAAAGCGCCGCCAACCCCGCCGTGAAGAAGAGATGAAGATTTGGATGGACCGGTCAAAGTACCCTGCTTGAAACTTGCTACAGATGTGGCGGAAGTATACACATGGCCCTGACCCCAGGACGTGATCGTAGTGGACCCAATTGATCCAGCTAAGATGGTTGATCCAGACGGTGATGCAACAATTTTTGGGACATTCGTGACCTGCACATTGTCCAATAACAAAGATCCAGCAGCCTCGGGTGAGGACGAAGATGACATAACAGTGGCGACACCAACCGGTGTGTTTGTAATGACTGCATCCATCAAAATCACTCCTCCAACCTGTCCGTTACTGCTGCCTCCACTTGTGATATCCAAGCCGATATTACAATTGTTGATGTATAAAGACTTGAACGTCCAGCCCCAGTTCCAATTCATGAAGATCGCAGTCGCCGCATTGTTGATCGTGATGTTCCGAGAAGTAAACTGCTGGTTTCCGACCCACATAGCGTACTTACCCCCATTAAAGATGAGATCGGACATAAACCCCCCACTTCCGTTATCCATGAAGATACCCTGATCCGAACTCTTCATATTGAACACCAGATTTGTCAAACTCGTAGCCTGTGCGACTTGCCAATGGATACATGTCGCGCCAGCGGAGACGGAAGAGGTGTCCAGGATAAAGTTCCGGACTTGGCGGTAGAAGTTGTTTTGGTTGGTCCACCAGTTGGTACCAGATGAATCGTACGGATCAGAATCAATGAGAGCCATACCGGAGAAGCCGCTCGCACCCTTAATCGTGGGCATGTTGTTCTTGTCTCCGACGAGTTGGGTAAAGTAGTACATCTGAATCGGGCTACTGACGAGGTAGGTACCCCCAGGAAAGTAGACAAGTGCTGGTTGGATGGTAGATGAAGAGCATCCCTGCCCGCAACGTCCACCGGCAGAGATTGCCTTATTAATTGCAGCAGTATCATCAGTAACTCCATCTCCAACAGCACCATAGTCTTTGACATTCCTGTAGACAACATACGAGCTGGGATTAGAATTGAATGCAGCCGTGCCATTGTGGGTAATGGACTGGATCCACATAGGGGCTCCAGCAGAGACCGTAGCGAGCCCTGTGCAGGCAGACTTGGCGGTAGAGGATACCTTCGCACTGGTCTTTGACGAGTTGGTAGTAGTAGCAGTTGTCTTCGATGTAGTTTTAGAGCTGGTAGTAATCTTGGAAGTCGTCTTCGATGCCGAGGTAGTCTTAATAGTAGTCTTAATAGTAGTCTTAGCGGTGGTCTTCGCGGTGGTCTTCGCGGTGGTCTTCGCGGTGGTCTTCGCGGTGGTCTTCGCGGTGGTCTTCGCGGTGGTCTTCGCGGTGGTCTTCGCGGTGGTCTTCGCGGTGGTCTTAACAGTAGTCTTAGCAGTAGTCTTCGCGGTGGTCTTCGATGTTGTTTTTGACGTTGAAGTAGCTTTTGTGGTAGTTTTGGATATAGACGTCGTCTTCGGAGTTGACGTAGTCTTTGCGGAAGTCTTCGACGTTGAGCTACTCTTCACCGTGGTCTTCAAAGTCGTACTCGCAGCCTTCGTAGTAGAGGACTTTGTCGTAGACGAAGTCTTCGCGGTGGTTTTCGACGTCGTCGTCGTCATAGTAACAGCCTTGGTCGTGCTTGTCGTAGACCTGGTCGTCGTAGTCGTAGTCGTAATCGTGCTCGGCCTCGTTGTACTTTTCGGGGTAGATCTGTTGATAGTGGACTTTGAGGTCGTAGTCGACCTCATCACGGCGCCTTGCGCGAGTCCACTCGTCCCACAATGGTACACCGTTGGATCATAACAACCACCGTTGCACCCCTCGTACCCATTCGGGCACAACAACGTGGCGCCGGTGTTATCGGTGATGCAGCCGTACCTGCTATTGTCGTAGCACATGTCGCCAGAAGTAGTCGCGCAGCATCGTTCGCCAGAGACGCAGTTTGCGGAGCAGGGTGAGCCGGAGGAAGAAAGAGAAGAAGTACTAGTGGAGGGTGTAGTAGAGGTCGTCGTGGTCATTGCCATGTCAGCCGTACCCACAGCGGAAGTTGTGGAAATTGAAGTCGACATGTATGCGGCAGACGAAGAGGACGACGAAGTGTCCGCACCCTGTGCCAATCCTGAACTCCCACAATGATAAAGCGTCGGATCATAACAGGCACCAAAACAAGCATTCATCCCAGAACTGCACAGCACCACACTTCCAGTGTTGTCCTCAAAGCAGTCCATGGCATTCGGATCATAGCATTGAGCGCCATTGCTGGTGGTAGCGCAACAGGAGAAGCCGGAGCCGCAGGACGTTGTAGAACAGGTAGTATCGCGGCGGTGGAGAGTTGAGATCAAGGGAGAAGCCGATACTGAGGTAGAGGCGAGGAGCGTGAGGGTAGCGAAGAGTGTTGGGAGGGTGAGCTTCATCTTGTGTAGGTTGCGTGAGCGAAAGGTAGAAAGCGTCCGTTAAGAGAAAAGTTGATCTGTAAGGAGAGAAGGGTAGTGATCGAGGGGAAAGACCGATCCAGTCGGTCAATCAAGTTCAAGCGTCGACGGTGAAAGTGTCACAATCGTTCAAAGTTCGGGTACGAACGAACGTCGATAGAGCGAGTGCCGGAGGAGAACGTCGGAAGCACTCAACTTTGCGCTCAGTCGCAATTGCAGTAGCAGTAGCAGTCGCGAAACAGAAGAAGAAACCGCCTGCGGTTTCGAGTAAAAGAATGAAAGGGTGATAAATGTCCAAGCATCCATCCTATGTACTGCAGCTGGCCTCGACCGGCGGCGGAATTGTTTGGGGCGCACTTGCAGGCCGGTGGATAAGCTTGTTGTTTGTGTTGGTCCGTGCATTTGGACATGTGCGATTGCGCGGAGCCGATTCAGGGGGGAAGGAGGACAGCGTAAGCTTGGCAAGTGCTAGATCGCTTCGTTTCGAATTGAATACTACTTATGAACAAGTACTTAGGGTTGTAGAGCTCGGACTCGTGAATGTGCACATATTCAAGAACGTAGATTCCACACGCATATGTAGCCCAACCCTTAATGAACTCCAACCCTCTCTCCCCCTCCCTCGTCAGTATCAACGATCAACAACCCTCCCTTCATACTTCCTCATCAAAACCCCATACGGATCCTCCACGGCCTTCCCCAGATACGCCCACGCACCCGGAAAATGCAAAATCCAATCACCCCTTCGCCACTGTCTACTCCCATCCTGAACACATCCGATCTCATCCGGGTAAGAGTTAAGCTGATGTTGATCCGGCATCCACACATGTCTCGGATGAAGAGTCGGAGGAGAAGGGGTGTTGGGGCCAGGACGAGGGTAGGGCCCGGGAATCTCGCCGAGATCGATGAGGGTCCGTTGCATGGCATCCTGCTCACTCCCCTCCTCTCCCTCTTTCCCACTCATCCCCCGTTCCCAGACCCTCATGACAAACTCCCTCGACCACTCGCTGTTCCGCATCAAGAACACCCCAGCATTGAGCGGATTACAATCTCTCGCGATAAGCATATCGACAACCCCCGTCTCCCTGCCCTCCCCCTCCTCCGCCGACCTCAACTCCTGTGCGATAACACCCTCGACCGAGACTGACATATTCGTAACCAACGTATCGAAATCAATCCACAATACCCAATCCCACTTCTTCAGTCCATACTTGTCCTTCCTATCGAACGCGTCGCGGAGCATGAGCATTTTTGCCCAGACTTGTCCCTTGTGCGAGGGGAGGCCGGTATGAGGCGCAAGGAGGGGGAGGAAGTCGTAGTTATGGCGGAGGGCGTAGGCGTGTTTATTCAGGAGGGAGAGGGAGGTGTACGAGACGGGACGGTTTTCGGTTGTCAGGATCACGATTGATGGTTGCTCGTCGGCGGCGGGGACTGGAGCGACGGCCGCCGCGTTTCCGGGATTGCCGTTGAGGTCGGTGGTAACGAGAGGGGAGGGGACGTTCACGATTTCCGTAACACGCGTACCCGTAAAGGCGGTGAGAAGCAAGTAGGTAACCACGAGTAGGAACAGGAACTGCGCAACCCTCTTATGCGGTATAGCCGTGAACCATGCCGGGCAACGGCGCGATGGAGCGGAGCGGCGGCGGAGTTTGCGTTTCGATTCGGGGTCCATGTCGAGGGTTGTATGACTTCGTACCTTCAGTCGCCTCGTTCCACACGTCCTCTCCAGACAAAGACCAAGGCTCCCGCGATGCTCGTGCCGTGGTGCAAACCTTATCGAATGCCAATCGGCTGCTTAGCGGAATTTGCCGGTGACGATAGAAGCGAGTGTGGGGTGCGTGAGACAACAGACGCGCTCAACCACCACCACCACCCCGTCTCCAGGCACACCAACAAACAATGAATCTCCTGTCCCTCCTCCTCTTCGTGGGGATCGCCACAGCCTACGGCCCAACCGGCCACCACCTAACAGCCTCCCTCGCCTCCCACTTCCTCACCCCCACAACCCAGGCCTACCTCCTCGCCCTCGCCCGCCACGCCCATACACCCGGCTACCCACCCGACACCGTACAATCCTTCTTGGTTAGGGTTGCGCCATGGGCTGATTATATCAAGAGAACGAGGGGATGGGCGTGGAGTGGGAGGTTGCATTATGTTAATGTTGGGACGGGCGTGGAAGGGGGGGATTGGCCGCCGCAGCGATGCGAGTTCGCGTACGAGCTCCCAAAGAACCCCGGTGATGGTGAGGATTTGATAGGTGGTATTTACAACATGACCACCCATCTTTCCGAAGGCGCGGAACTTTGGCGTCTCGATAACGCCACGGGTGCTGGTTTGGATGACGTCCCTCTCCGCTTTCTCGTACATTTCTTGGGTGACCTCCATAACCCACTCCACCTCACCGGCCGCGCACGAGGCGGAAACGACGTTTGGGTCAAATTCGAGGGACATAGGATGCGACTTCATGGGGTATGGGATGGGGGTGTCCTTAACAAACGGATTCGCGAACTGGAGTGGGCGAGGGCGGAGGAGGAAGATGTTGGTGGGGTGGTGGAAGTGGATGAAGGACGCGGGTATGTGTGGGAACGCTATGAACGGTATCTACTCCACCTCATCGGCACGAAATTCAAGGATGAGATCGATGAGTGGCTTGAATGTCCTTCCCCCGAGCTTGAGCGAGGGGCCACGGGCAGTCCTATCGGACCACAGAGGGTTTTGGGTATGGGCGATGCCGGGGATAAGGGTGTGACGGCGTGTCCGGAGTACTGGGCAAAAGCGATTTCGAAACTAAACTGCGACGTGGTTTGGAATCATCCCTCTCTGAACACCACTCTCTCTCCCTTCTCCTCCGAGGCCGACCCTCCCAAGGTCGGGCTCGACGATGACGATTTGAGTGATGGGGAGTATTGGGATCGTATCGACACCGAAATGATCCCCGAACGACTCATCATCATGGGCGGGGTGAGGTTAGCGGCTGTGTTGAATGCGGCTGTTCAGGGTGGTGTTGGGGAACGCGCTGTCGGTGGACTGTGAGTGGGGTAGAGTGGAGGATGGAGACTGGGATAGGTTCGGGTTGTACGCTGGCTTTGGGGGAGGGTGAATACGGATGCGAATAGGAATGGAAATAGCAATGAGATTGGTTTTCAGTTATTTACTATTCAAACTACGCGTGTCGAGTGACAAGTGACAGCACGGATGCGCATGTAGCTTACCGTTTTCGTTCCGCATCCGGCCCAACATGTGGTATGGCCAGGTAACTTGTTCGAGGGCATCGGGCCGGTCGTGCGGACGGCTAGTTATTTGGTAATGTGTGCGTGTTGGGTTGGATTCGAGGCAGAGAACGGGATAACGCCTCCCGAGGTATGGTATTAAACCGATATGTTATGCCCACCTGACATACGGGCCGGCTATCCAGCATGTGTTGACGGATAAGTCTCCATGCGCCCCCAGCGTTTGGATGTTTGATAAACTTTCTCCAAACATGAAGATCCGTGACCGAGCCAAAACACAACATTATGCTCGCGAGAGCCCGGGACTTATCGGTGCGCCCCGAGCTGAGATGAACATGAGTGCAAAGGCATCTCCTCGTTATCACAAGTGTATACTTCACTGTAGAGTCTCGTTACAACGCTAACGCCTCGTTCCAGTATGTCAGGCTGTCCTGTGTATGAGCTGGGACGGCTTCCGGTATGTTGTTCGCACAATCTTCGAAGTCCTGCGATATACTGAGTCAATTGACAGGAGTCTCACCCCCCTTTCCGTACGCGCTCGTTCAGCGATGCCGATGAGCGCAAACCGTTCGAGAGTTCACGGAGGAAATCCGCAGCCCCAGTTCGCCCACATATACGCGCACTTCTTTCATTTCGCTAGAGGAAGAATTGTTGCTTGGCAGGGAGCAGCGCCGTGGCTGCTTTTTGTGGGCTTTTCTTCCTGGTTACATCTCTTTTGTACCCTGGGAACATCTCCGGACAATCAATGGCGAGGTTCCAACAATCTCTCATTTTGGGGCATAATGCTCAACTGCAATATTACTATGTACAATCTGACGTACAAATCTTCGCAGAAGTACATACATGCCATCTTTCTCATCTGCTTCCAAACTCATGTCATGCGTGCACAGTCCTGTTCTCTTAGCCGAAACGGAACCTACCATCACAGTCCTTCAAGCGGAACCTATGAATGCGGAACTCAGTTTCGCCATGCTGCAACCAGTCTTGCCTACACTCAACAATGGGGTTTCGCGTCTCTCTTGGGGACAATTCGAAGTAGTAATCGACTCTTCCAGAGCTACCCTCACAGGAAACAGCACAATCCTCGCCGAAGCCTTCGCATGGGAACTTGCCTTTGAAGCCCTCGCGTTCGGCGGAGGCCATTACGATAGTGTCCCTATTTACAACGGCACCAACATACATGCGCAATCAACCACCGTACGTTTCTGTAACTTGCAGCTCCTTGCGACATGCTGACAGATACCTTCCAGTTCGTGCCCTTTGTTCCTCTTGTGATCTTCGTTTGCATCATCTATCTGTAGTAAGTACTGCCCACATATTGGGACTTGAGACTGACTACTTTACTCGCAATTAATTGCCTAGCGCTTCGAAGGTCCCGCTAGCAGCACAGCGAGCATAACCAAGCCCCAGTCATGCCGTCATGATCAACATAGGAGCGTTCAAGTTAGGGTTAGGGTTAGGGTTAGGGTTAGGGTTAGGGTTAGGGTTAGGGTTAGGGTTAGGGTTAGGGTTAGGGTTAGGGTTAGGGTTAGGGTTAGGGTTAGGGTTAGGGTTAGGGTTAGGGTTAGGGTTA